GGAGGTTGAGCCTTTCTCATCAATAGGAGTGCGATGAACAGCGCAGCGTTGAGAATGAAGAATGCCAGTAAAAAAGGTTGACATGGCAACATGGCCTAAACATCAAGCTTGGGATCTTGTTGTACAAATGCATCGGTGTACATGCTGCATGCTGCACCCAGCCATCAGACGCAGCCTGTCGAAGGCGTTCGAGAAACATCCGGTTGCGCTGTGCCTTGGAACAAGAGTTTTGAAATGTACAACGAACTTAACACGCTTGGCACCCTAATGCGCCGGCCTAGAAAAATAGGCAATATATACGTTCAAGAATCGTCTGGGATTGTAAGCTGATGTCCCAGGGTTTTTGGGGCTTCCGAGCTTCCTAGAACTATCCATGAGGCTTCTTTCATCGAAACCCTCGCCCTGCAACAGATACCCTTGCTTTGGGTTTTGTCTTTCGGGGGTTGTGCCTCTTTGTTGGATGACATGAGGGCTGTGAGGGTCACAGTCCAATAGCAGAATCAGGCACTCTCACGGCAATGAGCAATGTGTAAGCGGGGTGGGGACAACTGCAGGGAAGGCTTTGCTCAAACAGGGGCAGTTCATGCTGAGCCATGGGCTTTGTCTTCCTGCACAAGCTCCTGCAAGCCAAGAAACGCACAACTACTTCTTTGAAGGCCTCCAAACCCCGCCCTGACGGTCCTAACATGCCCTGACATGCCCTGTTCCCTAAACCCCTCCAACAAGGGCACAAGACACAAGGTGCTTGTCCTTCGACTGCTGGCGCCCGCTGCCCTAGGGTGACCAAGCAAACAAGCTCCAGCAGCGTCCCCAAACCCTGAACTCCGAACTGCCCAAGACAGCCTAAACCCTAAGTGGAATAGTTGCCCTCGTCCCGTTAAGCGCCCTTGGGAGGCACCCATGAAGCGTCAACATCTTGAAACTCTCACAAGCACGCATTCATCTTAGTTCAAGCCATCGCCAACGGACTTACAGCACCCCAGGGCCAGCCGCCCTGGGCCACCCTGCTTGGGGGTTTAGGGGGCCTAGGCGGTCTAGGGTTTCAGGATGTTTCAGGGCTTAGGCTGCTTAGGGTTTAGGACTGGAGCAAAAGTTCGATTCTGAGATGCCAGCGTGCTGGACGTCTAGACATCCTGGGTGAGAGAAGTTACCAAGTTGGTTGTTGGGTTCGCCCATGCATTGAAACATTGCCCTCGAGCCGAGTGGCCAAGCCATGACTATGAGAACCTCATCTCCCAGTGTGGCCTGCGACAACCCTCCCCCCTCGCGCGCCATCTCTGGTCTCGGATGTGTATCGAAGCTGAACATTTTCAGCCATGTCGACCCCTTCGCCTCCTACACGAACGCACCCTGGGAATCCCTTCGGCCAAAAACTCCCTGCGCACCAGCAACCTCTCAACGAACAAAAAAGTCTTGAGTGGCATTCTGCTGGGTTGTTTTGTGCCTGTGCCGTGTCGGATGCCAGTACGGGTGCGAATGTAGGCAGATTCGCCGACAGGATCTGGGCTACCCGAAATGACTTGAAACAAGGGCTGTACGGGGATGGCTCAACACTATGCCAAACTCTAGTCTACGATGCCGCAACGACACCTGGCACCAGAAACGAATCCAGCGCGGTCCTTCTCCTTCATGTCCATGGCGAGCGCGCCCTTTTTGGAATGTTTTCAGGACTTCTGGAGGCTTCTCGGGTCTTGGGGACTGTTAGGTTGGGTTCGTAAACTCAAGGTCAAGCTTTGCAAAGCGCTTTCGTCAAAGTCCAAGAATGCACAACCACAGCCATCGATCATGCTGATGAGGTCCACCGAACACATCCGAACACCATAAAACGGCGGTCTATTTGCTCAACAAATGGCATTGCAGGTACTAATGTGGGACAAGGGGATTGTTGGCACATGGCTCTGGTACACCTCGGGTCGCTCATCAGTTGAGCGCAGGATTCCGCAACCTGGATTCACTGCGACTCAGGCCTGCAGCTAAAGGACAGTAGGCTTGACGATAGGCCTTAGACTCCTTAGACATTCTAGAAGTCTGAATCTCCCTTCTGAGCCTTCTTCTCCCTTCCACCCCGAAGCTCTGATCCAAACATGGCCGCACCTGGAGCCAGGAGGGATATCACAAAGCCTGGGCAGAAGAGCTCTGATTTGTTGCGCTACGCTGACATCTCATATGCAATCCCACTGACAGCAGGAGCCCTTGTGAGGCGATGAAGCTTCAACGACACATCCGGTGGAGAGTCTCTTAAGCGAGACCCTTGACAAGAACCCCTGCAGCCCCTGCAGAAATGTTGTTCGAGGTTGATAAGCCACGAGCTGGACATAGAGCAGTGGAGCTTCGCAAGCGTCGTGGAACATATAGAAAATGTCTTTTGTCAAAGTCAACGGCTCGGTGCACAAGTGATCGAATGAACCCAGTCCCGTAGCAGCACATGCTCAACCAACCCGAATCTGCGCAAAATGTTGAGGCCAGATCTCCGACCCCAATGCTAAGGCTGTTGGACCGGTTCGAGGCTCTGACAGGTACTTCAAAAGCTATCCGGCTATCCAAGCTGAGACCTTAAACGCGAGCCAACCCTTGCAGCCTCAGCATAGAACCCCCAACCACGCAGCCAAGAGTGGACATGTAGTACGCGAGCCCGAGTACCCGTAAATGCATCCCAACAGCTTCCCCCTCCTATGAATACAGCCGACCCAGAATACCCATTCGAAATTCGAATTACCTAAGTCACCATATCCGGAAATCTATCCTCCCCCCCCCTTTTGAGGCCGCCACGCTGAGGCCTCAATTGGAATTCTCCGCTGGAGCCCAGGCAGTACAGGCGAGCACAACTTCGGGTTTAAGATGTTGGGTTCTGCCCAAGAGCATGCCAAAAACACTCCCAAGACCCCTCCAAGACGACCCCAAAAAAACTCCAAGATTTCGAGTTCTCGCCAAATGCACGCATGACCCGAGAAACTTAAACACAACTCTGGGGGCTTCGGAAAGGTTGGCCGCAATCCCAAAACCCCCACGCATCTTCAACATGGTACGCCACCGGAAAACCCCCTCCTGAAACTCAAGCCCCGAAGAGCGAACCCGTGTTAAGTGTCTCTTTTCAAAGGCCCTGGTCATTGCCTCCAAGGCGAAAGCTTCATCGAGTGTAAAGGTGAAACGATGGCACGTGGTGTGCCCTAAGTGAGTCGGGACGCAGAGGCTTTTGCCAGGGCAAGAGGTGACCGAGAGCGTTGCCGGCACCGTGAGACAGCATCCAAAAGGGCCCAAAAGCTATAAGGCCGAGAGCTTGGCTAAGCCATGCAGCCTCAGACCGTCGGCTCGGCCTGAGAATAAGTATATTTATACTTATATTTTTATTTACATTTACATTTACATTTATAATTATATTTATATTCATATTCATATTTATATTTATATTTATATTTATATTTGTATTTGTATTTATATTTCTACTTATTTATTTGTATATTTGAATATCTTCTATATATACACAGTATCTGCTTCGCCAACCCCATCTCTCATGCACACACACACACACACACACACACACACACACACACACACACACACACACACACACACACACACACACACACACACACACACACACACACACACGCACACGCACACGCACACGCACACGCACACGCCACACACGCACACGCACACGCACACGCACACGCACACGCACACGCACACGCACACGCACACACGCACACACACACACACACACACACACACCACACACACACACACACACACACACACACACACACACAACACACACACACACACCACACACACACACACACACACACACACACACACACACACACACACACACACACACACACACACACACACACACACACACACACACACACACACACACACACACACACACACACACACACACACACACACACACACACACACACACACACACACACACACACACACACACACACACACACACACACACACACACACGCACGTACAAAGCACATACTGAAAGTTGCCACGATCAACTCATGCTCGACATCTTGCTCTCAATACGGTGGCGATGACAACGCAGTCCTGTAGCACGCAAATTGGTGGCCTCGGACGAGGGCAGCACAACGAAGGCCGGGCCTGAGAGGGGGAGATGGGATGCTGAATGAAACTTAAGGCAGCGCACAGAAACAACCGCAAAGGTTTGTCCAGAAAGCTGTGACGAGTGAGCAAATCAAGTGCCACCCCCCATTCTGCCTCCGGTCAATGTGGCCAACTCTGCCATGGCAGACCTCGGCCACAAGCCACTCCAAATCTCGCAGCTTGTAGCTCCAAACGCGGATTTCTGCGTCACAACGCACATTAACACACCGCCGGGTCCCCGGCACTCTGCCACACACAGTGAAAGTGGGAACAAAAGTACAGCTCGGGCCAGCAAATGCAACGCAAAAAGTGACTCGAAGAGGCTGTCCGAGTGTTGCTCATGGAGGTACACGGGTACTTCTTAAGTAGGGTTCAACTATGGTACTTATAAGCCAGATGCAGCGCCAATCCAAGTGGCTCTCACTCCCCTCCCAACCTTCCTTCCCTTTGCGCACTTGATGCCGCTGACACTTCCCCTTTGCGCATTTGATGCCACTGACACTTGACAACGTCAGGCTGTTTGCTTCCCGTAGTCTTGCGGAATTTTGGGTCCGGGTATCGTCTCCTCTGTGGTTTTAGGGCCTAGGCCGGAGCTGGGGGGTTCTTCTGGAATCCCTGGCAGGAAACGTACCTAAGAAAGAGAGGGCTAGACTGGTATCTTGCCACTGCAAAGAACTGGGAGAGATCCGGGCCCTTGAACGACCTTACCTTTAGGTCTTAGCCGCAGAAAGGGAGCTGCAATTCGCACCTCACAAGCCGCAGGCTCCAATGAGCAAACCCCCAGAATGGGAGCGAATCAAACTTGAACATTCTGGCATATTCTGGCAAAAACCCCCTTTGAAGGCTTGCATGCCGCTCAATCCATCGAGTCCACCTCATATCTGAATAGTGTCGCTGCACTCCTGGGTCGGAGAGCCACTCGGAAGAACAGTTTAGGGTTTAGGGTTTAGGGTTTAGGGTTCAGGGTTCAGGGTTTAGGGTTTGGCACTTTTCCTCCCTAAAGTGGGCAGTTCTTGGTTTCAACCCCCCTACGGGTATAAAGTACCAGGCTCGGATACGTCCTGGGGAACATCGCCGATCTCAGGATGACTGACCTTGGATACTCACAGCTAGAGATAAATATGCACATACATATATATGTATACATATATATATGTATATATATATATATACAGCATTTAATTTATATGTTTTTTAGAATGTAGGGGTACATACATACATGACGGATGTCGACTTCGGCGCGCCTCCGGCTCCAAAAAGGCCACATCGGCTTGGATGAGAAAATCCAGTGCATCCTCCTGACCGGGTTCAGGGTTTTCTTTAGGGTTTAGGGTTTTTTTGCAAGTGCCCTGCGCGCGACTGCTGCCCGCGCTTTGGCGCCGATTCTGCCAGGATCTTGAAAAATCAAAAGAAAAAAAAGGCGTACTGCTGATTGGGGTTTTGGGCGTTGTGGTCAGTTTTCCATACTTCTGCGAAGAACCTCTTAGTAGTTACTTAGGGTCTAGTGTTTAGGGTTTAGGGTTGAGAGTTGAGGGCTTAGGGTTTAGGGTTTAGGGTTTACGGTTTAGGGTTTAGGGTTCAAGGCTTCAGGCTGGGTCTGCGGTTTTCTGGGTTTGCGCATCTTTGGGTCAAGGGTCCGGGGCTCGGGGTCGTGCTTTGTTGGGTCGGCTTCCAAAGAAGCTGGTGACGAGCTTCGGATCGCGTGGAGAGTGAAGGTCTTTGTTCCATGACTCGTCAGAACAAAGAACTGCGGGGTGCAGAATCAGCTGCGGCGCTGTCACAGCAGATCATGTACCCACAGGCTACCCCGTCGGTCTTCGGGAGGGGGCATGCTACGAGACGTTTGCAGCCCGTCCTGCAGCTCGCAAACCGAAGTCTCTAGCCGGGACTGGGAGGAGTGCTTCGGCTGCGCCTCAGAGCAGCCGATCTCGAATCGGGACAACCAGACACACCTTATCCGGTCTGTCCTCAAGCCCTCTAAATCCGATTTTGCGAGGGGACGAAAAAAAACAGGCAACGTACACGGCTTTCCTCTCGACACCTCTCGGCCTTCGACTCTGTCGACTCGTCAGGGGTCGTTGGGGGTGAAGGGAAGACATCATGCTACTCGCAGGCCACGGAAATCTTCTACTTCAACGAGCTTGCAAACTGGAGAGTTGTATGTGCTGCGCAGCTGTTGCAGACCAAGGAGAAACGAATCCAGCTCGAGGTTTGGCCAAGCAACATCGACTCCGGAGTTCCTCCCTTCCCCGTCTTTCCTCGCTTCTTTCAAGATGTCTTGCGTGGACCGCATGAGCTCGTCTGCGTCCGCCTTCGATGCTCGAAGCTCTGTCTGCATTTTTCAGGAGTTTGCTGTCAGACCCGTCGGACCCCCCTTCACGTCGGGCGGGCCTTCTGGAGCATCGAAAACATGTGAACCGTCTTGGCAAAGTCGTCGGCGAAGAGCTGCCAATGGCTTTCAGCCTGCGCAGACGCACACACACCTGTCCCCCCCCCTTCAAATCCAAGGAATGTCAAACCGCTCAAAGCACTCAGCGACCCCAAGGAGATTGACTCAGAGTCTGGGCCGGTGATTCCTCAAGTGCTCTGTCAGCTTCAGCTCACCATCCCGAACATCACTCAACTCCACTCAACTCCACTCTTGTATGAATGTCATTCTAAGGACTCAGATAGAAACGTGCTATCTGACATTATCTTCGTAATACTATACACACATCCATCTTTTGGTTTCAAAACTGCACTGCACATAGTTGAAGAGACTACACAAGCGGAGCCTCCGACACCAGCTTCTGGGTCTCTCTTTTCCAATAGCCATGAATCGCCGCGTTCGCCAAGTTGTCGGGCAGCGAGCGGCAGGCCACCGACAAGAGACACAGCACGTTCACGTTTGGGATGTTGCTGCCCCCAAAGTGCGACAACCAAAGCTCGATGAAGTCCTGGTAAGCCTTGCTCACCGCTTCCTTCTGGTAGCTGCCAGAGGACCTCAACAAAAGAGCCGATGCCTGCGCCAACCTTGCCAGCAACCAGCCTGGTGCTCAGACCCAACGAGGAATTAGCAAGAAAACCCTAATCCCTAAACCACTTGTCCCTCGAACCTGGACTGCCAAATCCCAAGTCCAGGGGCACACACCCACCGCACCAAAAGCTGCCAAGTGCAACATAGGAGCTTCGATCCGCTGGGCGGTGAGTCACCTGCGATGGGCTTCAAGCTGGGCGAGCTGGCTGATGGGTTTAGGGTTTAGGGTTTAGGGTTTAGGGTTTAGGGTTTAGGGCTTAGGGCTTAGGGTTTAGGGTTAGGGCTTAGGGTGTTTTGGTGAGGGACCCAGGGAGGCAAGCCATGGCCTGGATCTGGCTCCCATCGACGAAGGGGCTCTCCACATGAACGGACCAGAAGAAGGCAAGGTATGATTCCGGCTGGAACAGCGGCAACAAGAGTTGCACAGCTCTTTGCTTGAGATCTTCGAAGAGGCCTGGGCCGGAGTTGGAGAGAGTGAACTGTTTTGATGCGGACCGGGGTGCTGGCCTTGAGCGGCTCAACCCAAAATTCTCGTTTAGGGGGACCAGCTTAGGCTAGGCTGGAGTGGCAGAGTCGGAGATTCGGAATCTAGTGGCCCAATTTCGGGCCCCAGTCCAGGCGCATTGTCAGAAGTGGCGCGCTCAACATGCAGACTACAACGGTGAATGTTTGCAAAGCACGGGCACCATCGGATCTGATCGGTCCACTTCTCGGAGCTTGCACGTGGGAGAGCATGATCTTCCGCTCCTGCAGGAGCAGTCCAGCTCGAAGGGGTGCAAGACATACTCGGCACTACCCACCAACCACAAACAGCGCGCGCGCACACACACACACACACTCTCACAGGCACCCTGACTCGACACAGAGCAATGGGTCGGCAATTTTACCGCATCGGGACTCCACTGCGGGCGAACACTTCTTTCCCCGGCCTGTTCCATCTTGGGCTTGGCATCCATCTGGCTGGCAACGCTGCGCAAGGCCTGAGACACGATGTGCAGCATCGTGTAAAACACCACCGACACCAGCATCACGAAGAGGGAGACCTCCGCAGTCCACGGGGTCAACGAGACACGAGGAGAACCACCGGAGCGTCACACTCTCAAACAAAATTATATGCAAGCAAGCAGCCGACCAAACCCAGACGATTTCCCTTGACGGAAGAAACATCAGTAGGATCGCCACAGTGGTGAAGAGCACAAATCGGGACGTAAGCAGGACAAACTCCAGGAAGTCCAACACCTCTGCTTGGGAATTTCCATAAGGCTTGAGCCATGCAGTCACTGCGAGCTGCATGCCCGAGATCAGCGCAAAGAGCAAGAGCTTCAACCTGTCATCGCTTGCTATCGATGTTGACGCGACCACAAGCATGACGCCGATGTCAATCCTCTTGATGACCAGTTCCCAGTACCTAAAACGGCTTCTGCTCAGAGTCGATTTCAATTTTCCGATGGCGGGAGCACCGCTTCTGTCGGGAACGCAGGACTCTCCCATGGCTTTCGGGGGGAAAGACATCTTGTTCAGTAAAGCTCGAAGGCTGTGCTACATCAAAGATAAAAGCCAAAGCAGCCAAGGCACCAATAGCTGGGCTCCAAACCTTGAATGAAGTATCCAAACCTCCTGCGGTTCCGAGGCTCCTGCCTGTCGCGAAGTGCCCATATTCTCAGGAATAAGGCAAGGGGAACTCCCAGGCACCATACCACGAGTCCTGTTAGGGCGACCATTGCTGTGGCCATGTGCTCGTCTTGCCAGCACTCCACATCCGGATGCGAACGCAGGCGCTGCACCGTCATGGGCTCCCCCCCGTCTTCGCTGTCTTCGTGAACCGATATGCAACGGATCATCTGCAGGAAGCTGGACATGAGCTCCGGCCAAAGGGCAAGCTGCGTCAGCCAGATGACGGGCATGCTTTGATCCAGCAATGCCTTGAGTCCGGGCCAGGACTCAAAGAGCGCCAAGTCCAAGGCAGTGACCCCGTGGGCCCCAAGAAGCCTTTCGTCTTCCCTGCTGCGCAGGTTGCGGCCGGCGCTCTGGAGCAAGGAATCCTGGGAGTCCTGGGCCCCTTGTGACTCAACAAGCTCGCGGGCTGACCCCGCAGCGCCCGCCACCTCCGCAAGGAAGTCGGCCTGCGACCGAAACGGCACAGGAACGGCACACGGATTCTGCTGCCCTGAACCTGCCACCCCCCCCATCCCCTCCCCTCCCCTTCCCAAACTTGCCCGCGAGTTGTCACAAGTGCTCTCCTGACTTCGCGCCGCCAGCCAAGCCTTCCTTGTGGGCCCAACAAGCAGGGACTGGTTCCCCATACATTCCGACTCACCCTCGAAACCCATCGAAACCCCCCATGGCCCTTGCTGTTAAGGGTGTGTGGCTCGCCACGGCCCCTTTCAGACAACCACACTCCATAGCCCGTCCCTCCAGAACTGTTTTTTTGTCCCGCGCAGTGGATTACCGTAGTCCCCATTCCCAGACCCACTTTTCCGGCCCGTAGAAGGGGGTCTGGCCGCCATGCATTCTCACACAACCCTTCTCTCGTTCACTCACTTGCCCCTTTCTGACAACCGTGCCCAGTGGGATTCCACTGAGTTTCACTAGTGGGCACTGGGGGGTAATGGGGGATTTACACACATGAGTAGTGGGATTTCCACGAGCGGGTAATGGAATTTCCTCAAGTGGGGAATGGGGTTTCATTGAATTCCACTAGTGGGGTTTGCCCGAGCGAGTAGTGGGATTCCAAATGGTTTCCATTCGCCATTCAAGCGGTTTCCATCGTGGGTAATGGCATTTCATTCCTGCATCTCTGAGCCACTGTGGAAGTACGGGCAATTCTGCATCTAAGCCTTACCTGATGCGGGCTAGGAGGCCAATCATCAACAATGTACCTACGTACTTATGCTATCGCCCATCCTCCCTTGGCCCTGCTCCCCACGCAGCTCTCGTCTTTCTCTTTGGGGCACGCCGACTCTGAAACACATCCAGTTGAAAGCGTCCAAAAAGCCAGGGCGGCCTTCGGGAGGCCCTGGTGGTCAGCTTCGGGCTCAAACTGGCCTTCGACTGCGACGCGCTTGCATCAGAAGGCTTTCGGGGGCTTGTGGCGCCTCACAAGCTGGTGCTGCGAAGCTGGGATACTTGGCCCGGCCTCGCAGCTTCCACACAACAGTGCCAAGGACCTGGGTGGAGGTATCGGACAGGCGGAACACGCTGCACCCTGAGCCCGAGATCTCGCGAAGCCATCTGAAGGACTTGCCGAATCTGCTTACTTTAGGGGCTCTAAGTTGGACGAAGCGGGATACAAGTAGCCTGATCAAGAGCAAAAAACATGCTGAGCCACCAGTCGGTGGAGCGCGTTCTTGGAGATCAAGCCGTCGGAGGCCTTGAGATTTCTGAGCTGAAAAAAAACCAGCAACAGCAAGCGGAGCAGTAACAGGCTTCCGGAACATGCTGCGGAGTGCTCTCCCTGTATGGTTGTTGCTCACAAATTGTCTACGAAAACCCTAAGAATGCCAGGCTTATAAGCAGTGGGCGGCGGCCGCGAGCTCCTCATCGCTGATGCCTCCAGCCAGAACAGCATCTGGGACATCCGCCTGCCAGTCCGCCTTCGGTTTTTGTGGCTTCCGGGTTCACTTCCCAAGACGCACGTGGCGTGGCTTTTTGGGGGGTTTACCGTGTGGCTAGGGGCCTACATGCGACCACGGATCTGCAACCCAACAAGCAAGCAGTCAGGGAGTATCACAGACCATTCTGTCGGCGAAGGGCCCTCAATGAGTATTGTTTTTCCTTGTCACTCAAAATTATGATTGCAAAACTCGCCCGAAAGCCTCGCGAGGCTGAGCTACACAGACCCGCAAACTCAGTTTGACCAGCCTCAAAAGCTGAAATCTCCGCCTTCACCATCCGGGAATCATACTGCCCCAAGGATTTCTGGCCCCAAGCATAGACTGCCCAGTGCGCGCCTGGTCCAAGATGCCCTGTGCAAGCTCTTCCAGGCAAGCTGGTGACTTGGCCACATCGCCAGAACCATCAGCAATCCCACCATCATCGCCATCCTCCGGTCTCTCTCAAGAGTCGCTGTCGCAAGGAATCTACGCTTGGCTGAGTGACTCCTACGGGTGGCTTCACTTCTTTGAGTTCGGAGTCCTTCGATAAAAGATCGGCTGCGACCTTCAACTGGCCCCTGACCACGTGGAGGGCTGCCCTCCTCTGTGTCGCCTTCTTGTCTGCGGCCTCAGTTGCACACGCAGATGGGAAGTATGGCGCATGCCGCATCTGGCACCCTTTCGTCTCTAACTGTACACGGAAATCAGCATGACTGTTCACTTCACCGAGCGTCGTTGAAGTGGAGTCCGAGCATCTTTCCAAGTGGCACCGCGATATACACCACGCAGGCACACAGAAGAACAGTGCTCGCGAGTGTCAGCGGCGGCAAGGCTAGATAATACAGCGCTGGTATCATCCGTTTGGCAGTCGGGTTGCCGGGCAACATGTCCTCTGCTTGGCACGCAGCTGCGAAGTTGACACTTGTTCGAGGAAGGACTGCCAGCAGCGAGAAAAGGCCCCTCATGGCATCAGAAACTGCCTGAGGCCACATAAGCCTGGGCTCTGGGCAGTTCTGGTCACAGCCCTGTGCCTCCGACCACGAGAAGGCCTCCAAGCGATCCAGGTCGAAGTTCAGCAGGATGGCACAGGCAGCGATCCAGGACTGAACGATGCGGATCATCGACGTGTGCAACTTCAGAGAGGTCCCTGCTCCCTTGGCAGCCAGTACTGCAATGACGAAGTTCACAACGGTGATCCTCGCGATATCTGCCGTGACGGAGCTGACCAGCAAAGCGGCGCCCTGGCCCAGCGGGCAGGGTTGGCAGTATTCCAAGGGGTTGCCCCTGGCCCAAGCCACTGGGCACTCGCCGCAGATCATTCCTGCAGAGCCTTCTGCACACTGGTTTCCAAAGCGCTGGCAGCCTGCAAGGGATGCGAGAGATGGATCACGCTCTTGCTGGCACTCGGCAGTACCCCCTCTGCAAACGCTCCTCCCGTCGGGCAGCACAACAAGGCATTGGAAAGCCAGCGTCTTGCCTGACTGAAACCAGCCTTCAATGGCCTGTGGCTGAGTATGATTCTTCGTGCCGAAGTCAAAGCCACCGGGGCAGACCAAGCCACTATAAAGAGCGCAGCTGGCACATCGGTTCAGCTTGCCAGTACTGTCCAATTCTGCCACATGCGCAGGCAAGCAGTAGCAGTCATCCAACTCGATGGATGCTGGCCCGCTACCGGCGTTTGAAGGGCATGTGTTAAAGCACACTCCGTTGCCCAGGTTCGGTTTGTACCTCCCCGGCGCGCAGGGCTCGCAGAACGTTGCTGAGGATTCAACTGCCGTGGCAACCTGGTGCCCGGCGATGCAAATGCAGTCGGTCAGAGAGCGAGAGCCTTCAGATATCGTGGTGGAGTTCTCTGGACATCTGAACGCAGCTCCCGTTCCATTGCAGTAGAACCCGGTCACGCAGCTGAGGCACTCAGCATCCTGCTCATACATGCCGGCTCCGCACGTGCATTGCTGAACCGAGACAGCCCCAGGTTGAACCGTTGATTTTGGGGACTCGCACTTCTCGCACCCCGAATCTTCCAATGTGAACTTGTACTCCCCTTCGGGGCAGATCTTGCAGCTCCCGAGCTGCACGTCGAAGCCGAAGCCCGGCTTGCAGAGGCAATCGCCTGGGCCCAAGATGGGCACACCCGGTGGCTTGGCGGAGAAGTCTGGGCAGGTGATGGTCACAGATGACACAGAGGGCCCCGACAGCGGCTCGATGGTGAGGCCGGACAAGTCGGCATTTTGCTGCAGGGCGCTGCTCATGTCACCAACAAGAACGCTGACATCCGTCTCCTGTGCCGAGCGGCTGGCTTCGGCTTCTGATGGAAACTTCAAGAGGATAACAACTGATGATTCTGTCAACCTGCGGCCAGCAGCCGCCCAAGGCAAGATGATTTCAACAGCACCTGGGTCCAACCTGGTAGAGTCAGCAAGGCTTCGGCGTAGGATCGTGATAAGCTCCCGCCTGATGCTTGGGTCAATCCAGTCGCCTAGAGAAACGTTGAAGGTCACCGTTGGCACATCGGAAGCATTGCTGAAGCCTTCGGCATCAAGGTCCGCAGGAGCCGAGCCCTCCTCGTCCAGCGCAGCAACACAAGAGGCATTGGACACAGAACCAGTGAGGTGCGTGGTCAGGTTCTGTGGACAGGCATCACAGGATGCCATGTTTCCCGGATCCGCTTTGTAGAACCCTCGCCCGCAGGCGGCGCAGCTACCAGAATCCAGAAAGTAGCCGGCGACGCACTCGCAGTCCAGGCGAGTGCGTGCGCTTCTCGTTCGAGTGGTCTCGTGTGCCGGGCAAGGGAACCTTGTGGCCGAAACAGGGTTGCCTCCTGGACAGTAGAAGCCTCGGCCGCATGGAGTGCATCGGGAGGTCGCCAAGAAATGCCCTTCAGGGCAGTCAATTTGCACTTGGCCCGCTGCTGCTCGGAATGACAGGGCGGATGTACAATCAAGAGCCCCTGGGCACCAACAGAGTCCGTACGTGCCGGGGGTCGTCTCCCGTGGGATGGAACCGAAAGAGGCTTGCAGTGCTTGGCCCTCCTCTTGGAGTCGGAGAGCTTGATCCGGCATGAAGTTGGCCAAGTTGGCCGCGCCAGCGGTAGCACCACAAGAGCCCTCAATCACAATCAGCGCATCACCCGCGTGCAACCCGATGCCGTACAGGTCAAGGGTGCAGGTGCTGCCAACAGTGCAAGTGGTGGTCTGCTGGAACGGGCCAGCTGCTGTCATGAGTCCGAAAGGTGCTCGGAAAGCCGCAGCGCCATCGCAGGCTGCATCTGCAGTTGGCCTGCAAAAGCAAAGCCTGAAAATGCCAGCAGGTGAACGCAGCAGATTCGAAGCGCCCTGGAACTGGAAGGCGGCCCCATCCTCACGCATGGGTGTGCATGGCATTGCATGGCCCACATGCTCTAACATTGCAACGTGTGTGTGGACTTCGCTGGATCACACCGGCAGGCATACGAGCAACACACAACACCCTGGTTGCTATCGAAAAGATTCCCCTGAAACAGCCCAAACCTGGCCTCGGCATACTCGGCGTACTCGGCGATGCCCCCACCAGGGAAGCCTTGCACTGCGGAGCCTGTTCCACAGGCAGAGAGCACCATGACGAGATCTCCGGCAGCAGCTTCCACGAACGGGATACCGGTCAAGACACAAGGCTGCCCAACGAAGCAGCTGATCTCTTGGTTGACATGGGGCCCCTTCACCTGCAGCTTGCCAGCAGGTACCACAAAGTCCTCTTGGCTGCAAAGCGGACCGCCGCACCAGCAAAGATCGTACCCCTCGCTGGCATCCACAAACACGCCATGGTCCAGACCAAGTCCTGCATTTGAGGAGCCGAAGTGCATGGAAAACGTTGACTCGAAGGACTCCAGAACCGCAGACCCTTCCACGTTGGCCGGCGAGATCTGCAGCACCGTGCTGCCGCATCCGCCGGTCCGGATGGACACACGGTCCAACGGAGACAAGCCCTCGCCACGGAAGGGCGATAGGCCAGTGCAGTCTTGGCCCCGGACGCAGTGGAACAGGTGATCGCCAGAAGGCCCCGCAACATGTAACAGGCCCGCTGAGAGCTGAAAACTTTCCAAACCGGGGCAAGCCAGGCCTGGCATGTTCGCACACCAGCAAAGGCGGTAGATGCCACCTTCGGGAATGAACTCGGCAGGAATGTCACCCCAAAGGTAGTTCCCTGTGCTGGCTGGCTCTGACATGCCATCATTGCTTATGCCGGCCACGGGCAGGTTCGCGGCACCGCAATCTCCCGACTTTGTGAGTGCAAGGCGGTGTCCATCTCGGAGATGGAAGCCATTCAGCTGGATAGAACAGGCTCTACCTGAAGTGCATTGGACCTGCTGCCCGTCGTGTGGTCGCACGCACAGATCCTCGTGGCCTGAACCAGCAGCTTCCGTTGTCGAGCCGGGGACACAGGCGTGGCACGTTTCCTCCCCAGCAGCGCCGGTGGTGTTGCTCCAGGTGCCAGCCGCACACGGGCTGCATGGGACATTTCCAACATTGTTCTTGTAGTGACCTGCTGCACAGGGAACGCAAGCGGCATCCTCGACGTACGTGCCGGCAGCACACAAACATTGCGAGCGATCGCTGGCCGCGTTGACAAGCGTCGCCTGAGACTCAGCGCAAGGCTCCCGGTGTGTCCCTCCAATGCAAAAGAACCCGAAACCACAGGGTTCGCAGTGTGACTGGCTGCTGGACGCATTCACGAAGCCGGGCATGCACTTGCAAGAGGTCGATCCTACGGCCCCCTCCTGCAACGTCGTGGAGCCATAAGGGCACATCAGGCAAGCAGCCTCTTCCATGTAGCGTCCAAGTGAGCATCGGCAATCTGAAACATCACCTTAGGGCAAACTTAGGGCAACACATCACAAGTCGCCAAAGCAGTACACCCCAGGTTGCAAGACTTGGCAAACTGGACCCCTCTGTGTTCCGAGAACTGCCCACTTAGCATTTCATGAACTCCGCGGCTCAGATACAGTCTGAGAGCCTGAGGAGATGACTGGATCCAGCCGGGGAAGAGCTCCAGGCAGGGCAGCTGTCAACACGTTGGCCGTCAGGGCAGAAGTAGCCTTCCGGGCAGCTTTCGCAAGATCCATCCACTTCGTAGAGCCCAGGAGGACAAAGGATCTGCAGTTCAAGTGCAGTGGCCCGGAAGTCCTCTGCTGCGCCACACCGACCTGCCGGACACCAACATAGGTTGAGGGTTTCGGGCACGCCATTTGGCTCCAGCTGTCCTAGATCCAGTGTGAAGGCATCCATAGATCGATCGATCCGGAGAGACGTCTGAGGAGAAGCACTGGCATGGCCAAATGTAGCCGAGGCGTTGTCGGTCCCACACTGACGCATGGCGATCACACGGTCGTCCACTGACAAGCCGACTCCGCGCAGGGAGGCGAAAGCGCACGGCTGCCCCATGACACATTGCAGCCTTTGGTTTGCGAATGGGCCCTCGCTGATGAAGAAGCCAAGGGCTACCAGGTCACTCGGCGAACACTGCGAGGCGTCGCATGAGCACAGGGTGTATAATCCAGGGTCCACGTGAAGTCGGGATGAGATGGATGAGCCAGCGCCCTCCGTGAAGGCGAAAGTCCCATCCGAGCTCTCAGCCGAGGCCAGGGACTCCGAGTCCATGCATGACCGCTTGACGGACAGGATGCTCGGAAGATTCGGAAGTGAAGTGTTCAAGACACACGTCTGACCCACAGGGCACTTCGCAACCAATCGCGGCCGTGCTGGGGTCGCAGCGAACCTCCAGAGATCGTCCAGGTAGGATGTGTTGAACCCTCCGAAGCTGAGCAATCCGCTGGAGGAGTCGTCCCATACGATTGCTGGGTCTGCACGTGGCGAAGGCCCGGCAGCAAGCTCTGACCACGAGCTAGTCAAGAAGTCAAACCTGCAGCAACTCCAACAGAGCTTCGCGCGAATCTAGCGCTCGAGGCAAGCGGACGAAAGAGCACGTCAGGACGAAGCACACCCTCGCAACATGAATGTGCAGTACTAGCATGCACTCTTGCGACTAAGCAGCCGGTACAGCTTGTCGTCATAGCTCAAGTTGCCGCTCGCATTCTGAATGCCCGCGTAGACGACCATGGACATGGCACTGGCCTGCCAGGCGGCTGCATGTCTACCTCTGGGGGCAGGGCTTCCAGCCGAAAAGATCTCCCTCCAGAGGTTCGCCCAGGAGTCGTAGATGTGCAGGTCCTCCAAGTAGCCACTGCCGCTCCAGCCCGCAAACACAAGCATGGACATCGTCACCTCAGACTGTCGACCCCCAAGAGGCGGCGGCCTCTAAACGCAAGCCCAGAAAATCATGTAAACATTTTTGAATATCAGCAGTAATATAATGTATGTATATACGAAGATATATAAGGCTTGCATGTCAACACACCCTAAACCCTAAACCCTAAACCCTAAACCGCATCACAAGCGTACAGGTCTTGGGCCACGTTGCGGGGTCCCAGATTGCGGAGTGCCGGCTCCTTGGCCCGGGGCCGCTGGCGGCGAAGCTCCAGGCCTGCCCAAAAAGGGTTTAGGGTTTAGGGTGTAGGGTTTTGGGTTTAGGGTTTAGGGTTTAGGGTTGAGGGTTTAGGGTCATAGTAGGGTTTAGGGTTTAGGGTTTAGGGTTTAGGGAGGGAAAGCTGGGCTTTTGGCTCGGCGCAAGCGAAGCAAACACACGTGCCATACGCTGCCATGCCACGTCTTTCTTGGGACTAACTCCATTTTGTGTCTCATACGAACGAGCTGCACGAACACCTAGAAGAAACCACCTACCGCCTCCAATGATTTGGCAAACCAATTTCAGAACCTCCGCAACCTGGAAGAAGACCTGTTGCAAGCGAACCCCCTTGGGATTCATGGGATTCATGCCCCTGTTCTGACAGACGACCTGGTGGCGCAGGCTACATCTCACCAGGTCGCCCAAGATGGCGCCATTCTCGCCCCCGAAGACCAGCATCGAGCGAGAGTCGGCGTCCCACACCATCGAGTGGTAGGCACGTGCTGCTGGTGCCATGGGGAACACAAGCTGCTGCCAAGTGCCGACAACATGGTATTGCCAAAGCTCACTGAAATACGTCCCAAGGTGAACTCCTGCGAAGAGGAGCATCGAGCGAGTTGTGGCGTCCCAGGCCGCTGAATGTCCCTGCCTGGCATGCAGTCACCATGCACTTGCTGGAACACTGGCACCTGCTAGCACCTGCCTCACTTGAGGTCGTATACATCTGTTCTGAGTGGGGGGCACTAAAGCAAGCTCCAAACACATGCTTTCTCAGGAGTTCATGCCAGCACAAAAGAAGACCCACGGCTTTTGCGGGGCTGGGTGTAGTTTCAATCCTGGCTGGACAGGGCCTGCTAGCATGGCAAGATATGGCGTCAAGACATGACTGCGGTCCGGGCCTGGTCGATGGACCGCTTGCAGAGAGGTAGCTCCAAGCTCGAGATGGCCAGTGGTACTGCCACAGGTCCTGAAAATACTCGAAGCTGTTGCCAGCCTGCCCACCGAAGATGAGCGCGGACTGCCCCTCGGCGTCCCAGACCATGCTGTGGTCGTGGCGGCCTCTCGGCCCTTGGACGGTGAAGTCACCCCAGGCATCCAGCTCGCACTGAACTCCTGCCATGTGAGCATTTATGAAATCGCCTCGGCTTCCAGCCGAGAGGCGTCTAGAACACGCACATCCTTCCCCCGACTCCCGAACTTTCTGTGCTGAGGAGCCGCGGGGGTTCCAGGCTGTGGCCCCGACACCAAGCACGAAAAGGCTGGCCACCACCCTTAAAACCCCCCTTCAAACCTTCCCTGAGACTGCCGAGAATTTCCTCGGACTCTGGACCCCTGAAATCTATTGGGGCCCTGACCCTTCTGCGACCCGTCCTACGCACGCTGCCCCCCGCGTTGGCCAGCCCGGCTGCCGAGGCGGCGCACGCAAGCTTTTTACAATTATCAATGGCCTTCTTTTGGGATCGTATGAATGTCGAAGACATGCCCCGACGCGCAGCAACGCGAGAATGGTATCGAAGCAGACGAGCAAGTTTCCGAGAAAGACTGCAACGCGCATCCTCCATTGGAGTTGCTGTCTTGGTTCTGCTGTACGTTTGAGTTGTGACGTGTGGGTCAAACAGTCCTGGGTGCGATGCTGTGTTCTCTCTTCCGTGTTGTCGACTCCATGCAACCCACAGTTCGACCGATGTAACACAAAAGATGGCGCGCCTGCTGCTTCTCGCTGGGAACAATCATGGACTTGCCAGCCCCTGAATGAGCAATCGCCGAGGCTGACTTCTGTGCCGTCGCACTTGATGTCATCCACAGCGAAGGCAGCGGAGGTGCCATTGGACGGGTAGAGGAAGTGCAAAGTCGTTCCGGCAGCCATGCCCAGGTCCTGGAGTGTCAACTTAAACCCAAGGTCCCTGGATCAACAGTCGGCACATGGGCTCTGCTCATTCAGCCTTGCACACATGCCTACGTGATCCCATCAAGTTCGAACAAGATCGAACACTCAGGAGATTATGGATTAGGTTTTAAGGCACACAAACGGCATCCTTGCAGGCCACCCTGGCCGCGGCTGAGTTGAAGCCATCGTCGCAAACCAGTGCCCAGGAGCCGTTGTGAAGCACCTCGAGCCATCCCCACGTCCTGTCCCCTCCGGAAAGACGCACTGCCTCCAGACCCTCTCGCAGATTCTGACTGACGAAGAGGGGGGGGAGCTCTCCGGAACCGGCGAGCTCTGATGGCTCGTCGCCTACTGCGTCACTCCTGCCCAGGCCAAGCTGGCCATCTCTGCTCAGCCCATAGCACAGAAGCGAGTCGTCCACCTGCAAGGCACAAGTGTGCCGGCCACCCACTGCAAGGCTCTGGGCTCTGTCGACAGCCATGGGTTCAAGATAATCGCCCATCTCGCCCGGGCCGTTTCCTACGTTGAGGCTGTTGCCTTGCCCCAGCTGCCCATATCTGTTGTATCCCCAGCACCGGACTGTTTCATCCTGAAGTATCACGCAGGAGTGAAAGGAATTTACACCCACAGCAAGATGCGTAGCCGACATTCCAGTGCCCAGGTCGACATCAGTCGCTCCGTCGACATCCCGATCCGACGTGTCACCGAGACCGAGCTGTGCGAAGTAATTTCTGCCCCAACAGCGCACCTGGCCTTCTGCTGAGAGCACACACGTGTAATCGTGGCCTACCGCCACCTGTATCACAGGGAATCCGAAGTCAAACGTCGGGAGCCGATCCCCCATCTCCCCAGGCTCATCGCCCGCATTCGTGCCTTGAGGAAACAACATGCCCCAACAAGCCACGTGACCTTCGGCGGAAAGAGCACAGGTGTGCCGATCGCCTGCAGCAAGGTGGATGGCTGAGAAGTTGCCCAGGTCCAAGGCGGGCAGGGAATCTCCCATGTGAGAGCTGTCAGTTCCACGGTTCCTTGGCTGTCCAGGGAAAGAAAAACCGTCAAACGCTGAGCGAGCGGGCATGATCGCACGAGTCTCATAACGCCTGAACTGAGGTCCCGGCAGCACGTCCCCCAGGCCCAGCTGGCCTTCCGAATTCCGACCGAAGCACTTGACAGCACCTCCCAGGAGCAGGACGCAGTTGTGCTGCGCGCCACAGGAGACCTGAGTGACTTCTGCTCCCAGGCCCAAGTCGATCGGAGGGAGGTGCTGCCCCATCTCGTTGGGCTCGTCGCCAATGCCGGTCGCGTTGCCAGAACCGAGTTGCCCCAAGGCACCGCTCCCCCAGCACTTCAGAGCACCACCCCGAAGCAGTGCGCAACTGTGATCATCACCAGCGCAGGCCTGGAGAACCTCGCTCCCTGCCGAGTGGGGACGATTGGCGACTCTCTGAATGACAAAAAAGTGAGATGTGGCATGGCGTGGCGTGGTGTGAGCATGGGGTGGACATGGTGTGGCATATGGCATGGCACGGTAGGGACAGCAGGGCCTTCTTAACATGCTTTTTTTCGAATGAGCCGCCTCGAGGATCCCCCAAGTCCACGACCGGTACCTGCACACCAACCTCTAGCGGCTCATCACCCAGACTCTCCACGTTGCCGTAGCCCAACTGACCGTATCGGTTCGAGCCAAAGCACTTGAGCTGCCCCGCAGCTAGGACACACGTGTGCTCCCAACCAAGAACTGGAGTCATGGCAGCTGGAGCAGCAGCTTCTTGCACATGCAAGAACAGGTCATCAATAGCAATGTCGACAGCATCGGGAGTGTACTGGTCAGTGGCTGCTAGACCCTTGAAGCGCACACGGCGTGCGGTTGCTGGCAGCAGTAGCTTCACCTGCTCCCAGCTCCCGTCTCCTTGTTCACGAATCTTGGACCATCTTGTCTGCCAACGGCCTTCACCCCACACATCAAGTTGCAGACTGTAGGTTCCCCAGCCTTTCATTCGGTACGCAAAGGCCAGGTAGGCAACACCAGCGACGCCTGGAAAGAAGGGGCTCGTCAGGACTGCCTGCACAGGCTGCAAGCATAGGGAAGCAAGAGGAAGAGTCGCATTAAGAGATCCTTCAGGTCATTTAAAACCTCAGGACTCCCTGGAGGCGCCTCCTCGGTAGACTCCCACTGCCCTTGCGTCACGTAGGCGAACAGCTGGCCGCGCCAGGCTGGGAAGCCATCGGCGCGCCCGGCAGAGCTCGACCAGGTCCCGGCCCACGCGCAGAAGTCCTCCTCGAAGTCGCACTGCGCCTCGCTGAGGCCCGCGAAGGCGACCAACTCCACGTGGAAGGAGTTGATGCTCACCACGTCCTCCGAGCTCTTCGTGGTGGCCAGCAAACGCAGTGCCCGAGACTTCGAGATGGGGCCCATGAGCTGAAGCGTCTCTGAGACATGGGGCGATGCCAGAGACGCAGGCGATGTCTGCAGATCGGTCCAGGTGCCATCCTCTGTGAGGTGCTGCACTCTTAGAGCAGCAGTGGGTCCCTCAAGCCGGAAGTTGAGGAAGAAAGTCGCGTCCGAGGCATTTGTTTGGATCTCCGCGCTTTCGAGGGCAGCAGATAGGCCATCCGTCCCGATCCACTGCAAGAAGAAGCTACCCGCAGCGTCCGGACCTGCCTGGCGCCACGTGGCAGACGTGGAACTGTTATCGAACCACAAACAGCCAGAAACTTGAAAGCTCTCACAAGCCAGCTCTTGTGGTAGGACCGCCGCTGTGCGCACTGCCCCCAACGCGAGGTCGCCGGAAAGCCCCTGCTCGATGACACCTCGAAAGCGCAAGGCTTGGGCATCGGCAGGCAAGCTTGCACGAAGTCGAAACCACATATCGCCCTGATTCCCTGAGGCGGACCAAATGGTCGTCCAATTCAAGCCGTCCCAACTCTGCAGCTGCAGATATCCAAACTCCTCGTTGCCATACATGCGGAAGCTGAAGTACACAGACCTCTCGTCGCCGCCTCCTTCGCTGAAGAATGGGCTTTGCAGAACGGACTCCTCATCAGGGGCTTTGCAAGTGGGGCAAGCCCCCCTCAGCGGGACAGAACCAGCAGCTCAAAGCACAGCTCACAACACACCACCATTAAACTCAAGGGCCTAGGTGGCCTTTGCGCGTCAATCTCATCAAGTGCTGCAACAGTTTGGGAGGAGGCGTTGATGAATTGATTTCGACAGGACACTACGTCAACTACTCCAAGCCATGTAAAACTTCGGCGCAGAAAAAACCGGCAAGTAAGAATTTCCCAGGCCATGCTATGAAGCATGAGGACAGCCCCAAAGAGAGCTTAAAGGCTTGCATCCTACCTGCAGCAACAAAAGGAGAACGAGGTGCCACTACAGACCCGCTCGCTGCGAATCAACTCTGACACTGATGTGACAGGATGTCTTGTACATGCATAGCAGCATGGCTTTCGGCAACCCCACATCCTTCGCATTACCGCCATTGGCGGCTGAATGCCTTGATGACATGTAGTAAACGCCAGAGAATGCGGCTGACCGTCCCGCGCTCACTGCGTCATTGGTCCATCCGTCGCACCAGCTTCTCCATGTTGCGGTGAGTGGAGGCAGCACGTCATCACTGGACAACCTTGAAGCGTAACTGCACCCCCCATCGCCATCAAGATCCTTGGAAGCAGTGACCGATGGGGCGTCCTTGTCAAATATCCAGCGAGGCATGTAAGTGCTGCCTCCAGCACAGTGAGGATCGTGGTAGATGTATCTCTCATCGTTTGGATCCACACGCTTGTAGTAGGGTCGCCCACTGAGGGTTTGGCCTTGCACTTGGTACCACCCATTCACGTCCGGAGTGCAGCTGCCTGTCACGTACAGGAAAGTGGCCTCACAAGGTAATCGACAGGCATCATGATTTCTGAATCATCACGCGACAGTACTACTGCACGTCAAAACATCTACAACCTTGGAACCGTTCCCTCGCACCTCCTGGTCATGGTCACCAGAGGCTACCCAGCCACAAGTGGTGGGGTCAAAGCTGCACGCCACGGAGTCATGGCTTGCAGCGCCAGTGTCCACTGCATCCAAAGCCATATCGCTGCTAAAACCACTCCCGGTTATGATGTGGAAACGAAGTGCTTGTGCATCATCAGGCAGCCTTACATAGGCATGATGCCAAACGTCGGCCTGATTGCCAGATCGTGACCACGTCGTTGCCCAGGTGTCACCAACCCAGGACTGTAGTGACAGGCTGCCCATGCTGCCTCCATACATGTGGTAGCGAAACTGCAGATACCTTTCTGCGCCATCGCCCTTGGTGAATTGGGGACTCTCCAGCGTGAACTCCTCCACAATTCCGACATGATCAGTATTGAATCGGTCTAACCTATCTAGATCACAGACCTACTCCAATCCTTGACACCAAAATCTGCGGCTCTCCGGCCTGGTTGGGAGTGTTGCCACTGGCTTCCAGGTAGATGTAGTGCATGCCAGAATATGCGCCTGCTGGCCCGGTGGACGAAGAAGGGGTCGCCCCAGTCTCCCGTCGCCAAGCCTCCCAAAGCCAAGCAACGCAAGGAACATTTCATGCACAAATCAGGACTGTACTCAGTACTGTTGGAAAATGCCGCAGTGTTCAACCCTACATGCATGTACGAAGCCTGCCGACTGACAAACAGGACACACACCAATGTCAGAGCGAGCAGAAAGCGTAACAATGACACAAACTTGCCTGCTCATTGCTGGGTACCCAACCGCATGCATCAAACTCAAAGTCGCAGCCAACAGCATCGTAGTTTTGCATCAACGTGGACGTCGACGTGGACGTCGATGTGGACTTCGACGTGGACGTCGACGTGGACGTCGACGTGGATGTCGCCATTGATTTCTGCACCATCCCGGCCAGGAAGACAATAGGCAGGGCTGCGTGAAATGCCGCCATGCTCACCTTAGATCCCGACCCGGCGCACGCACACGCCACAAGTTACGACATCACATCAAGCCAGGCCATCGACGCATCTACCAACCATGCACGGCCATACCCAAAGTTTGATGGTCTCAACGATCACAACTGAATCACAACATGACAAAGACAAAGACCGAGCTGAAAGAAAATTCGGTGGGTGGCGCAGAGCTGCGCAAAATCAACGCACCATTACTCGACGAGTTTGGTGCTTCATGTCTGACGGCACGCACCCAAGTAACGCAACTGCTCAATTTTTAGCAAATTCAGTCATGGCACGCAGTAGGACTCAGTATGGTTCATGGGTTTAGAATTTCGGGTTGCATAGGTTTCGTGGCTGCGCAACCAGATGTCTCGTAACCGTCACAAGCTTATTCCACTTTGAACAAGGGAGGCGTGCTTAAGGGAAGGACTCGACATCGCTGAGCTCAAACTCGGTGAAACAGCAGCTTGAGAGCTGTCTGGCCGGTTCATCTTTGCATTCCAGCTCCGAACGCTACTGGCAGCTCCCCAACTCTCCAAATCCGCAGCTCCGAGCCCGTAAAACCTGGCATGATCTGAGGAGGTTTCGAAGGCAGGCGACCGTTTCTCGACTCTTGCCTTTGCCAGCCTTGGAAGATGTTTTGGATGTGTCGGAGGCGGAAAAACTGCTGAACGGAAATATTTTGTGAGTTGTAAAGTATGATACGGCGCGATGTTGAATACTGTAGCAGGCCACTGCAGCGGATGAGCTGATAGCACTTGAAAATTGAAACTACCAAGGCTCCCCTCGCCCTTCCCAAAAGCCCACCAGACCACGCACGGCTCATCGCCCAACGCGGCGGGTACTTGCACTCGCAGGTTTTAATTTTGGGGAGTTGAAGTCTTGAGGGCTTAAGGAAATGAAAAATCACGCGCAACATGGCTTTCAGGTGAAAAACCCAATAGACCGTGACTCGTACAAGCACCGCACGGGGCAACACCTAGTAAATCAGAGTAATATTGTCGAAAGACGAGCATACACCAATCATACTCTTCAGCAATATTGCATGGTACTGTCGTAGTACTATAAAGATACTATGCTCCCTCAGCCCTGTGCTCGGAAAACGGAGAACGATGCAGGGAAGCACACGACCCTGAACGTAACTCTTTGTACGCTGGAGCCAGGAAGATGTATGCTTTTCGCCTCTTCTCATATTGTCTTTGCATGTTTTGTCTGACGGGTCAATTCCCTACCGTCGTGCGCTTTACACAGTTTTTGCAACGGCTGGCTGAGGGTCCGGAGCGTGACACTTTTCTTGATGTTGCTGTTCCGCTTAGCTTCAATGAGCACCAACAGAGCCCATACCACTACAAAACATATCTATCAAGTATTTGCGTAGGCATAGGTTTTCTTCTAGCATTCCTGATTTGATTTGCATCTTTCGGGCGGCCTGAATTTTACTATTCGTAGTGGCATTGTTTCCCGTAGTGCTGGCATTATCTCCTGTTAGTATTGCTGTTAGTATTGCTAGTGTTCTTCGTATCAAAAGGTTTCATAAGAAGCTTTCAGGTATCCACGAAATTCCCAGAGTTCTGGGCTCCGAAATTATCTTGCGGGCCCAACTTCACCTTGGAACGTCCCAGAAGGCCTGGGATCCAGCCTTCCACATGTCATAGATGCCCAAACCCGCTGAGCAGGGTTTAGGGTTTAGGGTTTAGGGTTTAGGGTTTAGGATTTAGGGTTTCGGGTTTCGGGTTTAGGGTTTAGGGTTTAGGGTTTAGGGTCTAGGGTTCTCGTGGCGCTCATGCTGTGAAGGTAAGGATGCAGAATTGAAAGAGGCTCGAAAGCTTCGTCAGGTGCAACGAGCAGCTCTGGCCGGATTGTGGAGGGCCATCTGACACCCCACGCCGTCCAAGGCGGCAAAGCCACCCTACACCTATTCCTTTTAGGGTTTGGGCCTAAATTCAGGTCATTTGCCTACGTGCAAAAAAACTTCTTCCGTTCCCAACGGGTGCTGAGAGGCTCTCAAGCGGGTCAGGGTCCAGGATTTCGAGGGGTCACGTGTCCTAGGCAGCTCCCAGGCCCTTTGTTTTGAGCACCCCCAAAAGGCCCCCTGGTCCCTGAAGACGCTGGGTCGGTGCCATTAAGCGCCGCCGCCCCGTGTAGAGGGGCGGCCGAGGCCTTGAGCTAGGGTTTGGATTTAGGGTTCAACGTTGAGGGTTTAAGGTTTAGGGTTAGGCCGCTGCTTTTCTGAATCTATCGGAGTTTGAGCTCAGCGATGTCGAGTACGCCCGAGCTTGTTGTTGGTTCATATATACTGATACGTGTCTCAACCAGTAGATCTTTCTCGCCAAGCCACAGCAACACCAACGTCCGAATCGCAATTCGTGCGTCTGCTTCAGTTCGCCAGCTGGGCTCCGGCTGGGCTGCTTCGTGCGAAACACAGAAGGATCAGGATTGGTGCGGCTGCGCTACTATGTAACACAAAAAGGACTGAAGTTATCACTTTCTTTTGAGCCAAAGGCTAGCGGAGTCGCAAGTCGGTCTCTCACTCACAAGCTTTATCATGCATCTCTGCACACATGTTGCGGGTGTTGTGGGGGAGTCAAGATAGTTCGACAGTCTGACCGGGCTCCATGTTTCTTCGGTACGTGGAAACATGTGTGAATGCGCGGAGGAGGGGCTGTTGCTGCAATGTGCTTACTGGGTGTTTTGAGGGTAAGGACGGGACGTTTTAGGGGTGTTTTGAGACTGCATTCTTCAGGGGTGTTCGAGGGTGTTTGGGAGGTGTTTTAACGGTGTTTTATTGTGCGTGTTGAGAATATCTGGGTAACAATTGCGTGGTCGCTGAACACATCGGAGGTTGGTGATGTCGATATATGGGGAAGCCTGGCAGGTTTGCGTGCATTATGCTGTTCTTTTTTTCTCGTTCGGATTCAATGCGTTGCTATTGGTGCGACGGTGCAGCAGCTGGGACGGTGTTCTGGCCTGCGTGCTAAATCTACTGGGTACTGCAGTTACTACACGTGTGTTTCTCTGTCTTACGTGCTTTGTAACTGGGGTGTCTCGTATTCGTTTGGCTCAAGAGTGGGCTGAGTGCTTCCCGTGCTGCACGCTGTGGCAGTGAAGCAATTCGGCATGGTGTTTTTTCATCTCTGCTCGTGAAAATGAGAGCGAGAGAGGAAAGGGAGACAAGAAAAGAAGGTTTGGAGTCGAAGAGAGAGAAGGGAGACAAGAAAAGAAGGTCTGGAGGGGAAGAGAGAGTGGAGAGGGAGAGGGAGAGGGAGAGAGGGAGAGAGAGGGAGAGAGAGAGAGCATCAGTGTATTCGAGAACCAAACAGCGGAGTTTCTCCGACACCTCCCCCTACCTTCTTTTCCTCCTCCCCCCCTCCTTTCCTCTCTCCTTTCTATCTCTCTTCTCATCTCTTCTTTCTGTAGTCGAAAGTCTTCCACGTCGCGTCTCAAAGGGGTTTGGACCGGGCGAAAGAAGGAAACTGGTATCCACACTCCACATGGTGGCGGTATGATCGCTCGTCTCACGTCCCAAGGTGCTCCATCACTCAGCAGAGTAGTTGCTCGGACAGCATACCTCGATGCGATTTCGGACTCACCTTCACTAACTAGGTCCTTCTAGCAACCTTTGCCCGCGACATAGCTTTCGCAATGGCCGCAGCAACATCCTGAGGACTCAACAGGTACACAGCCATTGCAGCTTGGTCATAGCCCATACCTGGGGATGTTCCCGTGTACTAACAGTCCTGAATAAATATAGTACCCCCTATTATACCCCCGTTAAGGACTGTTGGTTTAAGGGGGAGCATCCCAACCCATACCCTTGAACACAGCTTCACCATCGACAGGAAAACAGGCTGAACCGGACCACCACCTCCGTCCCCGAACAGCAAGTGGAGCCAGCTGTAGTAAGCAACAAGGCACTCCAGCCCGACCAGTGTTTCGGGTTCGCACGTTGACTCGGGGGCCCCGACACGTGAAGTACAAGATCATCACCTACGATCCAGCAAGCCCCGGTCCGCCCCAAAAATGCGAACGCCTACATCTGCGAAACTCCAACCTGGACACTCCCCCCGTACCCTCGACGTCGTCGATGACATCACGCGATTCTCACAAACGCGCAAGGCCAGACGGCGGTATCATCATCGACCTGGAGAGGAAAAGAACAATCCCACCGAAGACACGCTCCGGATGGCAGCTTGCAGCACAGCATACCACCGGGTAGGGCGCGGCAAGATCACCCACGGCGCCTACGTGAATGAGTTCTCCAAAGCTAAGGTCTAAGATCGCTTAAGGCATGTGAAAGTATGCAAGCCATGATGGATTGGGCGGACAAGATTGATGCTGCACAGGTTAACAACACTAGAGTCCAAATCGGTTCATCCGAGCCAGGGTTGTCCAGGCCGGGTTGAAAATGTGTTCGAATCGAAAATGTTTAGAAATCGTACGGTAAACTTCCCCGAGCCAAGCTCGTCCAGGCCGATTGAACAGTAGTAGTAGTAGTAGTAGTAGTAGTAGTAGTAGTAGTAGTAGTAGTAGTAGTAGTAGTAGTAGTAGTAGTAGGAGTAGTAGGAGTAGTAGTAGTAGTAGTAGTAGTAGTAGTAGTTGTTGTAGTAAGACTAGTAAGAGTAATAATAATAGTAATAGTAGTAGTTGTAGTGGTAGTAGTAGTTGTTGTTGTTGTCGTAGTAGTAGTAGTAGTAGTAGTAGTAGTAGTAGTAGTAGTAGTAGTAGTAGTAGTAGTGGTAGTAGTAGTAGTAGTAGTAGTAGTAGTAGTAATAGTAGTAGTAGTAGTAGTAGTAGTAGTAGTAGTAGTAGTGGTAGTGGTAGTGGTAGTGGTAGTAGTAGTAGTAGTAGTAGTAGTAGTAGTAGTAGTAGTAGTAGTGGAAGCGGCTGCGCTTGTCAGATAGAGACATGTCCCAGGTCATCTTGTAATGGTATGGAGTGGCCTTGTGTCGCCCGGGTGTAGTCAACTCCATCCTCGTTGACGTGCTCGAATCTTTGCTTGTCGGAGTCATGTATGAATGTGAGAACCTCCTCTGTCCTTGCCCGAAGTTCTCTGAGCCGTCTTGTTGCCAACACCTCACGCAGGGCCGCGTAACGTCCTCCCGCACGTAGACGCCTTCTTTTCTGGCTCGATGGCGCAAAACACTCGTGAGTCCTTCGAGATGGCGACCCGTCTTTTTGCCGGTCCACGGCTGTGCTGGCGAGCAGCTGTCGGGGCCTTCCTTGTTGCGGCACCCTGAGAAGATGCCGATTGAGCATCGAGCTCTGGGGTCAGGTCGGCATCCAGCTGTTCATCCTCCACCATGGGCACCTCTTGAAGTGGCCCTCCAGCTGTTCTCACCAACGAAAGACGTGCTTCAGAAGCTCGGAGCCTTGAGTCTTGAGCTGAGGCTTCTTGAACCAGGCTCCACACTTGAGCCACAGAACATGCATGGCTTGAAATACTCTCTGCGTGCTTCCAGGCAAGCTAAGGTTCTTCGGGACAGTCAAGCATCGAAAACGAACGGACAACGTTCGCAGTTCAAACTATGTACATCCACACCACACCAACTTTGAAGTTCAAAGCATGCTCAATAGGGGGGAGCTGCGCCCCCCCCCCAATCCCCCCCCCCCCGCCTCAGATTCTAGTTCGAGTTCTCTCCTCTCTCTTAACTTCTCTACTTTTTCGAATTACAAGAACCATAAAGGCAAGAAACAAAAACAAGAAACGAGGGAGGTGGAATTGACTGGTTCACTACTCTCATTCTCGTTTTTTGTCTGATTTCAAGCAATTAAAATAAGAAAAACAAGAGTGCTGCTCCCAGGTCCTAAGAGCCAATAGGCATTAGGTTTGCGATTTCTCCTGTATAGGCTTCAGGTTCGCGGCTTCTCTTCCTGGTGCTCCCAGGTCCCGAGGGCCCATGCAGGCTCGAGATTCCTTTTGCTGCTAAAAAATCTGGGGCATTTGCTTGGACGGTCTGCAACTAACCGAGTGGCAAGTGTGAAGGTCAGGGGTCTCTACAACTGTCCTGCACGGGTTTGCTTGTGTAGCTGTCTCACCTTGTCGCAATAGACCGACCCACTGTGCTGCTGATGTGGTAAAGGGGCGTCCGCTTAAAAAACAGAGCGCATCAGCTGTCGAGCACCCTGATTGGGGTTCTAACAATGGTCAAGTTGTGATGCCACAAGTGCATGCGCATGCTTGGTACACACAGGCGCATTTCTTCCAATCTCAGTTTTTGCAGTTAACGGACCGTTGGTGGGTCATACCTGTCATTCACAGCATGTTGAATTTAGCGCCATCGACCTGGTTTTTGCCAAAGCCAAACAGATGTATGTTTTGGAGCAGCAAGTACTTGCGTGTGAGAGAGAGAGAGAGAGAGAGACAGAGTGTCTGTGAGTGTGTGAGGAGTGTGATGAGAGTGAGACCCAGAGCTTCCAAAACCGCTTAATTAGCAAAACATTGCTTGTTTAAGCAAACCGCGCTTAAAAACATCGCTTAGTAAAGCAATGTCTGCTTAATTAGACATTATTCGTGCTTAATTAAACAATCCTCGCTTAAATTAAACAATGTTTCTGCTTAATTAAACATTGCTCTGCTTAAATAAAAAGATTCTGTGAAATTATTTCACGAAGAAAACAAGCAAGAGCTTATATCCCAAACGCAAGTGTCAATCTCAATTAAATCGAATCCTGAGAATATGAGTTAAAACTTGTACATATATTCTCAGAATAATGCAGACGAAGTTGTACACACTTCCTTTTTTCGCCATGCGGAACATGGGGCATCCATTGATCTCTTGAGAGAATGATACTGCCAGCGCATCGGGTAGCCCATAAAGGGTCCAGCGCATGACAACCCCCCCGCGCAAGGTAGCCCACAGGGCCCTGCGCACACATACCCCGGGTGGGTGGGTGGGCACAAAAATTTGTTCAACTCTTTCTTGAGCAACAGAGTACCGAACGAGCATATACTCGGTGCACAAGAGTGATGAAAGCCCACATGAAAACTTGGGGGGGAGGAAACGCATCACGTTTGGGAAAAAGAAAGCTCTGAGAAATTGGTCAACGAAAACCAAAATTTGTTTTGCTTCCCGAAATAAGGAACTGTCCACCTCTGGTGGAAGTTGCTCTTATTTCACGAAGAAAACAAGCAAGAGCTTATATCCCAAACGCAAGTGTCAATCTCAATTAAATCGAATCCTGAGAATATGAGTTAAAACTTGTACATATATTCTCAGAATAATGCAGACGAAGTTGTACACACTTCCTTTTTTCGCCATGCGGAACATGGGGCATCCATTGATCTCTTGAGAGAATGATACTGCCAGCGCATCGGGTAGCCCATAAAGGGTCCAGCGCATGACAACCCCCATGCCAACATGCTAGCTGGCCCGCAACCAGCTCGGCTCGAAAGAGATTCTTCTGTCGCTCGGAAGGTGTGTGAAATCTCCTCTTGAAGGAGCGTCTGCAGGATTGGAGTGGCTGGCCACTCTTTCAAACCAAAGCGTGATGTCAACGGATGACTCCAGAGCCGAAAGCGACCTCAGAAAAGGCCGAACACCAACCGAGCCTGCCTTTCCCGAAATCAGCCCCGAAAGTGCAGCATCGTTGTCTAAGAAGCAAATCACTTCACAAGGCATGCCTTTCGGCAACAGCTTTTGGAGTGATAAGACGCAAGCTGCCAACTCAAGTTCATAGATCAACGTCTCTCGGATTTCTCCAGCGGCAAGATGGGAAAACTCATCGTATCCAAGCTTAGCCCCGAACCAGGAAACAACATGACCGCCAGGGTGGAAGAGCATCCCTCCCACTCCTCCGTATTCCGGTTCGCGGCATGCATCTGAATAGATGTGGAAAAGAGGTTTGGACCTCAGGCTGAGGCTACGAGGCGGGCCCGAGATGATCTTATCACGCAAGAAAGAGAGCGCAGTTTCCAAGCGGTCATTCATCTTGACCCAACCCCCTACGTCACAAAACCCTCCCAGAACCTTCATCTCTTGAGCTGCCCTCCTGCCGAAGACTTGGCTCTCCGCAAAAAGAAGTCGGCCCCGCAATGACGCCAGAGTGCTTCCACGAGCACCCTTTTGCCTGATGATGGTATCTATCTGGTCCTTAACTTCATCCTTACGACCCTGGGTGTTACACACATGGACCACGCCAAGCGCGAGATCACACAAGGAGATCTCAACTCCTAAAGCCTTGGCCAACGTGCTGAAGCCCTTGTCCTTTTCGTGTGATACCGCCCATCCAGTAAGAGTGAAGAAAGCGGACTGGGTTAAGTCAACCAAGCGTTCTTCCTCCTTTGAGCACCCCAGGATGTAATCGTCGAAGAAGAGCGACCAGTGCAGGCTGAACAAACAGCATCCTAAATACCACAAACAGTGCGAGCTCCGGTAGAAGGACTGAACCGCACTGCGAGCCCCAAACGGGAGGACAAGGACTCTGTAAGCAAGAACCTTCCCGCTATCGGGGTGGCGAATGCAGATAAAGGTGGTGCCGGCAGCACTATCGCTCAAAGGAAGCTGTTTGTAAGCTTTCCTCAAATCAATTGTGCGCAGGAGCAACTCTACCTTTCTCTTTGCCTCCTTGCATCGCCGAAAACGATGCGAGAGGGCGGCGAGGACGAAGTCGATCCCGTGAGGGGCTATGGTTTCATCACAGGAGTTTGTGAGGTTGACAAGACTTTCCGTGAAGTCGTCGATGGGCCGAGTTTTGCTGACCCTCCCCTGCTCGGTACTAGTGGAGAACTGACGTACACCAAACCTACGGGTCAAGGTTGCTCCTGCTGAAATTTCGGAAATGGGGAAGGGACCTTCCAACCACCCCTTTTCCAGCTCCTCGTTGGTGATGCGCATCAGCTCTCTGTCCATTTCCACATCTCTGGAAGAACTGGCCGCATGCACAATGGCCCGCCTGGTCTCAGCAGAGTTCTCTAGAACTTCATGGGGCGCGAGCGTGGCGACCATGGGTTTCTTAGGGAAGCAACCCGAAGGGGGAATGGGACCTAGGAGATTAAATCCATCCCTTCTGTGGAAGGGGAGCCAGTCGTCAGGGTACTCCGCCTCCTTGATCATTTCATGCAGGAGTTGGAGGGACTTGTCCTCAAGTATCTTTTTGCGCTTGCCCGAGGGCAAGTACTGTGGGTCCGGGCTCTTTCGTATCTCCTGGGCCCTCAAGGTCCACTTCCTCATGGCTGCCGTCCTTTCTTTCCCCAAGTCCGCGAGGCTCATATCCGTAGCCTTGTTGATGGCGTCCATGAGGACCTTTGGGAGTTTCGCAGTGGCAGACCTGGGGTGCTGTATCTGGGAGGCTTGTGCAACGAACTCATGAGGTTCTCATGGGATTCCAACCGCCATTTCAAACCGGGTGTCACTGGGCAAACCCCCCGAAACAGGAGTGACACGCAGGATTTTGGATCCCGCTGGGATGCTCGAGACAGTCGGCTGGCAGTGGACGTGCCGAGGAATCGCAAAGGGAAGTTCAATTTTCTTGGAGGCGGCAGAAGGAAGCGCGGGCAGCGGGCCTCGAAGGATGATCACAGTCTTGTGTTCGGCAACAAGCGGCGGGACCTTCTTGGCCCTGGGCTGACTGCCAACTGAAATAGCAGCTGCGCGCGCTTGGGGTATCGCGGCTTGGGACAATTCAACGGGCACGCCCACGGCGCCTAGGTCGAGTAGCTGCAGGGCAAACGCCTGGGCCATTGCATCACACAAGGGTTTAGGGTAAGCTGCCTCCAGCCGGGTAGAGTAGCCTGACGCATCCTTAGTCCAAGGCAAGTGGGCATGGTCATTTGAGCAGGGCACTTGAAGATCTAGGCGAGTGCGCTTGCGGCGTCCACTGCCGAACATGCAGGCGTGGAAAGAAGTGCTAAAGTGGCGGCAGGCAGAAGCCCGCACCATGGGGCTGCTAGCCCAAAAGTGGCTGCGGTGCGGATTCTCAACTGAAACAAGTAGGCCATGCGCAACGCCATATTGAAGCACCATGGAGGTGAGGTCGTAGAGGATGTTTGCCTGTTGGACCCGCAGGAGGTCTAGGCCCTGCAGGCCCGCGATTCCGTCGGGACAGGCAGTGCTCCTGAGGGGACGGGGACCCCCATCGTAGGAGCCAAAGGCCCTGGCTCTGGAAGATGTGCCGCAGGGAGGGCCAAGGTGACAAGCCACGGTGGTGGGCTGCTGGAGAAGGTCAAACAGAACATCCCGGGACCCTTGGGTAGTCAGGTCAAGGACGGCAATCTTGCACATGCAACCCTTCAGAACCTTATGATCAACCCCTATCGCAAAACCTATGCCTGCTCTACGGACTGCGGCGCAGAGGCCGGCAGTGCCTGCAAAGACTTCCACGAAGGTGAGCTGCGACAGGGGACGACCCTGAATGCGGGCACGACACTTTTGAAGGTACGCTGAAAGGTCAGGCGGGCTGCGTGGTACGATAGGGGGGGAACAAGTAGCGGAAAGGGCCGTTGATGGCAAAGGAAAACCCAACCGAACAGCCCTATCCCTATCCTGAACCGAAAGGCAGTGAAGGGACTCTGCACAAAATGCAATCAGCACAACGCGGCGACCCGAAAAGGGCATGGTGCAATGGTATCGGTCACGGGCCTCAAAATGAACGGGGCCCTGTTGCAAGTCAAGCAAAGACCCTCGCAACATTTCGCCATTAAGGGAAAACGGGATCGGGCCATCATCATCCTGTACCCAAATTTCGCCCCCGCGGAAGGAGCTCAGGGCACTCACAAGATTACAAACGGAGCCATTACGGGCATCACGGTGCAAAGCAGTCTGGACACGATCGAAAATGCTGATTGTAGAGTACTCAAATGCGGGATCCAAACTGGCCACGTACCTATTAAGGGCGAGGCAAGTGGATGGAAAAGACATGCAGGATTTGCGCAGCCCCGCAAGCCCGCCTTGGCCATAACAGCCACATGAGAAGGAACTGCCTGAGCCATCAGGAGAAGCTCTCGGTGGGTGCTCATGCGGAAGCAAATCAAACAGGGCGAGAATGCTGGCTGGGGACGGCTCAACTGTGGCGCACAACAGGTCGTGTGCGAACGCGTCAGCAGTGCACGCATCGTTTAAACGAGTAGCATCGGTCAAATCGGCTGGAGACACCCCGGTGACTGGCCCCACGTCAAAGGCCGCCTCACCACAGCGAGAGGACTTCGCCGGATGTGAAGGCAGGTCCCCTGAAGTGGAGCCTGTTGACCGTCAGGCGCCTCCCTGACGGCACGCATGCACAGCGTGGGGTTGCTCGCAACGCATGCAAAGGTGTAGGCCACGCTTACACTTTCCGCCTGCTTTAGCAAACTTGCAGCCCTTGGCCTTGGAATTAAAGTTCCAGCAGAACTTGGCACCGGACGAGGTTTGGGCACGGAGACCAACCATGGCAGCAAGGTCGGGAGGCATGGTAGCGCCCGTGGTTGCACCTTCATGTTTACGCTTCTTAGGGTCCGGTTTATTAGGGGGCCAGGTTTGACTTTGGCAGGCTGTGGTATCTCCGACGAATCCGCATGGGCTTTGAGCGGGGAGGATCCTTGCAAGGGCAACAGGTTGAACATCACAGTAGGGTCGCCCCGGAGGGTGTCCAAAGCAGCGTCCATTGGATAACTGCCGTCAGCTTTCACCTTGACACTCGGAAGGAGTTGGGCAAGCCGCAGGAAACCCGCACGGTCACACCGGAGCACTTGTTCCATCGATATTGGTCGGAAGCCTGGCGGGGGAGGCTCCTTCATACGGTCCAACAGGAAAGTGTGCCACCGTTCCATGCAGTCGAAAGTACACAGCTGCATCAAGTCACACGCCAATGCACGACGACTAAGAGCACGAGCCAAATCCAACTCTGTGGTTAAAAGACAGCGATCCTTGAGTGTCTTGTCACGCACACCAATCCGACTCCCCTCATCCAACACCAACTCGCGCCCAGTGGGGCGGTCTTTCAACACTTCGGACTGTCTGGTGGTGAAGCGAGCCGGCTCAAGGTACATGATATGATCTTTCTCCAAAACCTGCGCAACATAATCGTAGCTGCAAAAACTGCACTCAAGTTGTCCACTCAGATTCATGCCCCGAAGTCGGGTGGCCTGGGAGCGGATCCGGGCGGTGCGCTCTGAGGCCACAAGCTCCACATGACGCCCCGAGTCAGGAGTTTCAAGAGACAGCTTGAGATTCTGGATAACCATTGTCTGAGACTCAAAAACAAGTTGGCGGATACTGGCAAGGCCTCCAACGGTGACTGCATCAGGAGAGTCAGGATCTAGGAGCCTCCGGAGCTGGTCTTCTCCCACTGTCTCACCTGGGGTTCCGAGGCTGTATGCGACCGCTGAGAGGCTGGACATGCCCCTGTCAGTCAGGCTCTTAATCTGATCGGTGGACAAGCCACACTCATTTGCTCGCTCCTTAAAGGCGGCTTCACTCTTGAGCGCGGACGTCATGGCGTGGATTGCACCTCACAAACAGGCGACTGCTACTTTGTTATCGTTCACAACGCGTCACAAGATACGGCTATGCCCCTCACATGTAGACCGCTTGAACTCTCACACTCGCACCTCAACTCTGAGCAATCAGCGAAAAATCACACTCAAAGTATGCCAAACATGCAGGGAAAAAGCCAAGGTCGCACAGATCTGAGATCGAACAGACCCTCGGACTACCCACTGCAAACGGCATATGTGATTTCTTACGCAGATACCTAGAGTACGGTGGGGGTAGACAGGAATTCTCAACAGGACGCTCAGGAGCTCACTGGATTGATTCCGCTGCTGTCTACATGCAAACAGTTCCCTCATTTTCCAGAAAGCAAAAGAGCAATCAAAGCGCTGTCACGTGCTGCCGGCAAGGGAGGAGTCCAGGGCGGCCAGTAGTGCGCCTGTGCAAGCCAAAGGCTTGGCCGATTGGCACTGCTTGCACAACCAAGATGGTGCCTCCACCTGGCTACGGTAAGGCTTGTGGTCCTTGCCACACACGCGTCCACATATGAACTTCCCAGTGCTGGACCCAATCTGACGCCGGTGGAGGGTGTGTGTCTTCCTATGCTGGAACAACTCATGCCCACCTTCGATACGCTGCGAGAGGAGTGAAGCACCTACACCACAAGCCTGCAACCGCTCATCGGCCTCAGAGCTCGACGACTCGCTGGTGTCCGAGTCTTCAGATGACTCAGAGCTGCTGTCAGATGCAACTCGTCCTGCGGCCAAGGTGTCATGCTCCTCCACCGCGTCGTCAGGTTCAACGTTGAGTGGATCATAGGAAGGGGTCGTCAAGACATGTGAAGGCGGGAGCCATGACGCCAGCGAAACCGGAGACCTCTCCGTATTCTCTTCAGCAGGAGGAAAAACGGGGGAAGCCTCGAGATCATCCGGAACCCTCTTACCGAAATCCCCAATTCCCCCTACAAGTGGCCCAAAAGGTACCTCCTTCCCAGGACCCCTGAGGACACCCGATCTGCCCTCGTCGGGGTAAAAGCGCTTGTTCCGTATGTCGGCCAGAACTTGGTCAAGAACCCTGAGAGGGGCACACAGAGCGTCTCTGGAATATGTAAGAACTGACGAACGTCCTTTGAGTTGATGACGGCCTAGAAGCGAGCGATCGTCCAAGGAAGCCCCAGCCTTCGACAACCAAGCGAGAGTGGTGCGCTTGGCTGACTGGCCAGTGAGACCCTCGCCACAGGTAGGATCGATGGCTTTGAGGATGTGCACAGCCCACTTTGCAAAACGTGAGGTGGAAATCGCCCCACGAGTGAACTGTCCACTTGCATCTGGGGTGGGCAGGATACAATCACCGACTTTGAGGTTGCGGAAGCTGCGCCCCACAAGGTCAGCAACCCTCTCAAAGTCCTTCCCCCAACACCTTGGCCCTAGACCCTTAGCAGGAGCGACCAAAGGCAACGCTAGCCCAAGCCTATTTCCTATCCCACGCATTTTGTGCGACAGGGACAGCACATCAATGTACCCACACTCTCCATTGGCCTCAACCTCGCGGACTGTCACGGGCCTAGCCTGCTTGCGCCTGGGTCTGGAGGCCTGAACCGAGCGGGCGATTCCTCTGACTACCGGACCTGTCAACGACCCCATCTCCATGTCGACTCCTAGGACATGATGCAGGAAGTTTGCGCATTCGGCCACCCTTAGGATGACCGAGGCAGGTGCTCCACGACTATGAAGTTCCTCCATAGTTTCGCTCACAGACTGCTCACTTATCGGGAATGCCGAAAGGTCCAAGTCAGTGCACAGCCTGACGAAGAAGGACGCCTGCCTTAACCTCTTTCGGAGAGTGAGCAACGCTTTACCCCCCAACGCTAATCCCACCTTGTGGACCCTGGCATCCCTCTCAAGCATTGCGATCTGTCGCCCAAGAGATGAGGCTTGGTAGTTATGCGAGAGCACAAGTTCGAACCGCTGGTACACAAGCTCAAACTCTTCTGCATTGGTCAGCTTCCTTTGGGCCCTCAAACGAGCAGACGCAACCTCACCGAAGATCGTCTTGCAGTGGGCCAAAAGGGGTTGCCCCATCACTTCACAAGCTTCGGCACTGAGGGGCACGTTCCTATTAGGGACCCGTTCGATCATCGGGGGTCTCGGGAAAATGTCCGTGTCTCTACTGAAGACTCTGGCCAGGTTACCTTTCTCCCATGGGAGTTTGAGACGCTTGCACTCACTTGTTTGGGATGCTGCACTCACAAGCAGAGAGTCAAGATTGAAGACATGAGATCCTGCATCATTAAGGCCTCGCACCCGCCCCCCAGCAGAGGAGGCCGAGGTGTCCACCTCTGGTGGAAGTCGCGCAGGCGTACGAGATTGAGACATGGCTAGTCGGCACGATGCCCAACGCATTGCAGCAGGGTGACAAGAACTTGGCCGACGCCCTGAATGGTAGCAACAACACTGGCCCGCACTTCAGCCAAGCGAGTGTCGAGCTGGGCCACGTCCCTTTCCAAAAACACAATGCGTTCCTGAAGGCCGCTAGTCAGGACACGGAATTCGTCAATCTGAGCTCGCAGGCCAATCAAGTCACTATGCTCCGCCGCAACCTGAAAGCGCAAGCACTCGAGAGAGTGGACCCGAGCCTCAAGTTGGTTGTAGGCTCGAAGAGCAGCCGAGGGCGGCTCAGACATCCATCTGTCCCGGGCAGCGCCCGGAACGTGCACGGGCCCTAAGGGCAAGGTTAATGCAAGGATGGAGCCTGTTGGACAGCAGCGAACCTGTTTGGGTGCACGAAGCCCGGTTCACACCACAAAAATTTGTTCAACTCTTTCTTGAGCAACAGAGTACTGAACGAGCATATACTCGGTGCACAAGAGTGATGAAAGCCCACATGAAAACTTGGGGGGGAGGAAACACATCACGTTTGGGAAAAAGAAAGCTCTGAGAAATTGGTCAACGAAAACCAAAATTTGTTTTGCTTCCCGAAATAAGGAACTGTCCACCTCTGGTGGAAGTTGCTCTTAAACATGATGTTGTTCCACGGCGGTGGGGCCCCAACACACACAACACACACAACACACACCACACACACAACACACACCACACACACAACACACACAACACACACAACACACACAACACACACAACACACACAACACACACAACACACACAACACACACAACACACACAACACACACAACACACACAACACACACAACACACACAACACACACAACACCCACAACACACACAACACACACAACACACACAACACCCACAACACACACAACACACACAACACACACAACACACACAACACACACAACACACACAACACACACAACACACACAACACACACAACCACACAACACACACAACACACACAACACACACAACACACACAACACACACAACACACACACAACACACACAACACACACAACACACACAACACACACAACACACACAACACACACAACACACACTTCCACGGGTAAATTTCTGACAATCCACTTCCAAGCCAAGAGACTTTTATGCAGCAAAGTCACCGATGATTATCATTATTATTATGGGGTAAATCTCATTTTTGGGTCTGCACAGCGATGATGAACACAGGATTCAGTACCATGCACAGCTTGCACGATGAATGATGTCACAAACAGTATACATATCGCAGGTACGTCAGGGTGATCAGCCCTGATATCCGCAGTTGCTATGGCCGCTTCGCTGGACCATCGCACATAGCAACCGGATGGTCCCCCTGCTGTGAATGTTTAAGTACTTCATGGACCGCAGTCACTAGTGGTAAATTTCTAGTTGCACACACACACCCCGCCGCAGCGAGGTGAATATATTTTACTCTAGAGATGTCATCGATCTTTTGTCTCAGGTGACGCCAATCGCATCAGTATGGAGACCTGTCCTCTCCTAACAGCTAAGGACGGTGTCACTGAAGGAGGGTGAGGAGAGGGAGGATGTAGGTGAATCCCCCGAAGCCACAAAGTCCAAATGACAGAATCAGAATGTAATTGGAAAGCCTCCTGTATTCGACGAATCATGTCAAACTGAAGTGCAATCATGGAACCAAGGGCAAAAATGGACTGGTGTAACTGTTCAATCTCCAGCTGTAAAGAATGAAAGGAGGGCTGGGGAATAGCCTGACGTTCGCGAAACCGATCAACATCTCGCTGTAACAGACCAATCTGATAGTCCAACCTTTCCATGTAGGTAACGGTCCGTCGAATCCTAGCATGATGTTCCATCAACTTGGTATCAATCTCCCATAGGGCCACTCGGTCGTAGTCAGAGAAACTGTAAGGACGATCCGGAGTATCAGTCATGGGACAAAAACAAACGGAAAGATAAGGCGGGGAATTAGAGCCTAAATGTCACCAACTTGAAAATGCCAAGTGGCGCCACGTCGCATGGAAGGCACTTCACGCCAAGAAACCATTCAACTAAACCAAAGGAGGGAGAGAGAAAGAGAAAGAGAAAGAGAAAGAGAAAGAGAAAGAGAAAGAGAAAGAGAAAGAGAAAGAGAAAGAGAAAGAGAAAGAGAAAGAGAAAGAGAAAGAGAAAGAGAGAAAGATGGAAACCTCAATGCCCAAGCTGAACAACACCCCCGACACCCCAAGTCAAGAAACAAACCCGCAAAACCGGTCAAGCTAGGGCAAAAGTCCATACAGTACGGTCTCATCGTGAATTGAGAAAAACATGTGTGATGTAGAAACCATTCAAGAACATCCGGTCGGGCAATTTTTGGCTGTGGGGCAAGTCTCCAGTATGTAACCAATGATGTAAGGTGTCTGGTCCACCGGGGTGTCTTAGGGAGGTGACACGATGTTCTCCAAAGAGGTAATACGGGTGCGCATCTCATGGAGGGCTTGGTCCGTGAGTTCGATGTACCGTGCCAACATCTCTCGGAACTCTTGGCCATTCAAATCAATGGATTCCGAGTCACTGGAAGATCCCGATGGAGTACTAGCGGTTGTCAAAATCCGAAGTAATTCAGCAGCCAATGCATCTCTGGAAGCCGGAGAACGTTCCATACTATCAACTCAATCTACTGGGAAAAGGTCAAGGTCAAAAACCAACACTCTACAGGTCAAAGGGAACTTAGGCCGAATGTCACATCATTGCATTGCATTGTTGAGCCAAGGGGCAAATCGTCGATCGGTCTCCAACATCATATATATAAGTCCGAAATCCCACCCCTTGTAGAAATGGTAGCCATACCCTCTCTTATGCCGCCAAAGTCAAAGAATGAAGAAATCTTTCTCCGGAACCCAACAGATCCAACGTATGTCCCTTAAAACGACTCGTAGAACCCAGAGAAGCCTACCCGTGTTCACACGAAACGAACTAATGCACCGCAAACCAAAGGAGGAACAGAAGTCCAATCCAACACAAGCAACCCGTAAAGAACAAAATCCAGTACAAGCAACCCGAGAGAACCAGCAAACCCTGAACACGGAAAAGAACCCGAAACACATGAAAAACAGGTCTCAGTATAGCAGTCGGGCGAAGGCTTGGCAATTCACCCTAAAACGGGGTTCCGGTGAAAACAACTGAAGGTGGGGGTTCGTCGCACCAGTACCGTCTGGTTACCGAAGATCCTACAAGACACCCTCCTTACAACAAATGACATCGACACCTAAGGCAATTCTTGTTGTCGGATTTGACGGCAATCCAATTGGGGCTGTCAGTACAGCAATTAAACACGAGTAGTAGGTGAAAAGAATGCTCCTACAGGTAGACGGCAAGCCCGTAAGCTGCCGTACAGGAACACTTGACGCACCAGCGCCCATCACGAGCGCGCACTACATCGTGCATCAAAGTGGCGGCTATATCTGCTTCTACGCCACCCTGCGCAATCCTAGTATGCTCGAATTGCCGGCCCGCGGCACGTCCTAAAATGGAAAAGGGCCGGGTGGGGTGATTCCATCCGCCATATTTTGCGGCTTGGTTTAGCGCCACATCCAACTGATATGGGTGGGCACGGGTGTAGAAACTAATGGGCGGTTGCCACAGGGGATCAGCTATCTGATGCCGTGTGGGCCGAAATTGACCCGTGGCTAACAAATGAACCGAAGCCTCAAAGGTCGTATTATGTGCAATCCAGAAGAAATGACTGAATGCATCAGGCCGGCGCACCGTCGTTGGCTGGTCCAGCCACACTATGATCGCCCAACGTGGGCCAGCGCTGGGGTTAAGATCCTTGACCTCAACCGACTGAACCCTGTGAACAGTATCGCTAATGTCCAAAATTTGGGCAATAGCTGTCCAGTGCACCAACAAAGTGGGATTTGCAGGTGGGGCTTGCTCAACCAAGGACCAAAGATACTCCATGATCATGGGAACCACATGTACGTTGGCATCCTGTGGAACCCATTTTCGAACGAAAACCTCATCAATGGTCCGTCTACGTCCAGAACTGTGCAAAATTCGAGATCGAAGAAGGCCCACCACTGGCCCCAAACGATGCCACTTCGTGTAGGTGGAGAAATCCACCAGCTTACCCTGCTCCCAAATCTGGATATCGCAAAGTTCAGGCAAAGTATTGAAAACCGGTTGGGCTGCAAACACGTATTCCACAAATCCGTGCATAACAGAAACGTTACGACGCTCTTCGTAAAGATCATCCTCCAATTGCAACTCCGGAATGTGAACCCAAAACTCTGCAGCTGGTTTCCAACCCTCGCGGGGGAGGAACGCGTGGAATCTGGGTGGAAACCATTGCACCCTAGGGTCCGGAATCGACTGTGGAACCGAAGACGAAACCATCTGCAACGGAGGTTGGGTCTGATGTGGAACCATGCTAGATGAAGATCCAGTAATTGCCGTTGGTTGAGCATGGGTCATGTATGGACCCCCGGGGTTCATAAACACATTGCTTGCCTGTAACCCTGAAAAGGCTGGAACCAGTTGCCGAAAGAATGATGAGAAATTCTGCATATTGGCAAAATGAAAACGAGCCTGTAGTGGTAAGCTGCAGGTCCAGTTGCTCCACCCATCGGGACGGCACTCATCTCACCACCACCCATCTCCCCACCAAGTGGCGCGCTAATTGTCGAATGAGGCACGGAGTTGCTCGAAGGCACAAGAGCCGCACCGTCGGCCCCCACCATAGGTCCCCCACCATTCGCGTCAGCTGACATATTTGCAGCCAAGGGGGCAGGCACAGATGCAGGCACATCAGTGTCTTCTTCCACCATCCAAGATGGTCGAAGGGCGCGGCTCTTAGCCACCGAATCCATCGGCATATTGTACAAAGGGTGAAAACGTGCTGGACTCCAATACGATAAGGACCAGAAACCTTTAAAACTGGAACTCCTGAGAGTGTAGACCTATGGCACGGAAGAGTGTCAAAACCAATGACAAGTGGACGAAGTGAAAAAACAATGACAAGTGGACGAAGTGAAAAAAAACACAAAACCCTGAAAAAACCCCGTGAAACCGGAGGTCAGAGCCCAGGTGCTACGAGGTCACTGTTGCAATACTCGAGTAAAAGTGTGTTCCCTCAGAACTCAACGGGTGACATGTATGGCCAGCACCAGCTCTAACTTCCTGTATCGTCCTTTCTGTTGTTTTGCTCTGAGGCCGAAGCGAATCTGAAATTTTGAAACAAACGGGGGCCAACTGGGCCGAGGTGAAGCCTTTCTGTCTATACAGATCAAGCAACAAATGCATCAACTCCGGGATGCGGGAGCGGGGTCTGGTGCCCCGGGCTAGTAGTATCAACCTAGTCTCCAGGGACTGCAACGATCTACGCAGTGAAGAAGCAGAACTCGGGGAACGTATCCTAGAAAGTGTGGATGGCAATAGAAACTGGCACGACTTAGCGTTCACATCCACTGAATATCCCACAAAATCCGAGCACCTCCTCCAACATGACAGGGGGAACATAAAAGTCTAACTAAAAAAGTGCCGGATGGCATCGAGCTCCAGCAGTCAGTAAAGCCACTCGATTGTCCACATAGCGATCAACCCAAACCACTCCCAATTGACAAATGCTTGCCATGGAAATGTCCCACGCTCGAAAGGCAAAATATTCTTCCAACATTGCCACCAGGAGCATGAGGTGGGGAGATAGGGCTGCCCATCGGGGACCCTTTCTTGTTGTCGTAATACCAGATTGTTAATGGTCAAGAATGAGTTGGCAACCAAAAAGCAACACTCAGGGGAAAATGTTCAGCAGCCAAAAAGGTCTTGTGATGTCGATTAGCACGTGTTCGCCACATGGCCACGGAAGACTTGCAGTCTATCCGGTTGCTTAGAAGTGTACACCGAAAAAAACGCAGATTCCTGAAGACCATACAATTCCTGGTACAAGTGGAAGAGGTTGAAAGTGCACCCTCAAAACGGAAAGCGGGAATGCTTGTAAAGAAACCAGGAAGATCTTGATTGACCAAGTCGCAGTTCTTCCCATTGACTCTGGAAGGCACTCCACAGTTTGCGAACCATAACTACCACAGAATCATGTCCAATTGCATCATGAAAAACCTTCTCCAACAGGTGATACAGAACCCCCAAGAAAAACACAGACTCGGACGATTCAAGACTTGTTGGCATCACTGAAACCTGCAAGGACGATGAGCCGGAAGCGCTGGGCGCGCTGGCTCGACTTTGCTGTTGGATCGTGGGAAAGAAGCTAAATGCCCTGCTCGACGGAGAACCTGCTCCGATGGAGATCGACATGCTGCGCAAGGGTGGCAGGGGCAAAGGCAAAGATAAGAGTAAGGATCAGGGAAGCAAGGCAGAGGCAAAGGTAAGGACGAAGGCAAGAAAGGGTCCAATCATGGAAAGAAAAGCATCCCAATGCGCAGGACCGAAACAACTGTTTGTACTGTGGCAAGCCAGGACATTGGAAGCGTGACCAGTCCTCTGCATCGAGCTGCATCCGCGTCTCAGGTCTCCACGGTCCATTGCACAGCGCCTCGCAGGTCCGCTCAGGAACCATCGCATGTTCAAGTCATGTGCGCATGCCACAGAGTTCTTTGCTATCTGCGATGATTCCGTGTGTGGGCTCTGAAGCGTGGATGATGAGTTTGAGGTTCTGAGCATGCCTTCCCAGACCCTGATGGAGTTGCTTGCGACATCAATGGATGCACGGTTGGTTCGTCACCTTCGTGAAGCAGACTTGCTGCGTGAGCATCAGGTGAGGCATACGTTGAGTGCAGAGACCATCAGACCCCCGAATGCACCGCCCATCGCCCAGGTTCCATCAACGCAGGATGTTGAGCAGCATGTTCTCCCACGAGCCGTACCAAGCTTGGTGCGAGACGTGTGTGCAGTTCTGTGCCCGCCAAAACCAACATGCGTCTGAGGCAGCCTATGACCCAGAGTCAAGGTCTGTAGTGAGCTTCGACTTTGGATACTGCTCTTGCTTGAAGGGTGACAGGGCAAGAGAGGACAAGGACCGTTTGACGGTGCTTTTACTTCATGATCGCCATGCCAAGACCGTCTATGCAGTGCCTACTGCTCAGAAGGGAGGCCCTGGCAGAGCAGGTTGTCGGTTGGGTGAGCATGCCGCTGTCTTCATCCATGACCTTGAAAAGGCCTGTAGTGCATCCTCGGATCAGGTTTTGTTTTCGCCTCAGCACCCTCTATATGGCTGGGCAGAGTGCCACGCCTGCTGGGTTCGCAATAGGTACACGCCTGCGCACGGCACTGCCTCTTACGAGGCAATAACGGACTCCCTTACGCTGGTACTGTGTGTGGATTCGAAGAGAAGGTCCTGGGCACCATCAAGCCCGATGGCAAGGCATCGGCGCGATGGCGTCATGGTGTGTGGCTCGGTAAGGCCACAGGCAGTGACACACATTCTTGGCATGACTGGTGGAGTGTTCGTCACGCGTTCAGTACGTCGCTTCAGCGACAGCTTTGACGCGGACCTTGCAGCCAGCTTCGATGTGTGCGTTGGGAGCACGGATTGTCTTCCATTGGAGGCAAACTGGTCCTCAGTCGGAAGAACCTGCCGCAATGCCTGTTCCGGCATACACCGGGCTTCCTGAGGTTGCAGCGGAGAAGGGTCCTGTGATGCCGCGTTCCCTTCTCAGGTCGCTGGGTCTGATGTGCTCACTCCTCCTGGATGGGCTGTCCATGAGCCTCCCCGCGTCTTCTGCTTCACCGCCAAGCGTAACCGGTGCCAGTGACATGTCCGTTGGTCTGAATGACTAGACTCCGGTCGAGGCGGGGACGCCAGCGCCGCTTGAGGCCGCGCCTGTGCACGTAGAGGATCTTGGCTTGAGCGAGAATCCGCAACCACTTAAGGCAGCAAGGGGAGATGGACCAGGCCTGCATGAGCATGCGGATGCCACTTCGGCGACCTCTCCTGAGCCCGAAGGACAACTCTCTCTCCTGAGTGCCGAGGGCATTCAACTTTGTCAGGAACCATCCAGCGATGTGATCATCCTTTCTGGTGAAGAGACCCCTTGTGTTGCACATGTGATGCAAGTGAGTTATGAGCACGAGGATGAGAGTCCAGCCCTTGCGTTTGATGGCGATACCCTTGAGAGTCTTGAGGACTATGATGAAGGTTTCCTTGAGGATCAGCCTGTTGAGGCTGAGTTGCTCTCAGAGCTTTGCCTTCCTCGTACGTCCGATCTTGAGCCTGACCTTCCAAGCAAGCGGTTGCAAGCACTTGATGAGTTGGCTGACAGCGTGGAGATCGAACGCTTGAAGGGCATGTCCGTGTTGATGCCCGAGGAGGCCATCTACAACAAGGAGCATGAGGGTCAGGAGGCCACCAAACTCACAACGCGCATGGTGCGCAGCTGGCGAGAGAAGGAGGTCAACTCGAAGCCTGTGTGGTACAGGAGAAGCAGATACGTTGCACGGGAGTATGCTTGGCTCAGTGTCCGTCACGATCTGTTCTCCCCAGCTAGCACAGCTGTTTCCAACAGGTTGTTGCCCATCCACTTCTTGTGCCATGAGCCAGATCCCGATGATCCGTGGATCATGGTTGCGATAGATATAGGAGACGCCTATCTCAGTGTGCCCCAAACCCGTCTGGTGGTTGTCACCCATGCTGGGGTCAACTACGTGCTTGGCCGTGTGTTGCCAGGACAGCGCGATGGGTCCAAAGAGTGGTACCTTGCGTTCTCATCGTTCCTTGGAGAAACGTTGGGGTTTGAAAAGTGTGCTGCTTTGCCTTCGCTGATTCGTGAACCTGTGAGCAAGTTCAGCATGCAGATGCACGTTGATGATCTTCTGGGTGCAGGGAGTAAGAAGTTCTTGGTGGAAAAGCTTGAGCCTGCCCTTAAGTCTAAGTACCGAGTGACCCTTCACATCCTTGAGCATCCAGGGGACTGCATCTCTTTCTTGAAGCGCAAGCACACCTTGATGTCAGATGGCAGGATGCTTCTGACCCCTTCGTCGAAACACTTTGAGAAACTGTTTGCGTTGTTGAAGGTGGATGAGCGAAGCGCACCCAAGAAGACGCCCTATGCGTCGGTACTCGATGAGGCTGACACCAGCGAGCCGCTGGGGCCTGCCGAGGCCAAGGCGTTCCGTTGCGCCATAGGTGTGTTGCTGTATCTGGCGGTTGACCTTGTTGAGTGCCAAGGGGCGATCCGGGCCCTAAGCAGCTTCATGACCACGCCTACCCGCAATGCCTTGATTGCCCTCCGACACCTGGTCAAGTACCTCCTTACTGGCCAGCACCATGGGCTGATGCTTGACCGGAAGAATCGGCACTCAGGCCTATCAGGAGAGGTACATTGTACCGACTCAACCATGAGCGTGGAGTCGTACAGTGACTCAGACTGGGCATCGCACAAGGGTCATCGCCGCTCCACCTCTTCCTCCATGGTGTTTGTTGCGGGATGTCTCCTGTACTCTTCATCACGCACACAACGCGTGATCGCGTTAAGTTCCGGCGAAGCGGAACTGCTGTCGGCCACAAGCTCTCTATGCGACGCCCTCTTCATCAGACAACTGGTCGCTTTCTTGACAGAGTGTCCCCCGGCACCGGTGCACCACTTTGTTGACGCAAGTGCCGCAAAATCTATACTTGAACGCAGCGGCGTAGGCCGTGTGAGGCATCTCTCCGTTCGAGTTTTGTGGACCCAGCAACTTGTCTCTGAAAAGATCGTCTTGCTGCACAAGGTTTCAACGCATCTTAATGTAGCTGACCTTAACACCAAGTCCTTGTCCAAGCAGCGCATGTTCATGCTCCTTAATAGGATTGGGTGTTGGGACACTGCCCTTGAAGAGCCAGTCGGTGAAGATGTCATTGCCGCTTGCATTGAGCAACAGACCACACGCGATGCAATTCGAGCAGTGAAAGCATCAGGCTCAGTCAACAAGCAAGTAGTCCGCGGAATCGTCCTTGCAGTCGTGAGCGCCTTGGGTCGTGCTGCGGATGAAGTTGAGGTTGAGGACGAGTTCAGCAGTGACTACGAGTTGCCGCTATGGGTTACCAGAGTTCTTGTTTGGGTCCTAAGTCTTTGGGCCCCTGATGAGCATGGTGTGTCTATCGCTGGACTGATCAGCGACAATGCTTGGATCCCGTGTGCCTTCTGCGTGATCATGCTTGGACTGTACATGTGTTGCCGTGGCAGCCAAAACGTGCCTTCCCAGCGTGTGCAAGTGTGCGTGCGTGATCAGGGCAACGCTGGAGTATCTTTGCAGATCGGACAAGCTGGTGCCCCAGGAAGCGTGCATGTCGATGTGGGAGAGCCTGCTCCGGGAACTCCAGGATATCCCCGAAGCCGTTACTCTGATGAAGGTGGAGTCCCCATCGATGTTGCTTTGAAACGAGGTGCCAGGTCTAAGTCAACAGCACGACCGAGCCCAAGGCATGATCAAGCTGAGCAGGGTGCACGAGGTAGCAATCAAGAGCGTCATGTTCCTCGTGATGATCGATCCGAAAGTACCGAAAGTGAGACACTTCACGAGATGCTTGGAATGCCCATTGCACAGGCGAGGCGTCGCACGCATCCTCCAAACAGCGTGTTTACCTCTCAGAGTGGCCGTTGCTACCACCTGTTGAGATGCTACAAGCTTGATGCATGTGATCGTGTGATGGCCCGTGACCGGGCAACCCTGAGTGCCGCATATCGCCCGTGCAAGAAATGCAATCCTTGAAGACTTAGCTTCTTTGTCCATTCTCTCTTGAGACAGGTCTTTGCAATGCTCATGATGCAACCCGGGATGGTCCCATGCCCAGTTGGCTAGCGCCCGCTATGCCGTGGGGATGGTGCCATGCTTGGTGTTGTACAAAGTGTACAAAGCTTCAGGAAGATCAGAACATGCGCATCCTCCTCTTGGAGCTTATGGCTATTGCTTTGGGACTTGAGACTCTCTTGAGTGAACATGGTGCATTTTGCACCATCAATCCTTGATATACGCACGCCATTTTGGCGAACCCGATGGTGATGCACTTCGAGTGCAACGCTGATCCCACTGCGGCGATGATGCATTCCGCCGCATGAACCTTAACTAGGAGGTTCCAATACTTGTGGCTGTGAGCCTTAGTGCGTGTGTGTGCTTTCAGCCAGGTTAGCGCAAGTTCTTTTGATGTGTCTTGATGATTCAACTCGCATCTGCATGTGGTATTCATCCGGAGATCACACAACGCGTCCTGCTTTGACAGTCTTCTGTGGAGCTTTGCCAGCTCTTGCCTTTACGCGGGTCCGCTTGCCCTCAAGCATCGCGCAGCACCGTAGGTAGGAGTCAGGAAGGTAGGTAGTTCGAGCCAACGACCTTTGGGCAGAGCTCGTGCACGGTGGACAATGTGTTTTGGGAGCCCCTGTAATTGTTTCCAGTTACCGGCAGTAGTTCTTTCTCAGCTTGGAGCTGTGTACAGTGTGTCCTTGGAGGTCACAAAGTTTGTAGGAAAGCATTCGCCTGTAGTTGGACTCAGGCATGCTTTAGGCGGGGTGCTAAACTTTGCACTCCTGTGTACATGTACCATTTTTGTAGGGTGACATGCCGGTATTTACTTTCCATACTTGTTTTACTTTTGCAGCTCCCTGAATTCGTTTGAGCCCAATGATTCCGACTCCGCAGGCGCTTATGTTCGTGTGAAAATTGACAGGGCGCCCCCCCCCGTTTACTTCTTACAAAGTGGGAGGAAGGGGAGAAGAGAGAAAGGATTATATTTTGAATGAAAAGAGACGAGGCAGTTAGAGGTTTTTGTTTTGTGTATTTCATCTTTCGAAAAATTAGAGGAGAAGAGAGAAGGGAATTTATTCTAAATTCCACCCCCCCTCGAATCTTCTTTCGTTTTTTGTATTTCCTTGTTCGAAAAATCAGAGGAGTAGTGACGAGACGGTTTTTGTTTATAGAAGTAGACTTTATTTTACATCACAGACGAGGGAGTGGGAGGAAGGGAGAAGCGAGAATGCGGAGTGGGAGGAAGGGAGAAGAGAGAAGGGAATGTATTCTAAATTCCACCCCCCTCGAATCTTGTTTTGTTTTTTGTATTTCATTATTCGAGAAATCAGAGGAGGAGAGAGAAGGGAATTTATTCTAAATTCCACCCCCCTCGAATCTTCTTTTGTTTTTCGTATTTCATTCTTCGAAAACTCAGAGGAGAAGGGAGAAAGGAATTTATTTTAAATTTTACCCCCCGCGAATTTTCTTTTGTTTTTTGTTTCATTATTCGAAGATAGGAGTAGAGACGAGAGTGTTTTTGTTTCTAGAAGTGGAGAGAGGGGGGGATTGGGGGGGGCGCAGCCGTGAGACTCTGGAGATGCCCCCGTCTCTCACCTTCGAAGCCTTCGAACCTCCCCCCCTTCGTCCTCGCCTTCGAAGCCTTCCAAGCCCCTTCATCCTCACCTTCGAAGCCTTCGAAGCCCCCCCCCCCTCGTCCCCGCCTTCGAAGCCTTCGAAGCCCCCTTCGTCCTCACCCTTCGAAGCCTTCGAACCCCCCCCCCCTTCGTCCTCGCCTTTGAAGCCTTCGAAGCCCCCTTCCTCTTCACCTTCGAAGACTTCGAAGCCCCCCCCTTCGAAGCCTTCGAAGCCCCCTTCGTCCTCACCCTTCGAAGCCTTCGAACCCACCCCCCCTTCGTCCTCGCCTTTGAAGCCTTCGAAGCCCCCTTCGTCCTCACCTTCGAAGCCTTCGAAGCCCCTTCGTCCTCACCCTTCGAAGCCTTCGAAGCCTTCGTCCTCACCTTCGAAGCCTTCGAAGCCTTCAGACCTTCAGCCCCCCCCCCCTTCCCCCCCGCCCTTCGACCCTTCGGCTTCGAAAGCTTCGAAGGCTTCGAAGCCCCCTTCGCCGAAGGGTAACGGGATGCAGCCCCTGCTTTTTTTGTGCGACAATTACAGTACGACATCTATGTGACCGCACGGCTTCCATTTTGGCCCGCTTGGAGTCATCACTAAGTTCATAACATCGCATGTTGGCAATTGGCAACCCGCGCCGCGGTCTCCAGTGGCCTGACTCGACCATCCCCCGCCTTCTCGACACAGAAGGCTCCCTTCGCTGTGGATGGTTGTGCCATTTGCCAGCCTTTTTGCATGCATGCCTCTGCCAATGACCAGCCTGTGAATTCGCCTCCTTCTTCGACCAAGCACTCTCTGACGCTTTGCTGCCTGGGATCCCGACTTTGTCTTCGTCGTGAACTGAGAGGACCGGTTTCGGTTCTGGAATCTGATTAGTTCCACTTTAAACATTGAACGAAGTAGACTGACATTTCGCAGCTTGGGTTTTAATCAGTGTATGCTTGACATGGCACAAGTCATGCGCGGCAGGCCGTCATGCCATGACAGTCCAGAAGGACAAGCAGGAATGGTGCGTGCGTGGAAGGAGCAAAGACCTTTTTAAAACCCTCATGTGAGCTGGAGTGCAATTGTAGTTTCGGCAGCAACGGTGTCCAGCCACAGCAACAAAAATCTCCTCGAGCTGTGTCAGGCAGCAGCCCAAGAATGATTTTCCTTTGCCAAAAGGCAGCGCGTGCTTTTTTGTACGACAATTACAGTGCGACATCCATGTGACCGCACGGCTTCCATTTTGGCCCGCTTGAAGTCATCACTTAGTTCATAACATCGCACATCGGATTCTTGTTGGCAATTTGGCAACCCGCGCCGCGGTCTCCTCCAGTGGCCTGACTCCACCATCCCCCGCCTTCTCGAGAGCGTTCTTGGTTTTTCCCGATTCGTTGTTCTGTGTCCAAGGCGGACTCTTGCAGTTCATTCTGCAGTCATAAGAGAACCGCACTTGAACTCTTAGAGATTTTGAGCCCGAGATCCCACAAACGATCCCAAGCTTGCGTCTTTGGTTTGACCCTGCTAAGAAGAATTTCCCGAAAAAATCTCGATTGAGGGCGAGCGCTGAGCGCCACGTGCTCCGCGTGCGGACCGGCGAAGCTGAGGACTCCCACCGGCACCCTTCAAGCAGTTTTGGATGACAGGCTTTTGCGGTCGGGAGTTGCGACTTCTGAGTTTGTGAATCTGAGCAAGACCTGCCCTGCTGCTTGAGTTGCTGCAGACGGGCTTTAACTGCTGCTTCTTGCTGTCTTTTGGCGAAAGGTTTGTTCATGTGTTTGTATCGAGACTACGCCAGTTTTGGTTTTACCGGCGGTCTTGTGCTTTGCTAGAATGCGGGCTGGTCAAGCGATCCGATGTACATTCTGCTGCAGGATGTTGTCGACTGGTTGGATAAGAACATCGACGAAGGATTGCAGGCAAGTTGCGCGGATTGGAGCGCAAGTGCCAGCAGTAAACCTTCTCAGAGTTCGCAGTCTTGCCGCAGACCGCCACCGCCTCAATCTGAAGAGTGGCACGAAACCGCCTCTTCGGAGCAGGCTTGTGTCCCAGGTTCCACATGGTTCGGTGATGTTCGGGGATGGTGAGTACAACGAGGCATCTCAAAGCCAAGCGGAGTCTCTGCTGCTGGTCTTGAACGGTCTCTTGAAGGACATGAAGTCTTGGAAGAGTGAGGCCAGTGAGATGGCGAGACTTCGAGTTGCCGATTACGGTTGCTCGCACGGGAAGAACTCGTTGCCGATCGTCTCTGCATTGATTGCAGCAGGCGAGAAAACCCGCATAGATTTTTTTTTCACAGACCTCCCTCAGAATGATTGGGATTCGGCAAAGCGGGTGCTGCAATCCCTCGGGCACGTTGAACCAGCTGACAAAGCCAGCTTCCACTCCCCGGCTCTCCTACAGCCCTTCGTGGACGAGGCTGGAAGCCCCCATTCGGTGCGCATGTTCATGTGCGGGCGCAGCTTCTACGAGCAAGTGATCCCATCGAACTCCGTCAACCTCGGATATTCAGGTACTGCAATGCATTGGATTTCCCATGCACCCAAAGGCTCAGGCTTCTTTAACGGGGGCGATCTTTTTTTTCGCAAGCTGGAGCGGAGCAATCCCATGCGCCTGGAGTGGGAGAATCTTGCAGCCAAGGACTGGGAGAGCAATCTGAGATCTCGCAGTAAGGAGCTTGTCTCGGGTGGTTCTTTGCATCTTGTGGTTCCCGTTTTTGATGCTGAATCATGCCCAAGCTCCACGTATCAAAAGCTTTCCGACGTGATGATGGAGACCCTGCAAACCCTTCTGCGTCGTGGTGAGATCTCGCAGCAAGAGGCTGATGCGTTTGTAATGCCAGTCTTCCAGCGGTCGCGCGAAGATTTCGAGGCTCCGTTCCAAGGAGGAGCATTCGAGGGGCTTGTGCTGGAGAGTTTCTCGACACATGTTCTCCCGTGTCCTTACTGGCAAACATCCAGGCACGACCCCGAAAGGTTTGCAGACTCCTATGTTCGCAGCGTGAGAGCGTGGAGCTACAACAGCTGGATCTCCAAACTGGCCGCCATCAGCCATCAGGCAGACACCATCGTCGAAAAGCTTTACAGGGCCATCAACGAGGGCATCATGAAAAATCCTGAAGATTTTCGCATGGACTACGTGCAGGCGTACATGACGATCCGCAAGCTGTAAGATGATCCGGAGTTAGCTGGCCTGAAGGGACACCGCTTTTCTTCTCTTGCGACTTTTGCGAATATCTTTATTTGGTAGCAATTTGGTAGCCATTGTCGTGGGGAGCGCGGTGCAGTTAGTGACATCACTGCCTCTATCCGCAGCGTGCCCTGAGCTGCACGCTGCACAAGCGGACAAGGAAAAAGAGTTCCACAGTGTGGCGCGGACTGTGCAACCAGGTTTAGCAATCCCCCTGGATCAGATGCTGGGAGGAGTTGCCTTGGGTTTGAGGGTGCAGAGTAAGTGTTTTCTGCAACAGGAGCAGTTTGACAGCCACACAGCAGTTGTACACGACCGTGTAAACACAACAGCATTTGTTTGTCACTTCTGGCACCTTTGTGATGATGGCATCCGCACGAGCCACCCAGACTTTGCTTCGAGATGTTGACGCGTGCGCCATGATCCTCTGACGGCCCGCCGATGTTCGTTTCAGAGCTGGCGTACAGCACGCTGCAGGCAAGCGCGTGGGCTTGCATACTTTTTGAGGACTTGATCATGTTGCATTCCTTGTCTTGATCTCGGCCAGGGCGCCACGCAAGTGGGTTGCCATATTCTTCACTTGGATGCATCCCATGGCGCCGAGCTTTGTGTGCCAAATCGTGCCGGAATTTTATCAAGCGCTCATCGATAAGAGCAGAGTGGAGGTGCTGGTTGAAAAATGAGGTGAAGAATCTGTCGTCGGGAAGCGCAGTTGCACTAGAGGGTCGGGCTTTCTCGCCTACCATGGGTCGCGCAAAGTCTTTGGCCGGATTGCTGCGGTGTCATGATCAGGTGTGGCTCGGCTGCTCTTCTCGCCAAGTTTGCCGAGCTATGTCCAGAAGTTGATGTACAACATGTCCGTTTGTGGGATGAGGGCATGCGCAGCAAGATGGAGTACAACTTGGACCATGTGTTTCAGCCGTGCTTATGCTCACTCAAGCTTCCCAGATGCTTGTCGTTCAGAGCTAGCTGGCCCGCTCACAGGGATTTCCAAAACACTCCCGCGTCAGGTAAGGGCGAAGATGGCAATGCTTGCAGGAAGAGGATCTGAAGATTGCTTCCAGCAGTTTGCCAGCATTGAGGTGCTGGCGAAACAGATTGCGACGGCCAGAGGTGGCGAACCGTAGTTCTAGATTCGGCTATGCAGTGCAGTGGGTAGGCTTCCCGGCATCGTGCCATCCCATCCTTTTTGTGGTTTACTGACAGCCTTGTACAGGTTTAGTGGTGTCTGCTCCCATGTGGAACTTTGCGGTGCCTTATGTCCATTGGTGGCAATAACAGCAGCAACAGGTCGCAGTTTGCTGAGACTTCTAGTGAGGTCATGAAGCAGTACTTCGACTGCGTGCTGCATCCAGGCCTTTGTGTTTTTCTCCTTCAACAACTGAAACCAACGACGGCGAGTGCTGCGCATATGCCACCAGGACTGACATTCACCGAAACCAGTTCTGGGCCGACTGGGCTCCTTGGTGGCGGACGCCCGGTGGTGTTGCTGACATCATCGGGTGGTGTCGCATCAAAAGACTACGTCACGCCCTGGCTGCTGGAAACTCTGTGCTGACTTTGTGGAGGGCGCAAGCTCTGACTGTTTCAAACATGACATGTTTCGTGTGTTTTGTTGCCACAGCTCAGGATGTTGCGGCCATGGCTGGATTTGACATACCCAAAGTGGTTTCAGCTGCCAGTCTCGTGAGTTGGCATCTCAGACTATCTAGCGCAGAGCCCGTTTAGCGCACTGCCAGTCTCGTCCAGATTTTGCACCCCTTGGCGTAATTGTGGTACGGGGTGCCGTCTGAGCAAGGCCGAGACCGCGCAACAGCCATTGATCTTTTCCGACAGCAGGCGGCAGTTGCGGCAGAGCACCTGACCCTGGAACCTGGGACGAAAAGGCCATGGTGGTCGCATGTTCTTGTTGGTTTCGGAAGCTTCGCCTCGGCAGATCGACCGTGCAGCCCGGTGATGGTGACGAGCTTGGCTCATCCTGTGGGCACGAGGCATAGACACCTCACCTGGCATATCCTGGCATCTTACCAAGCTACAAGGTGCCTCATGTACAACTTCGTAGAAGTGTCTGCAGGAGCTTCGCAGATGGCTGGAGAGCAGCGGCGGTCTGAGCTCAGACTGCCTGGATTCTTTGGAGTCAGCCCGTGTCGATGGTGAGCTGCTATCCGGCTGCATTCGGCATGATGATCACTGCATGGCCTACTTCTGCACCTTTCGACTTGACATCACTTGCTGCGCAAGATTCGGTCAAATCAGGTTTCTCGCTGCCTCCGACAATGACTTACGTGATGAGGAGCTTGGTCTTGAAGAGGTGGCGCCTCTTGTAGCAGAGCATGTCAACATTGCGTGCTGCTTTATGTCTTTGGCGGCAGATGATTGCAGACTGGCAAGGCCGACATCGTGCGTCTTAAGCAGCTGCAGAAGCTGTTCCAGGAGATCTGTCATGCCGGCTGACAGATTTCATAGATTCAGATCTTCGGGGCAACCAAAGCTGGGCTGAAAAGAGCCCGGAGCCTTACTGACCTCAGATCCTTTTGCAACATGTCATGTTGTTGCAGTGCTGATTTCAAGCTTCTGCGATGAGTTCTGCAGCCCTCTTGCTCAAGTTCGTGGCTAAACATGCCAGCTGCTGCGGAAACTTGCATGTAAGGCATGTTGCATCCGCGAGGTTTTGGGAAGGCAAGCACGTGCACACGAGCTGGATGTTGCTGAATGTTCAAGTAGACATGGTCGCTCGGCCATGGGGGGCTTACTGCCAAAGCCCATTACAAAGAAGGAGACCGAGGCCCCCCCGGACCAAGCATGAGCTGTGAGTATTGTGAGTCAAGGGTCAGCACATCATGGTCTTGCATGCCGTCTCTGGAGCGCACGGCGACGTCTGTGAGGATGGAAAGAGCGTGACGGGCCGATATGCCTTCGGTGTCAGCTCAATGCAAGGATGGCGCCAAGCCATGGAGGCCAGCTTCTCAAGTGCAACCGCTTGGTTAACTTGTTTTTAGATTTTTTCATAATGTTTTTCTTTTTCAGTCCCCATTTATTCGCAGGACATGTGACGCATATGCCAGGATGCCCACATGGCCGTTCCGGACTTTGACCCCGAGCGCGAGCTTGGGCTTTTTGGAGTCTTTGATGGCCACGGGGGCCCAGCGGTGCCCTGTGCTGTTTCTGGGTTCCGAACGTTGGCCGGATGGGGTGGTCATGGGTTGTCACTCCTGATCAGCCCCATTCGAACCCTACCAAACCCATTGCTTAGATCACATGAAAACGCGGCGAGATCTACAGGGCGCAGATGTCCCGCTGCTAGCTTCGCCCTCCCTTGATCTCCCTTGCTTGTTGTGCTTGCCCAGACCCCTGGGAGGATCAAAAAAAAAAATAGATCCCCTTAAGGGGTTCCTAAGATACCAGCAGAGGGTACTACTTGGGGGTCCCTTTTTTTTTTTTTGGGATCCTCTTTCAGGGGGGGGGTACCTTGCGGGCCAGGTGGCCAAAGTCGCTGCCGAGCGCTTCCCGGAGACCTTGAGGGCGCTCCCCGCCTTCAAGCAGGCGAGAGTCGAAGCAAAAAGGGGGTCTCCCTGATTCTCTTTTGGGAGCTAGAGTCCCCTGATCTCTTTTGAGAGCTTAGTTCCCTGACCTCTTTTGAGAGCTTAGTTCTCGGATCTCTTTTGAGAGCTTTTTTGGGGTTCGGTGTAGGCGGATCTTAGCTGAGACTCAATTCTTGCCTTCGGCCCATGCCCAGGGGCGCTACTCGGAGGCTTTGTATGAGGCTCGGGGTGCAAGACTGCCCCAAGACATGGAAAGCCTGTTTGGGCGCCGAAACCCTCAACCCTCAGCCCTGAACCCAAAACCCAAAACCCTGTGTTTCAGGGCATGAGCGCTCCTTCTTTGGCCTGTTGAGGCATTCCTGACCTTGGATGCGTTCCTCGATAGCTCTGCTGGCAGGGAGAAGGCCCCCCCCCCCGTTCTTTTTTGGTAAAGAGAGCTTACGGAGTATGTGTGTAGGGTTGAGGGGCTTGGCTTCTTTCCAATACTTTTTCCCCACCGGAGGTGAAGGAAGCCACCCCGCCTCCCGTCGATGCGGACATGGAGGAGGATGCGGCGGCGCTGGTTGGCTGTGTGCTTGGCGCTGGCATCTCGTGGTGCTGACTTCTGTCAAGAGATCGCCACATCTCATGCTTTTCGTGCAGGAGGAGCTGCTGCGCCTTCTCGAGTCTGGCGAGGTCGACCTGGATGACCTCGACCTCGAGGCCACCACACTCGGGCCTGTGACCGCGACTTCTGTAGGAAGCTTCCAAAGATGCGTAGCCTCAACTCTGCCGTCTGGCCAGGATGAAGAGGCGGAAGAGGACGAAGACCATATGCGAAGTTGCATCGAACCATCAAAGGGCAGAGAGCAAGACGTAAAGGTGAGAAGTGCCCCTGGCAAGGAGGTTCCGGAGGAGGACGAGGAGGCCGAGGAAAGCTCTGGCTCCAGTTCAGACTGGGCGAACGGTGAGGGCCCGGACGGCGCGGTCCTGAGCCTGAGATGTCCTCCCAGCGTGCAAAGAGGGTGGCGCACACACACATATATATTATATTAAGGTTATATGTCCCCCCCCGAAGACCACAGTTTCTCCTATTCAGATCCAAACTTCCAACATCTCTGCATGTCTTAAATATCCAAATCTCTAAATTTCCAGGTTCCAAATTCCAAGTTGAAAATTGCCAGTTCGCAGTTCGCGAGGGCCTCTGTCTTGAGGCCCTGAACTTGTCAAGTTCCAAGTTCCAAATTCTAAGTTCCAAGTTCCGCACTTGAGAGGACCTATGTCTTCCGGACCCGAACTTCTCTAAAGTTTCGGTCCAAGTTCACAATTTCAAGTTCAACGTTCCAAGTTCCATAATTTGGTAAGGCGCGTGTTTCTGAGATTGGACCCTCTTGCTCCACAGGATTTCGCCAACCTGCACTAGCAGATCCGGCAGTTCAAAAAACAACAAAGAGCCAGTGAATTATGGTCATGAATAATCAGACTTAGGTAAGCATTGCGCAATACAAAATTCCAGCAAGTGGGGGAAGAAACATAAATATGTTGAGAAACGAAAGTGCATGTACGAACCGTGTGGTTCTGTTGGGGGTGGCCCTCTATGTGCATATATATATATACGCACATATAAGTATCCATTTCCCTCTGCAAAGGCACCAACAGTCACCAACACTGAGCTGTACATGCATACTTGGATGGTCTTTTCCACTGCGAGGCATGGGATGCACAGCCGTGGTGGCCTTGGTCTGTGGGGGCAGCAAGGCCGAGGTCCTCCCTCCCTGCCAATGTGCGCACGGGGTTTAGGGGTTTGGGGTTTTGGGGTTCAGGGTTTAGGGTTTAGGGTTTAGGGCCGTTTAGGGTTTAGGGTTTAGGGTTTAGGGTTTAGGGCTTAGGGTATCTGGGACTTCCGGGGTGCCGTGATGGGCTCTGGATCGGCTCCGGCTTCCTTCTCCCCGCGCGGCCGATCCTCAAGAGCATGGTCGTAGTTGGTTTGTTCAATGCGCAAAGTCACGGAAGGCTTGGTGTTCGTACGCAGCAAAGCGGCTTCGTCAGTCTAAGCATGGCACCTGCAGCCAGGCACCCAAAACCCACCGAGCCACCGGACCGTACAAAGTCTCAGCACTTCGAGCTCTAACAAAGACTATGTATAGGTGAGATCGCGCACCTATGGGTCGAAGATAATGGCACCCAAGAAGAAGGTTCGCCGGCAGCTGCCTTTTTGGGGGCTCTGGGGCTTGGCCCAGTTCCTGTCGCTTACCTTGCATTGCGGGCACGGCCTCGTTGCAGGAAGCCTCCGCTGACGCACTGCAAGATGGCCCCGATGAAGAGGAGGAAGCAGGGCCTGGCAAGGCGCCCCCTTCACCTCTCGGAGTCGGACATGAGTAGTCTCTCTGAGAGCCGGAAGCACACCGTAGACGCTGGGGCGCAGGCTGTCATCAGCATCTCTGCTGAGGGGGTCAAAAACCTTCCGCGAGAGCCCGCTGCCCAGAGCACACGCACGGGTTTGCACGTAGGCTCCTTACGGGAAATGGGCTCCCAAAGGAAAGAGGCCCTGGCTTGGAATCAAGAGCCCCACATGGGAAAAGGAGTGGAACGATGGCATTGTGTACTGTCGCAGCAGTTCCAGCACAAAATCTGGGAATTGTTCTACATTCTGTTTTCAGGGCATGCATGCTTCAAAAGTTGCTTTCAGAGGATCCTAATGTACAACAATCCCTTCTCAGGCTACAGACGCTCCTTGGCTTCAGCGGCTTCTGCAAAGAGTTCCGGTCCCGCCCCCAGGATGTCCTCCAAACGTCGCGTCAAGTTGCGCGTTTTGTGGTGGCGACCGCCCTCAGGACCGGGCCTTCCTCCGAGCCGGCCGGCTGGGTCAGCTGCCTAGAAGACTTAGACCCCGCTGCCTTTTCTTGGAGAATTGAGTTGTTGCCGGCTCCTGTTGGCATTGGGGGTTTGTGGGCTGGTTCCGCAATGTCTTGGTCACTGAGGAGTTCTCCAAGGACGCGATCATCAGACTGCAGAATCAGGAGCCTCATGGAAGCCTCATGGCAGCGCAGTGCGACATGGCGAATCTGGGTTGATTTAAAATGTTTTTTCTGCTTTCCATCGGAGAGGACCTGTACAACGATGTTGTGCAGAGACCTTTGGTTCTCTCTGTTCGGGACGCCGCCGCCGAGAATGCAGTGATAGGTGCGATGCTGCGCATCAGTGCCTGCGCCACTGCATGTGATGGCATCTGCAGGCTCTGCGGAGTTCAGCCTCGTTCCCTTGTTGCACGACACCATGGAGGCACCCTGACATGTCTCAGTTCCCCGTGACGGCGAGTGGCTGCCAAGGTGACGGCTGAAGTGCAGCTGGAGCTTGCTCCAGAGTACTACGCCAAGTGGTGGAAGGAGGCGAAGCACCTAGCCCCCCACTTGCTTACAAGCAATCAAGCGCATGACCATCAACATGACGCCGGCCATGCCACATGAAGCCCACCAAGGATGAGGCGGAAGATCCAAAGGCCAAGAAGGAGCAGCCCGTGTGCAGTGTGGTTTTGGAGCAGCAACGCTCTGTGTCACAGCCTGCCCAGTCCATCTGCTCCGCTGGAAAGGACAAGAAAGCCGCTCCGCCTACCGAAGCGCCAAAGGACCAGATGCGCGTCTGCCATTCTACTGCCGTGGGGGACGTGAATGTATACAGTCGCAGGGAATCTCCTCAGGACCCAAGAGCCTGGGCTCCGGCATGCACCCAAACCCAGGGTTTGACCCTAAACCCTAAGCCCTAAACCCTAAACCCTACACCCTAAACCCGTGCATGGCAGGAGCGTGAACCTCTTTTCGAGGGCGAGGCTCCACCTGCTACCATCTTGTCAGTCCGCCTGGCACTGCTTGCCCTTGGGGCCTCCTAGGCTCCATCTAGGAGTCCGGATATTTTTTTTGTGTGTAAAGTCCCAAAAAGACATAAAAAGGGTGTCTCCCAGGTCCCCTTGTAGGGCTCAGGAGGTTAAAGCTCTTGGCCCCAGCATGCCTTGGCCAGGTGACAGTGCGAGCTGACATGCTGCTGGGTCCGGAAGAGGCGTGATATGGCGTCGGCGTGATCTTCTGAATTTCTCACGCTTCGTTGGTCATTGGTGACTTCAAGAAGCCAGGATCGGGATTGCTGGACGATGCTGACGATGGATGTGGCAGGTGGGATTTCCAGCTTCTTCGGACGTGGCACAGCTTGTCAGCAAATGCCTTGAGGCATTTTCGCCCTCCCAGAGAGCCTGACAGCGCTGGGCGTGACCAGCGTGTACCCTGGAGTATCCCGCTTATCCGCAGGGGGCTGGTTTCTAGGTTCCGAAGCCTCCTAGGTCCAGATGATTTCCAGGCACGCTTGGATGGCTCCCCCCAAGCATTGGCAGTTTCAGAGCAAAGTGCCATGATCAGTCCATGATGGCATATGATCGCATATGAATGCATATTAGCATTGTTGTCGACTCAAGCTGCACCATCTGCGCGCAATACACTCGCAAGCACACGCACAAGCACACGCACAATGCTGAAGCGTCTCCGTTCTTTTTGCCGGAAGGCGCACCCCATCAGCTACCAGGGCATGCTCCTCGGCGAGCCAGAGCCTAAGGAACCGTCGTGTACCGATGGGGGAAGCTGGGGGGACATGGGTAGTATTCATCGGATAGTCTCAGACGCTTCTCTCTTTGGCTCAACCAAGGTCTTTGGGAGAAGGTGCTCTCACCAAAGCCGCCGAGGTGACATTGTGCCACATTACCGTAGCTTGCGCGGATCGCGGTTGTCTGTCTCTGTGTGTGTGTGTGTGTGTGTGTGTGTCTGTGTGTGAGTGTCCTGCTGTTATATGGACATGTCTGCGCCCTCTCTTCTCCAAGAGGCCCCGATAGCTGGGGCCATGGTGCTAAGTCTGTCAAGAATGAGGGCTAGCGGTATTGCCAAGAGGAGCTGAAACTTGCAAAGAAAGCAGTAAGAAAAACATAGCCTCGGAACACCAGGACCGCGCAAAGCAAGAGCGTTCCAATAGCCCCCCCTTTGCCAAGCGGGCATAGCAATGGGTTGTGGTGGCAGCGTGCAGAGCGCTCCGCTCCAGAAGGAGGCAGGGAAGGGGGGGGAAGGGGGGGGGGAAGGGGGAAGGGGAGGGGAAGAGGGGGAAGGGGGGGGGAGGGGGTTGTAATCAGGAGGCTTCCTTTTGTTTCTTGTATGCAGGACCTTGACCCTGCCAGAAGCACAGAGCCTGAACCTTGGCCATTCGGTGGTACTCCACTGCCTGCAGCCTTCTGCTTGGTTTGTCCGCACAAGCTGGAGGTCTACTGTGGCATCAGAATCAAAAGATACCCCTCCAGGCAACCGGGCTTCGTTCTGCGTCAAGCCTGAGGATGATGACATGCTGTGTGCCCGTCTGTGCAAGGTGATTGCACCTGGAAGGAGGTCCGGTGCTTACGCCATACTTAGTGGATCTCCTTCCGACATCTGCTTTGTCCACTTGCTCTTGTGCATTTCGTGTGTTTCAGGTCGTCAAAGTCGATTCCCAGAGATCTGTACGCTCTGGCGTGACCACCGCGATTTGCACGCCCGCTTTGAACCAAGCCTCGTGCCTGGCAAGGCTCAACCCGAGCCAATATGTACTGCAACCTTGTCCTTCATTCCTTCCTTGCCTTCTTCGTTAAGGCTCTTGAGGGGGTCGATGTTGAGCATTGCGAGACTGCTGAGAGCCTCAGCGCCTGCAGCTGAGCTGCCGGAAGCATGATGCTCATGGATCTTTTGTTTGCTTCCGCCGATCCGCCTACAGGCCGGTAGCTTTGACCCGGACACTGGAGCGCGGGAGTCCTGGTGTGTGGTTTTAGAGGAATATGGGCGTCGATGATGGGCCGACAATATACTTCAACCGTATTCCCTTTAGGTGGCAAGGAGCGACCTCATATGTCAGATGAGCATGGCTTCAGATTTCCAGGATTCTGCCAAGCTCGCAGTGCCATCATGGTGTTTAGTGTTTTGGGGTTACAGAGAACCTTGCAGCTTCGTCACCACCTGCCGGGGAAGCAAGAACACTTGACTGCCGTCCTGTCCTCATGAAGCCAAGGCCTGACATGGACGGCAGCAAGCTGAATGCAAACTTGCGGAAGTTTGCAACAATGCTCGATGCGGAAGGCGCGGGCGTTTTGCGCTGCATCTGTGCGTGCAGAAGAAGAAGAGAGAAACTTTAACAACATGCAAGTTTTCGGTCCCTACCCTTAGCCCAATCCCGAGCGCACTGTTTGATGTGAACGGCTGAACCCCACCAGCGCCTTTCTCACCCCGACGAACTCTGTCGTGCGTGCCCCTCGGGGCGGCCCCCTCACAGGGGTCATACGCCTAGCAAGCAAGCAAGAGAAAGAAACAGAGAAACTAACGGAGTTCGATGAAACTAACACAGGGGAAGGACGTCTCAGGAGCCGCACACGAACCCTGGGCCCGCCGCGAGTGTAGAGGAGGTGGAGGAGGAGGAGAAGGAAGAGAACGAGGAGAAGGAGGTGCAGGAGAGAGCGCGCCCAACGTTTTCACAACCCGACTCTCGCGTGCTGGCCCTTTTGGGGGTCAAGATGCTGACAGTGATAGAGTTTTGGTTGAAAGGGGGCAGGGGCATGACAACCACAACCGGGCAAGCAGCACGTACTCTCCAGTGCCCTCCCACATGATGAAAGTGACAGTTGCGTGTGTGACCTCATGAAAAGGATGCAAAGCTGAAATCGAAGAGCTGCCTGCGCTGTGTGTGTGTGTGTGCAGTTGTCTCAGAACCAGGCACCGTTCCTCAGGACTTTCCTCGCCTTGCGAGGACCGAGCTGCAGTTTGAGACATTGTGCTGCTTTTCCTTTGGGAATCTTTGCGGGCTAGCTCAGGCTGATCATCCGAAAGCAAGCCAGATTGCTGGCAAGGGCCTTATGTGCGTTTATGTGTGCGTCTGCGGCGTTTGAGTGCGTTCCTCATATACCTTGTCAGTGCCTAGGCTGGCCAGGGGCTCAAGGTCTGCCGGTGTCTGTCCGAAGACTCCGAAGAAGATTGCTTCGAGAGCATCAACTCGACCGGCACGCCGGCAGTTCTTGCCATCATCTACCGTGATATGCAGGGTTTAGGGTTTAAGGGTTCAGGGGTTTGGGGTTTAGGGAGATGCGGTAGGAGGAATGCAACCGGAAACCAAAAACAGAAGAGGTACTCGCCGGTTGACGGATCCCGTTCTCGCAGACGAGCGCTTCAACATCGAGGGCCCCGACCACCGCACAGGCCCACGCACCGAGGGTTTGGGGTTGAACACCATTTGGCATCCTCATCTTTCACCCTTATTACTTCAGTCGACTGCGTTGCGTAGACGTTCTGGAGTTCTGGAGACGACTCGGCCTCACAGGCCAACAGCTTCAAGCACAGTTCTGGAGGAGCTGGCAGGAGAAGGTGCGCTGCTCTCACAAGCGTTGAGGCACGCGCTGCCCCGGCACGTCTTTCAGGACCCCTCACTAGCTGGGCGACTTCCCTACAAGGAGCTGCGTGTCCTGCTGCCGTCCGCAAAAGCGCGTCATGAAAAACCTGTATGGAGGAGGACATCATTGAAAGTTCTGCGCTTGGTAATGTAGGGGGTTCGATTCGGACTCGATCTGGCCTTTGGATCCGGATGGTGACATGCTGTCGCTTCCGCGTTGGAGTAAGGTTCACAGTCAACACCTGCTATCCTGTCAAGCGCGCGGCAGGCCGGCAAAACATCGGGCACATGTCAGCTGTTTCTGATTCTTTCGGATGTGATGTGCTCCAAGCAACGTGCAAGGTCCCGGAAGACTTGGTCGCCGCGCTCGTTCTCAGCCTACATACCGTACCTAATCGTACCTAGCAATTGTGGGGCCATCGTCCGGGGCTATCGACATCAGTATTGGAGCTATGCACGCGGCCGCAAAACCCCGGGATGTAACCAAGGATGCGCAGCTTGACACGCTTAGAATCGAAGAGGACTTCGGATGAACCTTCCTACAGAGCATCGGGGTGAGCATGTCCTTCCATGGGGGTCTACGGTACTAGGGCGTACCAAACTGAGGTCCTCAGTACAAGGGGATCCTACTCTTAGGCGTCCCCTTATTATCCTCAAACCCCCGCATCGCGTACTGCGCAGTGCGCAGGACCCCGAGCTTATCAGAAGCAACACTGTCGGCTCGGAGAGCGAAGGCTCGTGTGCTCCGCCAGTGGGGATAGCCGACCGTGGCCCTCAAGAAACTCTCTGACTCCATGAAGGCCGCCGCGCCCTGGAAGAAGCTCTTCAGAGAGCCATGCAGGAGGCCGGAGGAAGGTTTTCTCCCCCCCTTTGTCGGTTTTCGGGGGGCATTTTTTTGTGTGATGTTAGAGAAGCAGGTGCTCTACAAATCTGGAGATGGCGGCGTCCCGGATGCCCAGGCCCAAGTCTTCAGATCGACATCCCAGAAAAATCCTGTAACAGCCATCGGAAGAAGTTTTGATTTCGGCCTTTACCCAGGCTTGGGCTGGCATTACGGACGCTGACGATGCCGACTGGCAGCGCAGGGAGAACGTGCCTTGACAGAATGCCAGTTCTGGATGAAAGGTGAGGGGTTTTACGAGAATAGGGGACCCCTTAATGTAGACCCCCCAAATAGTAGGATTTCTTGCAGTAGGGACCCCAATAAGGTAAAGTTGCTGCAGCTGCCCAGGTCTTGTTTATCCTGGACTGGGATGATTCCGCCTCAGCGTCTCTTCCACATTCTTTCCGTGCCTCTTCCCGTGTGTGTTCGTTTTCTTGTTTGGGGGGCGTTGCGTATATGAAAAGGACACCATCTTCCCAACGACCTGGCTGACAATGAAGCCCTGGTTCCGGACCTGGATCCGGGAGAAGGAGCGGGTTTTCTTTGTGTGGGGGCAACGTGAAGATGCGCTCGGTTTCTGTGTCATGGAACAGGGCTCTCCGGAAAGCATCACGGAGATTGATCCTGAAGATCTGGAGAAGCTGCATGCGCTGGACGCGGCAGCGGGGACCCCAGTGAAGCCATGAGATGCCTTTGGTCACAGTACTTTGGGATGTTCCCCCTTGCACTAACAGTTCTTAATAGAGACTACACTCGGGCTAGGGGGTACTCTTACTCCCTTGTTAAGGACTGTTTTTTACAAGGGGGAAGCATCCCAAACAATAAGCTGCTGTTGGTCCGGTTGGCTGTGAGGCGTGCGAGCTGCTGGCTTGCGCCAACCGTGGCGGCCTCATTGCATTGCGGCACATTGCGGTTCTGCGCTGACCCTCTTGGTTGTAGGGTAGGTAACCTTCAATACCTTTTTGGGGTAATTTATATTCCCGTTTTGATCCCAAAGGTTAACCTTTAGTTCCCCCAGGTTACTGGACAACTAAGCCCTGGATCTATCTGTGACAACTCCAAGGGATGAGCACCGTGGTTTGCATCACGCTCTCCCAGAGACCCTGGGTGGAAATGTGCGGCGCCCAGCACTTGTGGCGTTGCAGGTTGTCTGTTTGGAGGAGACCAAAGGTTCCCCCCCCCCCCCCCCCCCCCCCCCCCCCCCCCCCCCCCTTGGGCTCGGGGGGTAGTATCGAGGGGACACGGCTGGAAGACTTTCGCAGCCACTCAGGTCCATGAAGGCCTTCATGCCCCGACTGGCTGAGCTGTGGAAGGCGCAGTTGCGACCAAACTCCCCCAAAACCGCAAGAACCCCAACAAAGACCCAAGAACCCTCAGAGCCCTTCTAATTTTCTAAACAAGCAAACCCCAAAAAAACCCTGGGCCAGAAAAGAATCCCAGCAACCTCCAAAGGCGAGCGTCCAGTTCCTTTCTTTATTTACCCCAAGAACAGAGGACATTGGAGTGGCAGTGCACTACGCCGTGGAGGAGTACGTAGCCACGCCCGCCAGGCGCCCCCCTGCTTTGGGAATTCCGGGAAACGCTCGGGCTGGCATCCCCAAGATTATCCACGTGGGCCGGGCGCGCCCCCCAAAGAAGTAGACCCAACGCTCTTTTCTAAGCTCTCTTCTTTCCTTGCCTTCTTAGCTTACAGGCTTCTGGAACCCTAAACCCTAAACCCTAAACCCTAAACCCTAAACCCTAAACCCTAAACCCTAGACCCTAAACCCTAAACCCTAAACCCTAAACCCTGAACCCTAACGAGCGAAGATGCCAGGCAGGGCTTCTGGTGCCAGAAGCCCAGCGGCGCGGGTGGCCTAGAGGGCACCGCGCGGGCCTAAGAGTACGTTAGGGTTTCGGGTTTAGGGTTTAGGGTTTAGGGTTTCGGGTTTAGGGTTTCGGGTTTAGGGTACCCTAAAGAAGGTTATAACCAGTTAGAATCATAGATACTCTACTCATAACCCCACTTATGGCTACCCATGAACCTGCAAGTGGGCCAAGAAGATTCTGGGGGCCCCTTTTGGGCCTCTGTGCAAGTTGCATGTATACATATAAATATAAATATAAACTCAAAAACAAATATATGCATATATATATATATATATACATATACGATTCTTGAAGAAGTAGGAGAAGCATCTTTTAGATGTATACATAGATACCATGTTGCATGCAGTGCGCCCAAACCAGGTGTTGGAGCTCCACCTGCGGTCCAACCGCAAGCGCAAGGCTTGGATGTTATAGAATATATCCGAGTGCTTGAGAAAAGAATGTCAAGGTTGATGCAGTGCATTCATTTTTAAATGTAAGCTGTAGAGCGTATAACGTGTAATTCTGTAGAAGCTATAGTAGATAACCTGTATATGTATACGTAACGTGACATAAACAATAAGGTATATGTATAATCATATATACATATGTGTATACATACTGTACAATTATACATACTGTACTTTTAGAGCGACCCAGACTCGTAATCATCCTAAGACCGTGCAGGTCATGGAGCGGGTCCTTCGGAGGTTCTACCGAAAGAACGACAACTGCACGCAACCCAGTTTTTTGAGGGTGGCGTTGTCCTTAAACCCTCCTAGTAGCCCTAAACCCTAAACCCTAAACCCTAAACCCTAAACCCTAAACCCTAAACCCTAAACCCTCAACCCTAAACCTAAACAGTCAACAGCGGGCTAGAGCAGAGTCTCTCCCAGGTTGGCTCCATGCCGTTAGTGTTGGCGATGGCTTGGCCGAGAGGGATGCCTTGCAGGCTCCTAATTGAATGTATGACATGCAGTCATTAAATACATAAATGAGAATATAAATCAAACAACAGATAAGTAGATAGATATAAATATAAATATAAAAATAAATGAATAACGAAATAAATAAATCTATTATATATATATAAAAGTACATGTATATATATATATATATATATAATGTATGTGTATATGTATACATATGTATATTTTCATATATATATATATATACATATACATATATATATATATACACACATGCAGAATCCAGTACTGCTACCGCGAAACATGTCAAGAGCAATTTATATATATATATATACATACACATACACGTATGTGCAACAAGATATATATATATATATATGTATATCAAAATATATATATATATATATACACATACATACACATATGTTCAAGAAGTAGTCAAGAGCAGAAACCTTGTAGCATCGAGAATATGTTATGTATAGTTTTGACATATACTGGTTTCCATCCGCCCCGAGTGGTCGCCGTGAGGAGATCTCCATGTGCCATCAGAATCCACCACACCCGGAGTCTGATGCTAAGATGTCAGATGCTGTGAGCGCACAGGGTTTGGGGTTTTGGGTTTGGGTTTGGGGTTTAGGGTGTAGGGTTTAGAGTTTAGGGGCTAGGGCAGGTGTCATGAAAAGGCCCAGGGGCAGCAAAGGAAAAGCTTGGCCACAGCCTTCATACCAGAGCTTGCATGGAGAAAGCCTTGGTTCATGTTGGCTTGGGAGGTCTGGTGAGCACAGCAGATTCCTCGTTGCTCCGCCATGATTCCCGCTTTTGGTAGAAAGAGATTGCATGGCGTGAGCCGCACAGCTTGGCCGTGCCAGGTGAAGACCATCCAGATGATGGAAGAACCGAACTGCGAGCACCTGGAAATGCAGCTTGAGGCCAGCCTGTCTTGATGTGAAACAGGGTTTATATTGCTGTTTTGGTGAGTGTACATAATATTGGTGAGTGTATGTATATATATATATATACATATATTGGGTGTCCTTTTGAGGGTGCAAGAAATATATAAACCCTATTTCTGTGGACGCGGGGAGGAAGATGGGATAGCTGAACACGGAAGCTGGCAGGTGGCAATCGCACAGAGAGGTTCAGAAGTGACAAATACATGGCAAAATTGGACTATGCCGTTGCTAGCGCTGTGACGAGACAGTGCTGTGCTTCATCATCTGAGCGCTCTCAGTTCAGCATCATGTTAATGAAGCTTTACTGGGCCCGCACGCTCTCTGCTGTAATCCCTCTTAGAAAGCTGCCTGATGATCAAGCACGAAGACCATCAGAATTATGGGTAAGAACAAGTTGATTAAGATGCATCTTTTTGACGCATCACTCCTAGCTGAGTTAGGGACTGATCTTGGTTTCCTTCGTTCATCCTTGCTTGCTCCGCCATAGCTCAAGAATCGCGCGTCGCATGTCTCTGTATGTTTACCCGCTTGGCAGCATTGCTTTTCTCTTGGATGCGGACCAGGTCCTCAGGAAGTGGGCGCAGGTTCTCATCAGCCGCAACCAGGAGCGCTTGGCCTTAGTTAGTGGTACGTCTAACATAGGGCCTATGAATCATGAGAATAAGGTAATCGTAATAGTAACTAGTCCAACTTCCCCTAAAGTAACTTCCTCCGACCGTTGTTTCAGGACCTGGATGCCGTGTTCGGCTTCTAGCTGAGAATTGGCGCACCGCCCGAAGCCAACGCCATGTACAGCAGATTTTCGCCATTTCTCGGCGGGCTTCGTCCCACCGCTTGCCGGGAATGCCTTTGAGCCGTCACTTATGAAGCTCGTTTCAGTTCTCTTGTGCTGTAGAAAAGGATGCATTTTCGTCTCTGTTTCTTCAGGTTCCGAGTTCTTCATGGTTAGACCCCCTGACGGCATGCCGTTTCACGCACCACTCTGCCGCTCAGTGCGCCGGAGTGGTGTGCTTAATGTGTGCCCTGCTAGGGGCAGCTTCAGAGTTCGCAGGAACTCGGTGTGAATGAATTACAAGTACCTCAAGGAGGTACCAGGGGGGGCTTGTGTTTTTCTTCCCAGAGTGCTGAATGCAGCAGATCTTCGGCGAAAAACCTCGCAGTGGCAACTGTGTTAATGATCGGGCCGGGCTCATGCGTGCGCAGCAGATTCTGACAGCTCGCCGGTCTTGGCGCTGAGGGTTTAGGGATGTTTAGGGCTTAGGGTTTATAGGGTTCAGGGTGCAGGGTTTACAAATATCTATCTACAGCCATGATCATGGCAAGTGGCGCAGGGCAAAAAGAGCGGAAGACAGCGCGCACAAGCATGGGCTGAAGCCTTTTAAGGGAGCCTCTTGGCGACTCGTGCAGGCCACCAAGCTTGGATTGGAGCTTTCAAGATTTGTTTTCCATGGCCGTGTGCAAATTTGGCTTGTTGGTCCGGTTGAGCGAAGTCCGACGATGAAGTTGGTGCTTCTGATTCTATTTCTACAGCTTCGCTTGCAGACCAACACTGCCAGTCGGTTGGTGCTCAGAGGCTCTTCTGTGAAGACAGGAAGCTGCGAGCACGAGTTTTATGCCGCTCCCGCATGCCCTGAGCAGCGCGTGAAAACAAGACGCTCTGGGTGTGCGCTTCTTGACTTAGCTACGGAAAGGCCGTCTTGAACAAAATTTGGGGTTCCGGCAAGGGCCCCCGACCATGGCAGGTGAAGCCGGACGAAGAGGCCGAGGCTGCCCAGGTCGGGATGCCATGGGTAGCTTATGGGTAGCTTGTAGGATCTTGTATCCGATACCTCCTGTGAGGTTTCTTGGGAGGAGGAGCAGCGGCGCTTCTCGCCCACTCTGCGATTTCGAAACGGGCAGATGATCAGGCACCCCTGATCGTCCCTCACCAGCTTCTCCCCTGACTAGTCTTGGCTTGGGCCAGGTACCGGGGGCGTCGCTTCATCGAGGAATTCAGGAGCATGCTCAGCAATTCCGGTGGCGTGGCCTCCCCGATGCGACAGAATCGGACTTCGCGGATGGCGGTAGATTCAGTGTGGCCGACTCGATAAGATGTCAGATTCGCAGATTCTGAGGTCTTCATGTACCTGGAGCTCGAGGCCCCCCCCCCCGGCCCCGTCCCGTTGTCGTGTGCGCCTCTCTGTGGTTAAGAGAGCTCCAGCGCCACCGCGCGCCCCCACGTCACAGGAGAAAGCCCCGGTCGATCCCAAGAAGCCCAATCCACCCGAGGCTGCTGAGCTGGCCAGGCGGCCCCTTACTACGTGGGGGGGTTTGCGATACAAGGGGGGGTACCCTGTTGGGTCCTTCTTATAAGGGGATCCTGCGATTTGGGGGTATATGAGGGGTCCCCTTATTTTCGTAAACCCCAATGTGAGGGAGGGATGGGGATAGGGTGACTCAAGCTCCTAGCTGCTTTCACACCCCCTACAATCACCCACAAAAAAGGATACCTAGGAGCCCAGGATTGCAGGGTGCTCTCGCTCTTGCCCCCCAATTTTCCTTGTGAGAGCAGTTGGCCCTTGGAGGTCTTGCTCGGGCAGCGCCTGGCTGGACCTCCGGAAGCTCATCGCCCCGGGAGCCTGCAGAGTGGAGTCGACCTGTGCCCTCGTGGAGCCGGCTCGCCTTCGGCTCCCGCGACACCCCCAAAGCCCTGCAAAGCCTGAACCCTAGAGGCCCGAAGGCCGTCTATAGGGAACCCTAAAGCCCCTAAGACCCCAGAGAGCCCTTAAAACCCTGAAGTGTGGACACGTGGGGGGCTGCCAGGAAGGCTCCGACTTGCTCCAAGGCGCCTTGGGGGGAAGTTTTGAGCCTTGGCCCCCCCCCCCCCCCCGAGTTATTCAAAAGGGTAAGGAAAGCTAAGCACCCCGGACCCTGAACCCAAGAGCAGCCCGTCCATGTCAAGAGAGGCCCCCCCCACAAGCCCCGATTCAGGTGCCCGGACCTTCGTGAGCCTCTCGCTCGAGCTGAGCTTCGATGTGACTCCGGCCGAGGGGGAGGACATGAAGGCCACGCGACCCACGGCCTTTCCGGTGGTTCTGCGCGAGGTTGTTCTTATGTGGTTGTCAAAATTATGGTCCCTTCTTTGGATCCCTATTCTGATACGGCACCTAATATTTAGGGTACCACAAAAGGGACCATAATTTTGACAACCAGCCTTACGAGCCTTGGGCACCGGTTGTAGGTGCATCCCAGCAGTCTTCTCCCTCGGAGAGATGGTCCGAGCAAGTTCTCTGCGTCTGATGGTGCCGCCCTATCCTTTCAGGAGGCGAGGTGTGTGAGAGCTGCTTTTGGCCCAGGGGAATGAAGTCCCCTTGCAAGCGCGTCGGATTGTCGCAGCATCACAAAGAGGCCGTGGGGCGGGGCTGTGAGACCATCCTCAGAGACTGCCCGAGGGTTGGCAGCGTGCTGCGGGCTTGGAGGGGCGAAGCCCATATGGTCTCCCAGCATCTCTTATCTGCTTAGCTACGGCTCCGGGCCGCCCAAAAAGCTGAGGCAAGAGGCGGTGTCACAGCTCAAGGAGGCCGGACCGAGCCCTTTGTTTCAGGGCTTCTAAGACAGGAGGCAAGATGCCTCGACTCGTTTTGGGCATCACCCACTTGCGCGGCAAGTCCAACTCAGTGGGATTTCCCTCCATGAGTGACCCCTTGTGTGGATGTGGATTCCCAAGGCAGATGTCCTTGACATGGGCCCCCTCCTGCCTTTAAACTACCCATCGCGAAAGATGGGTCATGGGTGGGAAACGCCCGGGCAGGCTCAAGTCCGTCTCAAGTTTCGCGGCCCCTAGGTTTGTGGGAGTCCATGAGATTCGGATAACAGCGAAGCCACTTGCAGGAATGGTACTTCCGCATCCTAGGAGAGCGACTTGTCAGTTGGAGGGGGTTTTAGAAGGCTTTGCCTCGAATCATTGGGAAGTGATGCTGCGCCCATGCAGCCGAGCAGTGTGCCGCCACTGCGGCGTGCAAAGTGGCTGGTTTTACCTGAGCGGCTTCGGAGTTTCTCGCAGAATGCACGAGCGCCAATGTGCCTCACGTATCTCACGGGAGACTGACACTGCAGAGGAACGCCCGGCTCAACTCCCTTCAGGGTTTGACCTGGAGGACGCATCTTTGTGTCGCAACAGCTTTGGCCTGGACGAAGTTCACGAGTTTCGGTCTCCGCCAACAAGTGTTGTGTTGCCACCAGATTCACCAGATGCAGAGCCGGACTCAAATGATACACCGCAGGAGTCGATGGCAGTTTCCGACATCGGCGCCCAGAGCAAGGGAAAGGCCAAGAGGAATGGGACTCAAGATGCGGCGGCACTGCCGGTTCTTCCTTCCTTCGCAGTGCCTGTGGTCTTCGACTTTGCGTCCGTCCCAGACATCCTGCGCTTGTGCATGGCTGGGCGGCTGACGCGACAGATGAGGGAACTGGCAGTGCACCTTCTGGAGATGGCCAAGATGGCCAAGAAGAATAGGTATCGCGCGCTCATGCCTTGCAGGGAACCCGCAGGACCTGCAGGACCGTCAGAGAGGGCCACCAAGATTCACTTGCTCCACAAGCAGCGGGACAGCGTGAAGTGCTTGGTTGAAGGTTTGGTCACGTGGCGGCCGTACGCGCCGGTGATGCAGCTTGTGCAGAATGTGGCTGCCGATCTATCGGATCCAGTCCTTCGAGTTCCTGCCGGGGAGTTGGTTAAAGGTCTGTGCCGCTGGGGCGATGGACACGTGAGAACATGCATAGCCAAACAACTCCTGCTGCTTATGAAGATGCCAGGTCATCGCGATTTGGCCTGCGAATTTCTTGCTCTTTGCAGGTATGATCTGGGGCGTTTCCAGAACTCCATTGTCAATGAGCTGCTGTTAGCCATCCAAGATGGCGAGAGATTTCAGCTTACCTTTCTAGGATGGCTGTTGCACTTTGTGCCGTCACCGGGAAAAATGCATCCGCAGGCGTGGCTGATGCTGAACAAGCTTCTGTATTGCGCACCGAGACAGCTGCCCAGAGAATTGAAGCCGCTCGCGCGGCACCTTTGGGTTCTGCTGGGTTCAAGTTGGTCAAAAAGGACCGATGCTGTAGACGGCAACAAGTACTACGCCCTTCGTGGGTCCTGGTTGCTGTCAACGACGACCGAGCACGACAACTACATGGCTGTTGTTCGTGCTCGATACTTTCAACAGATTGAGGCTAATCGGACTGTGCTGCCGAGATGGAGAAAAAACACGTGTTAAACCCTTAACTAACCCTGAACCCTAAACCCTGAAGGCACCCTATAAACCCTATAAACGCAATAAACCCTATAAACGCTATAAACACTCTAAACCCCAAAGACTGTAAACCCTATAAACCCTATAAGCCCTGTAAACCTTATAAACCCTTTAAACCCTTAACACTAGATGACCAAAACCCACCTGACCTGAAAGCACCTGAAGATTCGCGAAACTCCTTTCAGTGTTTTCAAGGCTTCACATGCAGGGACCTCTACCAATTTTTGTCTTATGGGTTCAGTTCTTTGGGTTCTTTGGGGTGATGGCAAACTTCGTAGGGACTGCAAAGGTCAACAGCTATGAGGACGTGAAGCAGAGTCTGCGCCAGTCGATCGCCAGCCGCTCAACAGCCTCGCAATTTCTCAGATCGATTTGGACGACTCTTGCATTGGCTCTGCGCGCCTCTGCGCTCAGATCTGCGTCTTTCGCGAGCGCCTGCGCAAGGAGCGCGTTGGTGTGCTTTGTTGGCGTGCCTGCTTTGCATTCTTGCATGCAGTCTCAACTGCTTCAGGAAACCTCTGCAGTCCCAGGGAGGCCGCTGAGAGGCAAAGCGCGCGAAGACTTTATCTCGAATGCGCCAGCTGGCAGCAGCCAATGTCCTGTCTCGGAGCTGTGACGTGACGCGAGGGGGCAGCCTTCCCTTGTGCCGAGGTACTCATACTTGCAGCTCACTGCAGCGGATGTGCTGGCGAACTTGTTCCCTCCGTGGCAGCCTTGGCAGCGCAAGCCTTGCTCAAGCTTTCTGCTGAACCCCATAAAAGGCCAGATGTGGACGAAGCGGCCGACCCAGCATCGCCGCGTCGCCAAGACCGACCTAAGCAAAGCCACTGCAGACGGCTGAGGCCTCGGATGCTCAGAAGGAGGCTTCAAGGCTGGGGCGACTGGCCTACGAGGCTGGAGGGGGAGGGGAGGGGGGGGAAGCCCTCAGAGCTCGAACTTTTGTGCCCTTTCCACTCATGTGGTTGCATGGTGGTTTCATGTGGTTTCATCTGCAGAGCGCAGAGGCGGAACTGGTCGGCAACTGGGACCGTGCCGCCGAGCTGCTGCAGCTGCGGGCACAGTCTCTGAAGGTTTGTTGATGCTGAAGCCGATGCTGATTTTGCACGCACAGCATCCTGAACTACAATCAGCATAATAACTACACCGGCGACTCTGTGCTCCTCTTTTGCTTGAAAGGGAGTTGCGCGTCATGTGTGGGATGCTCAGGAACCGCTTCCTCCTTCCGCAGCTCGACCTTCGCAGCGACCCTTCGGCGCCCCGGCTCTTGTCTGGGCTCCCCTCTCCGTGCGCTGCGGTTCCTTTCTTGCGCTCCTCAAAGGAGTGGGTGGCCTTCGCCAGATTCTGCGCCAGAAGGAGGGGTCGGCAAGCTGCAGCGGAAGAGGCTTTGTGCCAGGTGCGCTGTTGTTGTCGCGTGCACTTGCCAAAGGAAAGCGCCCAGAGAAGAGAAAAAAAGAAGAAGAAGACGCCCCGCGGAGGCAGCCAAAATCCTGGGATCTGGCAAGGAGGCTTCTCAAGAGCTCCAGCTCGAGGTCCCGAGAGAGGGGGGAGCGCCGGATGTTTTTTTCCAGTTTTTTGTGGCAAAAATGAGTCAGGGGCCCCGAATATACACCGCCAGATTTTGTAGGATCCCCTTCTACTTAAAGACCCCAATAAGGTACCCCCCCTGATATCGTAAACCCCCCCAAATCTCCCTTTGTTTTGGTGGAGGTGGAGCTCTTCCTGACCTGCCTCGTTCTGGCGGGGGGGCCGCTCGCATGCGCGGTGGAGCCCAAGCTTGCCAGAGTGCTGCCTTGCCAGGAGCGCGGCCGGTACGAGGAGGCCATTGCCACCTTCCAGGCCAAGGTGGACAAGGCGCACCCTGGTCTCCAGGGCTTCCGCCAGACTTTGCTCAAGAAAGCATGGTTGCTTGTATGGCCGGGTGCAGGACTTTGCCAACCCCATGTTTCGGTTCCTGCTTGGCCTGGCGCTTTTCCTGCATCTCGGCTGCACGACTCCTTGCAACCACAGCCCTCGGAGTGTGGAGACGTCGGCGACGCGGGAGAAGAGAGAAGTGCGCGTGTGCTCTCTGTCCTCCGCGCTCTGCGTGCTGGCAGCCCGAAACTCTGGAACCCTAGAACCCTCGAACGCTAGAAGCCATAAACCCTAAACCCTAAACTCCAAACCCTCTAGAACCCGAAACCCAATCCTGGCCTGAACGAGAGAAGTCTCGAAGTGGAGCTCCCGAGGCGGTGCCGAATCGACGAGCCAGCGTCCCCAGATCCCAGAGCCATCTTTGACACGGCTAGCGATGCAATGGGGATGTGTGCTGACTTGACATCTCCACTGTTTTTGAAAAGGCCGGAAAGGCAAGTTTCCGTTGAGTTTGTCAGTCGTGCAGGGGCCGGGCCTACCTCGAGTCGGCTGGCAAGCCCCGTGAATGGTTCAAGGCCCCCCGCTCCCCCCGCCTGTGCACAGAGAGAATGCTCCAGGAAGAAGCCGTCGACTGCATTCGCCATGTTGAACCGCAGGGCCTTCCCGATGAGGCGGCTGTCGTCGACAAGCTCAAGTCCGCCTCCTTGCACCCACATGTTTGTGACACCTTAAACTGACACCTAAAAACTGACACCTAAACCTTAAACCCCAAATTCTCTAAACGCTAACCCCAAATCCCCAAATCCCTAACCCCTAAACCCAAAACCCCAAATGCACAGCAACTGCTGAGGGCCTTTCGGAAGACCGACGGCCCGCCCAACCTGCCACAGCTCGCTGCCCTGTCCCCAGCAAGTTCATCCGAGATCTGAGAGCTTGGAAAGGCTTTGTGGTGCATTTGTATAAATATACATACATAAATAAAAAAAGACAAAAATAAATAAATATAAATATATATAAAAATACATAAATAAATCAATATAAATATATGTATTTATTTATTTATTTAGTCATTTATTTATTTATGTATTCTTTTCGAAAAGAAAACAAAATATGAAAACATAAGTAAACACGCACATATACATATACGTATATATATATATATATATACATTCATGTACATACATATATACATAAATATAGGTCTGTGTATGATATGTTCTGACATCACGCTATATGCCATGTATGTATGTATGTATGTATGTATGTATGTATGTATGTATGTATGTATGTATGTATGTATGTATGTATGTATGTATGTATGTATGTATGTATGTATGTATACCTGTGTGTGTTTCAGCTATCTTCTACGACACTGTACCAGTATGTTGTATATATGCACGTACATTCTACTGGTACCACATGCATGCCGAGTCTTTGCAGGGCATTCTGGACAAGCTCCTCAGCTTCGGGCTTCCGAGCCTCGTCTTCACCTTCCTGGACCAAGCGGGCCTGCTGCCGCAGGAGCTCGACACATCGAACCAACCTGCGAAAGCCTTAAGAAGGGTTCAGGGTTTGGGGTTTCGGGTTTAGGAGTTTGGGGTTTAGGATTCAGTTACGGCAAAGATGTGCAGGAGTGCCTCGCCAGCGAGAGTGTTGTGCTGATCGATGCCAAGGCGGCGCCAACCGCGAACCCCAAGTCCGGATCACCTGGCACTCACTCAAAGCTCCCAAAACCCCCTAACCCCCTAAACCCCCTAAACCCCCAGACCCCCCAGACCACCCAAACCCCCCTAAACCCCCTAAACCCCCCTAAACCCCCCTCCCCCCTCAACCCCCCTAAACCATAAACCCTAAACCCCAAACCCTGAATCTTGGTTTAAGGCCTTGGCTCTGGACCGCGACCTGGCCGGCGCCATTGCGCGCTGGAGGGCTCAGAAGGGCAAAGAACAGGTATAGGGTTTGGGGTTTAGGGTTTAGGGTTTGTGGTTTAGGGCGGGTTTAGGGTTTAGGGTGCGAGTAGAACTGCCCGCATGTGCACTCAATGTCCCAGGTATCGAGCCGCTGTTGTCTACAGCGGCGACGTACGAGGCACGTCACATTTGACATGATGGTGGCATGGTAGTACCAATGTATAGATTAGATGCAGGTTAAAAAGTATTCATATGTATAAATAAATAAATAAATAAATATATATAAACTAACCCAAACTATGTGTCAGTGTGACTTCCTTTTTGAATAATATTTGTTTTGGGGGCAGAGGGCTTTTTGAGTCCAGTGCTGCCTTCAGGTGTGCAAGCTGGCTGGGGAGTGCTACGTCCAGCTGCAGGACTTCGACAAAGCCCTGCAGGCGAGAGCCAAGGGCGGAGGAGTCGGGGAGTCGTCGGGGTCACGTCGAGTGTCGACTCGTCGATGCTCTGGGCACGTGGAGTATGCTGTCAAGGCCTTGCAAGCAGCGCTTGGCTTCGAGGGCCGGGAAGAAGACCCGGCGCTGTACATCAGATTAGGCGCCTCCCACACGGGGAAAATAAAAGATTTTAAGCGTGTGGGCTGTGGAGTAGAATCCGAACTCTTTCGGTGATTTAAAGTTAATTCCTTCGGATTTTCACAGGCTCTGTGCTTCTGGTGAAGAAGCGCTGGAAGCAGGCGCTTCTGCACGCCCTCTGCTCTCTGGACTACTCTCTGTTCCGACGCACTGCTGGGAAACATGGCTGACAGGTATCGGTCGTGCCCCAAATTAGGTTCCTCTTTTGGGGCGCTATATAGTATGGCACCTTATAAAGAGGACCCCCCCCCCCAAACAAAAACAGAAGTCCCTAATGTAGAGAACTATCCATAGCCGTTTGAAATGAGATTCGCAGGCCCGCGACGCCTTTCTTCGCTCCATCCAGGCGATGCCGACAGCAGAGGCCGGGGGCGAAGGACAGAAAGAAGGCGGGGGCGAAGGAGGGAGAGGAGGGGCGCAGGCGTGGAGTGGCGTCGCCTATGCGGAGTTCCGGTCAGATGAACTCTCCACCTGCTATGAGGCCCGCGCGATTGACGCATGGGGTCCACGTGAAGATATGCTGGGCTCCACCCTGCAGCAGGCACTCTGTGAGGCGAATCTGCTTGACAACGAGCGGACCGACGTCTGGGCCCTCTTGTGTTTGGTGCGCCGGGAGACCATGGCAGGCTGCTTTGGGGTCCAACTGTTCAACTGATTCATCGTGCTGGCAGCATGTTCGCGGTTTGTTCTCTTGACAAGACCTGGCATGTTTGCTACAGACGCACGCAACACTCGACACCAGGAACGAACATAGATACCGACAGCCATGACTGTGCTCCACGCAAGTGCTCGCATAAGTCTTCTGGTTGCTACATCAGGTACATCTGCGAAACGAGAACTGGGATGCCGCAGACCATGCCTGCAGGCAGTGCGGGGCAAGCGGAATGCGCCGATCCCTAAGCCCCCAAACCCTACTTGGAGGTTCATGGGTACTTCTAAGTAGGGTTACAAGTAGGTTAACTATGGTTATACCCTTATTTAGGTGCACTCATGACCCCGCTTGTAAGTACCCATGAACCTTCAAAGGAAGCCCTAAACAGCCTCAGCCCTCAACCAATCCCCCGGTTGCAGGCACCTAGTACTTTATGGCCTATAACCCCACTTAGTAGTACCCATCAACCTTGAAGTAAGTCCCAAATAATTTAAACCTTTTTAAGAACATGCCCCCGGTGGCAGGCAGTGCCTCGGCTTGGGGCCCAATTGCGAGGAGCTGCTCCTGGAGGCGACGCAGAGACAGCAGACGCAGGGCCAAAATGCGGATGTATTCTCAAGCGCCATCCGCACATGCCAGCAGCTGAAGCATGGAGAGGATTACTTTCCCACGTTTCGTACCCTAAACCCTAAACCCTAAACCCTAAACCCAAAACCCTGAACCTCGAGCTCTGGGAGGTCGCCTCGGAGCTGCAACGCAAGGAAAGGCAGATGTCGCTTGCCGAGGCCACAGCTTAGAAGCTGCCATGGCTAGGGTAGTAGAAAAGGAGGGTTTAGGGTTTAGGGTTTTCAAACCAGGCTTTTCTACCTTCAATTAGAACAAAGTCCCCTTAAAAGGGACCCCCAAAAAAAGGGTACCCCTAATTTCGGAAACGCCCAAATAGCAGTTGGTTCCTCAAGCTTCTGTGATGATACGACTCCGTTGGGCCCTGCGCTTGCTACCCTGTTGCCGAAGGCGTGCGCCAGGCGGGCTATAGAGAGCAAGGACTCGGGGCAGGCGGGGGGCCGTCACTTTGTGAGCCACCCTGCATACAGCCGGCGGCGAGCGTGTTGAGATTTCAGTGATCCAGAAGGCAAATAGTATCTCTTTAGCAGCTTTTGCATTCCTTCTGCAGCACAATCTTGTTTGTGGGTCGTTGATGGCTGGACCTCCGGGCCCCCTCTAAAAGGCCATGAACCTAGCAACTCAGGGGTCAGTTACCTCACGGCCAAGATGTGAAAGGTTTGCTGGTCTTACCTTGAAAACACCTGCGCGCAGCCGAGCCGAACCATCTGTGGACGCACAATGTAGCACTAGTGTAGCACAGTAACATAATATAATATAATACAATATAATATGATATAATATATTGTTAATGTCATATCTAGCAATATTATTAACACTCATACAGAAATATAGAAGTATGGAAATATAGAAATATGGAAATATAGAAATATAGAAATATAGTAATATCGTAATATTAGGAATTGCATAGAAGACCAGTGTCGCCCTGCTAGGGGCACAGCGTGCTGGCGGACGTTCTGGCGCAGATGGGCCAGGCCAGGCACCGGACCCGAAGCGCTGGAACTAGGGGGGAAGATACATCCCCAAATAGCATAGGGTCCCCTGAAAAACATCAGGACCCCAAGAAGGTACCCCCCCGAATTTCGGAAGCGCCCCCAAATAATGTCTCGAAGTACCTGTCGAAGCATCACGGGTTAAAGAGACACACACACACACACACACACACACCGCTAAACCCTAAACCCTCAACCCTCAACCCTCAGCCCTCAACCCTAAACCCTAACCCCTTAACCCTAAACCCTGATGGGCCAGTGAGACCGGAGCGCCAGGCCGAGGCGTCGGTGCTGGAAGCGCAGGTGGCCCCGAAGATGATGGTGGACATGAAAAGAAACATAGTGATATAACAGTAAATAAAGCATTATATGACAAAATATAGCATGATAGTATGTAGTACAATATAATACAGTTTAACAAAGTATAATATAATATAATAATGTCTAATATGAGGTGGCCCTGAAAATGATGGTGGACCAGCCGGAGCTGCGCAAGGCGAAAGAGGGAGAGAGAGAGAGAGAGCACTCTTGCGAGCAGATCTGCGACAAAGTATATGTGTGAAAGAGCCCCTCGAAAGGGACTTCTTTTTTGTGTGTGGCTTTTGTATCCCGTTTCCTATCCCTCCAGGTGGTCTTCTCAAAGGCCCTGAAGCTGTGCCAGGCGGGTCAAGAATGTGCAGATGGCGCCGGTTCAAGAGGGCCCTTGTACTAGTAGAATATAGTATAGAACCAAATATAACATAACAGAACATAATAGAATATAATATAGTATAATAAATAAATGAATAAATATAAATATAGTTATAAATATAAATAAATAAATATATATATATATATTCTTATATAATGTATTAGAGTATGATGGCGCCAGGAGCTGGACGATGCACCTTTGACAGAGGCCCTGCACGCCTGCCAAAAGTTGGCGGATGCCGGCCTGGCGAGTCTTCTGCAAGGTGTGTGATATGGTATAGTATAGTAGAATATACTATGTTATAACATTTTTCGAGCAATATAGTTACACATAATGGAATGTAGAAAAACACAATGTATGATAATGCAATGTAATGCAATGTAATGTAATGTAATGTATTGTAATTTAATTGCTCTTCTGCAGACCTTCCTTGTTCCAGCGATGACAGCAGTTGCTGCCAGGAGCAGTATGCCAAAAAGTCACCTTCTATGGCATGATAGTTCTGCCAAGCCGGTGCCTCAGAAGCATCCGCGCATGCCGCCACTCTGGGAATGGCGGTGTCATACGGTGCATAGCATGGCATTGGCATCTGCTGCAGGGGCCGCGAGGACCAAATGGTCCCCCTGTGCAATGTCTCACTGTGCGGAGCAGTGGTCAGAGTGGAACGCTGCTACCGAAAGTGTCACCATGACGGCGCAGAGTGCCGGGCTGCGCTGCGGGGGGGGGGCTCAGGAAACCTGGGTCCTTGCCGAGCTGCGCAGAGGCGTCAAGAGATGTCAATATCACTTTTGGCCTCCCAAAGAGGTACCAACATGTATCGTGTGCCCACATGGATCTGGGCTTTGTGTGGCATTTTCTGGCGCCGGGTGCTCTGCGAGAATCGCCATATGCCAGCATGCGAAAAATATGCAGCTGCGTGCGCAGAAGCCTCAGCGCGCAGATGCTGCGAAGCCGGGAGCAAAGCAGTTGCAAGGCTCAGCTGCCAGCTTTCCTGCATGAACACGAAGGGCAACAGTCTATTCAACATCTACCTTGGGGACTTCGAAGGCAAGAGCTGCCTTAAGCTAGTATAAGGGCCATAGTATGGGCATATGAAGGGGAACCTGTAGGGGTACAACACCCGAAACCCTAAACTGGTCTCTTGAGGTCATTTTGGAAATCTATGTAAGGTAAAGCCAGACTTTCTAGACCCCGAGTTCTCCCCAAGTAAACCCTAAACCAAGCCAAGCGTCCCGTGCGCACGGGGAGCGATGTTCGTTCGACGCCTGACTCGGGGCTTTGCTTTTGCCCAGCTTCGGCATCTTCGGATCGGGCCGAAGGAGCGCAGGGCGTTGGGGACGTGAACAGGGTTTACAGGGTCTTGCAGGGTTTTTAGGGTTTTATAGGGTTTTATAGGGTTTTATAGGGTTTGTAGGGTGTGTAGGGTTGCTTGGGGCCTACAGGCCGATCCTTGTCTGAACAAAGGTTTTTATGAGATGTCGAAGGTACCTAGGACACCTACAACGCGAAGCCTAAATCATCTACTCTACTCACTCCATCTCGAATTTCAGCATGCCCCCTGCATGGATGTTGCAGAGGCTGATGCAGTTCGAGTGGCATCCGCCTCGGACCCAGATGGTCAATCTAAGCAGTGCTGCTGGCGCATGTGCACGGATGGTTGGGGCGGGGTTACGCGTACCTAAAAACGCGACGTGACACAGTACACCTCCAGCTAGCCACAAGGTCCATCCTTGATCGCACGCTTATGCATATGCTGCACGTGGTGTGTGTGTGTGTGTGTGTGTTTGTTTTTGTTTGCGCGCCAGTTTCTCAGGACGTGAGGAGGAAACTTCTTCAGCAGGACCGACGGCCGAGCATCGGCCATACTTGGCTCTCCATCTTGCCAAGCTCACGGGTTGCACGCCACCAAGCATCGCCTAAAAAGTGTAAGCTTCGCACGCGTGCCTCTGCAGAAAATTCGGCCCCTTGAAGCTGCTCGTCACTTGTGGGGGGCTGCGCCATGGCGCAGACGGAGGCCTTCCGGGTTTTGGAGAGGCAGATCGCGAGCCTGGAGCGGTCGATGTCCGGTGGCCTTGCAGAGCTCCGGGCAACTCTGGGGACTTTGGGGGCCCCTTCGGGGGCCCCTTCGGGGGCCCCTTCGGGGGCCCCTTTGGGGGCCTCGGAGGTCTCGAACCGGGGCGGAAGCGTCGGCAGCATCCGCCCTGTGCCGGAGCAGATGAGCACTCTCCTCGAAGCCAAGGGGCGGCTCGGACAAAAGGCATCCACTCCTTTCACATCCTGCCACATCCTCTCTCAAATTTTCGAGGCACTTGTATTCCTATTGCAAAACCACGGCGCTCACCTGAGGAAACTTGGTGAGGCTCCCCAACGCGACCACTGGACCGTCTGGACCGAGGGCCAGGCATGGGAAGGCCCGCGTGTGCCAAAGAGCAGCCAGCTCCTAAACCCTAAACCCTTGTAAACCCTCAACCCTCAACCCTAAACCCTTCTAAACCCTCAACCCTCAACCCTCAACCCTCAACCCTTCTAAACCCTCAACCCTCAATCCTCAACCCTCAACCCTAAACCGTAAACCCTTCGAAACCCCAAACCCTTCGAAACCCTAGACGCTAAACCCTAAACCCTACACCCTAAACCCAACGGGCACTCCGCTTGCTGCCTCTGGAGGCAAGATACCTGGGGAGCTGAGCTCCGAGTGCCCGTACCTCAGCTTCCGGCTCCTTGTGCATCCGCCGCTATACTAATATACTGCTATCACACTGGAATAAGATATTGATATAGGAATGTAAAATGATATAATAGTAAAAGCATATAAGTCATGACGTAGAAATATAGGTAGTATCATTGCAGTCTTGTCAGGCCTGGAGTGCCCTCCCCGCAAGCGCGCCGTGACCTTCACGGCGATCTCGCCGATGCAAGAGCCGAAGCGAGCACAGGATCGGCACACCCTCGCCACCCACCGCGCCTCTGTGCTGAACGCCATCTCGGAGGCGAAGAAGTCGATCCCCGCGCGCGGGCGGGGGCTGGAGACGAGCAAGAGCGTCTTCTTCGACGCGAGCACGCTCAAGAAGAAGCTCAAGCAAGACTTGTCCAAGGACCGAAGTTGTTCCGCAAAAACAGGACTTTGGGGGGTGGTCGTAGAACGAGCTCTGAGGCACGAGTCGTCGGGTTTCTGCGCAGGAGACCTACAACGTCAATGACTACTATCACGAGGACGGCTACTGCGGCGCTCTCAGAGCTCATCCTGCAGCTTTCGACTTATCGACCTTTCGATAATCTATGTATATATATAATATTATATAATATATGTCTTATATATATATATATATATTATATGTAGAGATTTTCTGATAGGATGTTTGACTTCTGACTTTTTTTAAGAGGCCAGCGGATCGCCAGAAGTCGTCTCTTCGAGCTCGCCACCTTCATCATCCTGGCGAGCAATGCCATTTGGACAGGTCCGCTTCTTGTAGACCAAACAAAGGGCGGTTTGCGAAAAATGGTGAAAAATGGGGGCCCCTACAATAGACCCCCAAATAGTAGGATTCCCTTATAAAAGGGCCCCAATAAGGTACCCGAATTTCGGAAACCGCCACAAAGAGAGAGGCGCAGAGTGGGAATGCACGTCTCTCGTGTTCTCTCTGTGTGCTCTGTGTAGGTGTCGAGATCGAAATCAACGACGCGCCCATCATCCTGCAAGCGCACGTCGCGGTGATCGCGATCGAAAACTTGTTTGTCCTCTTCTTCACCCTGGAACTTGCGGTGCGGTTCGGCGCTTTCAAGAGGCGCGCTCTCCCATTCTAGGAGTGGTGCCGGGCTGATGGCACACTGGTGCGGAGAAGCTAGCTCGCGCGTATTGCGGCTCTTCTGGGTTCATTTTCCGGAAGATCATGGGGTGCTTTGCGTGAAAGTCGCCCCATCCGTGTAGTGAATGTGAACCTATGGTGTTTAAGGTGCATGGAAAATGCGTGCAGACAGAGGGTTCGCTGCTCGGTGGGGAGCCCCTGTCAGGAAATTGGATGCTTTCCGTGATGGCTGGTTTGCCTTCGATATGGTGCTGGTCATTCTCATGTGGTTTGAGACTTGGCTCCTCTCCCTTATCCAGCTCGTCTCCGGTGACATATCAAGCTCTTCAAGCTGCTTGTCTCTTGGGTCTTGCCTTGTGAAAGAGCTGGCTTTCTAGGGAGCCAAACTGCCCTAAACCCATCTCCCGGCTGCTTGCGGAAGCCCAGGCTTTCGCGTGATTCGCCTGCTTCGGCTCACGCGCATGGCAAGGATGGCGCGGCTGCTCCGAAGCGTCCCGGAGTTGCTCATCATCGTGAGGGCCATTGCCATCGCCTTGCGATCGGTCTTCTTCCTGATGGTTCTTCTGGTTGGTCTGGTGTATGTCTTCGCCCTCCTCTTCAACCAACTCTTTGATGGCAAGAACCAGCCAGCAGGACCGGAGTTTGCAAACATTATATTTTGCATCATGTTTTTGCTGGCTGCTGTTCTCCCTGAGTCCTTGTCGCAGGATCGATGGCACATAAGAGCTTCGGAAGCTTGCCGCAGGCCATGAATACGCTCCTGATGGCTGGAGCACTACCGGACCAGTCCGCGTTGATCGAAGACGCCGGTGCTTTCCACTTCTTGCTCTACCCATTGATGCTTTTATACATGCTGCTGGCTTCGCTCACCGTCATGAATATGCTGGTCGGAATCCTTTGCGAAGTTGTGAGCGTTGTGTCGGCGGTCGAAAAGGAGGAGATCCTCCTGAAATCTGTGAAGACGCACTTGAAGCAGCTGCTGCTGGATGCAGAGGCAGATGAGGCCGGCTGCAAGGGGGTGCAAAAGGCTTTCCAGAGCTTTAGAGGTTCTCTGCAGCTGTTCCCAAAGCTTGTGGGGGCCCGAGCCTGCAACTAAGTCTTAGCTAGGTTTAGAGTTTAGGGTTTAGGGTTTAGGGTTTAGGGTTTAGGGTAGCTTTGCTGTGCTTCTTGCTTGAGCCAGGACGGCGATGGCAGCATCTCGCGACGAGAATTTGACAAGATGCTCACGAATCCCACCTGTGTTCGGACCCTGAATGAAGTTGGGGTGGATGTCTTTGCTCTGGTCGACTTGGCAGATTTTATCTTTGAGCAGAAGGATCACCTCGAGTTCGCGGCATTCATGGATGCAGCTCACGATCTTACCAGTAAGCTTTGCATACTCGCATGTGCCGGCACACCGTAGCCTCTATTCTGTTTGCATGTGCCTTAAGTAGTTAAGCGGCAGACTTTGTGGAGGCAGTTCTGCAACTACGTGGCAGCAACACGGCCACGGTCAAGGACCGGCTGAGCGGTTCTCGCCGCATGGCTTGTCGATGTTCTTGGTCTGCGATCTGGGGGTTTACGAGTTGGGGGGGGGGGGGGGCACCTTGTTGGGGTCCTGATTATAAGGGGGATCCTGTTATTTGGAGGTCTAGTTTCGGTCTCCCCGATTTTCGTAAACCCCCAGTTAGCAGGACATTGTCGACCTCCAGAAGCTCATAGTGAACCACTTCAAGCTGACGGAAGACCTGATCGCTACTTTGTCATAGTGGGGTACCACATTTTGCATTTTTATTATTTAGGGGTACTGAAACTCAATAAGGAAGAGAAATTTTAGGCTTTTCATGCCATGCCAACCATGAACTAGGCTGAGCTGGGCAGAAATGGCCAACCACCGATGCTTGCTTAGCTCCATGGGTTGGAGCTGATGCCTAGACTCCCAGATTCCTAAACCCTAAACCCTAAACCCTAAACCCTAAACCCTGAAGTGTTTTGCCTCTGGACTCTGCCTCTCCTCATCCTTTTTCACTGGAGCCTCGTATTCATGAGACCACGTGCGCCCTCATTGATTCTCCACAACCTCATAGGCTTTGGTTGTCGCACCTCGTGCTTCCTAGGGCTCCAGTGACAACTCTAATTTGTTTCTGCAAGACGCTGTGTACCAGCTGTCGCTGGAACCACACCGGACCTTCATGGTGATCATGGTGGCGCTCGCAGCGTGCGGGCCTATCTCCAAAGCCGCTATGCGGCAAATTTCCAGCAGGTTGTGCCTTCCGGCAACGTGCTGCGCAACCCGAAGACGCTTGTCAGCCGACAGGATCGTCGGACGGACAGTGTCTTCTTCTCTCAAAGGCCGCAGCCAAGCTGCGCCCCCTCTGCCGAATTCGGAAATCACAGCCATCAGTGCTGTGACGAACGCTGTGAGACCTGACCGCACGGCATACCCGTACGCCAAACTTTGCAGAGTCGGTTGTGTTTGATGTTGTTTGCATTGGCTTGCTTTCTACACGGCTGCAGGACCTTGCCCGCCAGCCAGTGGAGATGGACGTGTTTGGAACGAATGCCATCAAGATCGTGTGCGCCCCAAGCTTCCCCAGAGGCGTCGGGAGCCCTTTTTGAGCTTTGGGCTGCTCAGGTCATTCGTTCTCTCTTGGCCGCAGAAGCCGACCTGATCAACGACCAGGGTGGAAGGCACAAGCGTGCTTTTTCCCAACAGCCCCGTCCACGATCCTCCACATGTTTTCTTAAAAACTACGCAGGAGCTGAGACCATCTGAGACCTAGCGCCACCTGGAAGGTATACGGGTCGGCTGGTCTTGGCGGTACGCCGGAGCAACAGAAGCCCGGAGGTCACCATGTCTTCGGTCTTATCTGCGGTTAGGAGCTGCTAGGTTGCTAAGCTTCAGCTGCCAGAATTCGCTGTGAGCCAGGACGCGGGAGATCGAAGTGGCCTGCAGTTGCGAGTGCGCGCTGCTGAGGGTGCAGCGCCCGCGTCTCAGCCCGTCTCGACGGAGATCGTTCAAGCTTGGCAGGCCTGCCGCCGGCTTGTAAAGGTGAGCTGCGAGTGGCGCGCTCCTTGCACGCTTCGGTCTTGGCCTAGGGCCTGTGGGGGGGGGGAGCTGTGAGTGGGGGATGTGTGGCGCTCAACAGCACATGTTACCCGCAGGCGCGAGACCAACGTTGGCAAGCTGGCGGGCGGCATTGCCAAGAGGATCCGGGAAGACGGTGCGGCCCTGGCGCGGGCCCTGCTTGTTGCCTCGTGGAAACCGCGCCCAGGCTACTTGGAGGTTCATGCATACTTAGAAGGGGGGATATCAGTACCCTGAATCAGGTTATTACCCATAGTTACCCTACTTCTAACCCTACTTCTCTTAAGTACCCATGAACCTCCAAGTATGCCCTGCTTGTGTGCATCTTGGTGCAGTTTCCTGCACTTCTGTGGCGCTGAGGTGCGGGGCGCGGGCGCCGTGGCCTTGAGGCACCAGCTCCAAGCCGTGAGCCTCGCGCGGGGGCCGCACAGCCTCCTTGCTCGTCTCTCCTCTTTTGGGAGGAGCTCCTCTCTGGGATCCCCTCTCGGTTTTTTTGTGGACTCCCAGAAATCTCCTCGGTTTCTGTGGGCTTTTCAGGTCTGACTACCTGGAAGAAACGGGCGAACTGGGCGGTCATGACCTGGTGGCGCTGCCGCGATACGAGGCAGGAGAAGGAACAACGGGGACCGGGGGGGGGGGGGATGGCAACAGCGCCCCCGAAAAGCCCGTTTCTTGCGCAAGCGCTCCTGCCCAGGACCAGGAGGATGACAGGCAGAGGACGTGGACTGAGTACTCGCTGGCGGTCTACAGGCTGCCGCTCTCTTAGATGACTCTTCATGTCTAGATCCGACACGAGCAAGCCCGCAGCGCGGCACGGCAAAGCAAGCTGGCGGATGGCATTCTGGGGCGAGCTTCCTGGAATTCTTGGGGGCCCTCATGGTGGGCATACTGCGGCAGAATCTGGCGACCGAACGTGGACAAGCAGAGAGGCAGTGGACGTCGGCACCGAAGGGCTGGCGCAGGCTTCATGCCCGCTGCAGCACTGCAGCTGCAGATTGGCACCTCACGACCATGTCAGACAGCTTTCTGGCCATCGAGAGACGCCGCCGAGCTTCGTTGGATGATGATATGTGATGTGTTCTGCTCATGTCCATCCAGCAGCATCCGGAAAGACAAGAGGTGAATGCGCCAGAAAAGCATCGAACAAAAAGTCCAAGTCCACAGACGTGTTCAAAATCCTTGGGGCGGGGGGGCCTTCCAAGAGCCGCATCAAAAAGCCGCGTGTCATCGCTCGCCCGACTCAAGAGTTGCAGGAGCTCGAGCTTGGCTCATGCTGGCCTTCAATACTCTGTCCTAGTGTCCTAGTGGTCGCCTTATAAGCTTAGAAGGGGCACCGGGGGGGGGGGGGTTTCGGTTTTTTTTCCCCGATCTTTTGCAATGGATGCCCCGGGCTCCACGGAATCTGGGCCCGCGGTGCGAGGTGGCCCTGCTGGGCCACCTGCTCCTTCCACGGCATCGGGCTCCGACGCGACTGCGCGGGTGCAGAATGCGCGCAGCCGAGCGAAGGGAGGATAGAACGTGTAAGGCCTATAAGTTTAGATTGAAGTCATGTAGGTATGCGATAGTATATGGTTCAAAGGATGTGCAGACAGCTTCGCAGTCCCATGACATGGGGTGGACTTCAGGTGCCACCGGCCGCTGTTGCATTGCAAGCAAGCCTGGCTTCAAGCACGGTGGCGTGCCCGGCCTCTCTCAGCATCAGGCACGGGCAGTGCGTGATCGCGTCTTTTTCAGGCTGATGCCAATGCTTGCCCGTGCATGTCCGCCCAGGGCACGTGCCACCACAGCAGGCTTCATGTTCTCAGCTTTTTGACTGCAGTTAAGCCCGTTGAGATACAGCTCTGCCGCGAACGCGAATGAGTTCTCGCACTGCTTCAGGCTCGACGTGCAAAGCAGCCGGGACATAAGCGAAGTAGCTATGCAGGCTGGGACGCAGTCTGATGGCAGTTGGGTGTCCTGGGATGTCATGGCAGGCATTGTAGCAATGCTGGACGACTTCTTTCCAGTCAGCTGTGGCTCCTTCGCAGCTGGTGCTTGTCATGACATTTGTTTTTGAATCCTATGCACTGCCCAGGCGTGTTGAGGAAACATGGCTGCTGGCCCAAGAAGCGACGGAAAACTGCGTGAACAAATCGCTTGCAATGACGCAGTCACTGGAGATTTGCAAGCACACGGCCTTCGAGAGAAACCGCGAGATCTGACGCTGGAGGGATGAGCATTGAGGAACTTGGCGCGGGCGCAGGAGCATGAGCAGCGCCGCTCGCGGTGATGGACGTTGATGGACATATTGTCAGTCATCAGTCTCAGCAAATGATGACCACAGTGTACTCTGCGCGCCCTTTGAATGTTGCCAGCTTCTGCCGGCGAAAAGTGGAGAGTGAGTGGTAAGCAGCGAGGGCTCACCGCTGACCTGAATGCTTTTTATGATGGCCTAGTGTATCCTCTTGTCCATGGGAGACTGTAGGTTTGTTCAGTCAGAGCTTTAACGCCACCGCTTGCAGCAGCTTGCCTGTGCAATTCGGAAGGGATTGACGAGCTTCTCGTACTCACCCTGACTTCCACTTCACGGGGGTGGGTACTCTGTAGTTGTCCATCAGCCCTGAGCAGTTCTCCCTGCGTACTCCCCCACGATAGTCTAAGCTTCACCTGCAGTAGCCCGTAGCCATGACTTGAGACGGCCGAGCAATGCCATGTTGGACGTGAAGGAGCTCTTCACCCCAAGCCGACGGCGGTTGCTGCGCGGTGAGCCGGAGCCAGACGCCCCGAGCCAACTTGGCAGCCAATGCCTCCCGCTCTCCTGGCGCCGCTTCCCGGATCCCGCAGCCAGCTCCCTCCTGCAGAGTCACGCGTGCCGCGCCTGGGATGTGCTCGGGATTTGCGAAGCCTCCTTGAGGCTCTGCCACAAGAATCTGCACAGCAACCGCGATGCCCTGCGCCAGTGCCGCACGCAGCTGGAGGCCCATCTCGCCTGCGGGGCGGCCGTCCGTGACCTCCTGGCCGGGAGGTGGTCGGATCCTCAGGACGAGGACTGGGTGTCCGACACCATCTCCCGGCGGCCTGCAGTTGCGTCCCGTCCGCGACACTGCGTGGGCCGCGTCCGCTGCTTCTTCTGCCGCGAGCGCGACTCGCTGGAACGGGAGGAGGGCGAATTCGGTGGCACCAGCGATCCCTGGGACCTGGATTCGGCGGTCCTTGGCGACGTGAGCTGCGCGACCTCCTCGGACAGCTTCCGCTCCATGCGTGCCAGCGAGGCGCGCGAGGCGCGCGAGGCGCCAGAGGGAGCTCGAGAGACCGCGGGTGCCGGTACCAGCGAAGGAACGGCCCCGGCCTCAGCCCCAAGCTCGCGGAAGGTGCGGCGGCGCAAGACCTCTCGAGAGCGGGGGCGGGTCCTCTACAAGCTTCGACGGAAGGAGTGCTCCGCAGTTCCGACCTGGTACGCGACCCACACCGTGGAGCCCGAGCCCCCGAGGATCCTGCAGAAGAGCAGCGACCGCAGCAGCGGCTGCGGCAGCGGCACCCGCAACGGCGGGGAGGGCGCCTTGAGCCAGGAGTCGAAGTCGGAGGCATCCTTCACCTCCCCTTGAAATGCCTTCACATCTGCCTTCTGCCTTCTTCCCACCCTTGGTCTTCCCCCCCTCGTCTTCCCTTGGCCTTCCAGAAACCTCGCAGGTACGGGAGGGCATGGATCCGGTGGAGCCAGTGGAGCTGCAGAGGCGCGGCCCCCCCCTGTACATCCCCCTTTGCTCTTGGACCATCTCTTCCCTGGAAGTCGCTGCTGGTGCTGTCAGGCCCCGGCTTGACATGAGCCAGGCCAGAGAGCACGTTGAGCAGCTCAAGAGTGACAAGAAGCGCCTTAAAAGCGGGGAATTCCCGTGCCCTTCCGACGTGCCTTTGTCATCCTCTCCGAGAGGTCCAAGAAGGGGAAGCCCTGCACGGGGATCTCCAAGGGGCCGATGCCGCGGACGCCGCGGAGCTGGAGCCGTATACGACGGCCGCGGCCAGGCGCGCATAGATGTCTTCGCCACTGCTTGACATGGCTCTGTGTTTTCTATATATTACCAGGATTTCTGCTCTTTGAGTTTTTTTTGGGGTAGTTTTCTCGCGTTATGTCTCTGGAGGTTCCGCGCGGAGATGGAGTTCCTGGACATGTGCCTTCGGCAGTGATTGTGGGCTTCGATTCTTCGACTCTATACCCCTGGCGATGGCAAAATATAGGGTTCCTAAGGCAGGAAGGGGGGGGTTCAGAGGAGGGTCTGTAACCCAAGCTTCCTTCATGTACCCCTCTACTCCTCCCTAAGCTTCCCTAAGCTTCCCTAAGGTTCCCTAGGCACCGACCCTCCATCAGCCTTTTTCCCTATGAAGCAAAAGCCCAGGTCAAGCTTCCCTGGCAGCCCGGAAGTGCCGGCAGCCCAGTGGCTCCACAGCCGCGAGCGCGCTCCATATGTGCACGATTTTCACAATGCCTCATAATGTGACACCTGTGTATTATATCTTATGAATGTATATACATACATATATATATATATAGCACCAATGTGACAGCACAATGTGGCCTCGGATGTGGAGGGGCATCTGTCCGTGCACAAAGCCTCCTTGTTCGAGCTCGTGCGTCAATCCAGGGGATGTATGGGACGTATGGGACGTATTGCAGCTGCCCGTGGTTTGGACCTTGGACCCCTCCTCCAGGAACGTCCCCGAGCGTCACAAGGGCATGGAGCGAGACTCGCCAGACGCGTTCTCAGACCATGTCATTGAGAGAGTGCAAGCAACCCGTACACTACTTGAAGGCTCATGGGTACTTACAAGTGGGGTTGGGAGTACCAAAAATATGGCAACAGCCAGGGTTACCCTACTTCCAACCCCTACTTAGAAGTACCCATGAACCTCCAAGTAACAGTGTCAAAAAGAAACGTGGCACTTCTCAGAGCTTTGACCATCTCCAAGGAAAAGGCTCTGCCTCGGCCCATGCCCCTCGACGACATCGAGGCGAAAGACTTGTGAAGGATGAGAACTTTTCTACCCATTCTGCGAGAGGGTTTGGACTCTTCTAAGGTTTTTTTGGATTCTGCTTCCTGGCTCAGGTGTGGCAAACACCCGCGCCGCCTGCTCCGCCTCCCTCGGCCAGCCACGCGCGTGCGCGCAAGTTCCTGCCGCAGCCTTGTGAGTGCTTTGATATCATAGCATGCCGAAAGAACACCGAAGACCATCGTGTTCGAAATGGCGTTTTCTGACTTGATCTGAGACCCATCCTAGGTCGGATGGCGAGACTTTTGAGGCTCGCCGTGTGCGAGTTCACATCCGCATGGCCCGCATCCTTGAAAGGGCCGCTGCGCCCACAGCTCAGGAGCCCTCTTCCGGCCCCGACATCCCTGCGGCGTGGAGATGGACTCTCTGCACCTTCAGGCAAGAAATTTGGGAAAATCTCGGGTTGTCATGACGATGAATCACAATATTAGGCTCTTTTTTAGGGTGCTCTTTTGTGGACCACAGAGCCCTTGTGTTCAGAGGCTGCTGAAAGAAGGCCCGGTGAGAAAGCTCGCCGTGCTCCAAGGCAGCGGCCTTGGCTTCAAGGTGCCCCAGAGAGGATGCCCAATATCTTAAGCAGGGTGTATGTTACTGCTACTGGTGAGTGTATATAAGGTTCCTTTTTTTGGGGTGCATATAAGGGGGGTATAGGGGGGGTACAAGAAATCTACACCCTACTTCATCATGCCACCTGTCGGGGAGTTGTGTTGGCATGTGTTGGCCCAGCTGGAGAGAGCCCAGGCTGGGCAGCGGCCGTGAAGAGGCAGCCCGCAACGTAGCTACTTCTTGTACGAGACGACTTCGAGACTCCGACGGAGCCACCGCGAAGCTACTACGAAACTGCTGCGAAAATGCTACGAACATGCTACAAAACGACCGCGAATACTTCCGCACGCATGAGTCGCGAGTCGTCGAGTCGACATCGGCACGTGGAGGCAGCGGACGCCCCTGGCATCCATCGGTGCTGTGCACCAGCCCTGTGTCACAAGGCATCCGGAGGATAATGTGAGAATGTGCTAGTAAGCTCGTAGGGTCGTCAGATCAGGTCAGTATAGAACCTCGTAGAAAGATGATGATGAAACACAAGAACACGTTTAGAACACTTTCACGCTGTAACACCGCATCGGTACCGCACTACAACGCTGTAACACCATTACTGGCTATAACCATAGAACCATATATAACAAGATTGCAATGTAAGCATCTAACAAGATAGCAACAAAACAAGAAGAGTGGGATAGCATACCCGAATACTGCAATATCATAAGTGGAATAATGCCAGGATATCATACTCATGCCTGATACTTGTAAGATCGACCTGTTCTCCACATGTATGTCCCCACTATTTGCTGTGCCAGGCCTGCCGTACCTGTTCGGAATGAAGCCTCAATGGCCCGCGCCCTGGAAACTGATCGAAGCATGATGTTGCAAGAAGTGCCCTTAGGTACCCTACTAGGCTTATCATTGGGCGATAAGTACGGTTATAGTTGGGTTCCTGGGTACCATGAACCTCCAAGTCCCCCCCCCCTTCAAGGAGGCCAGTCCTGCGGTACCTTCTGCAAGCCGATGAAGGTGCCTCTGGTGCACTGATCGCCCAGTGATTGTCGAGGGCAAGCGAGTTCCAGCGATGATGTTTGTGGGCCAGTTGTCCTCAGGAGGATGAGCTGAGCCTGGCGGAATCGTGAGCTGAGAAGGGCCAGACATGGCAACAGGAGGTGCCTGAAGATGCTTCCGGAGCTCCTGCTCGGAGATGCTTGTGGAGGTGCTGAGCAGGCCATGGCATCAAGAAAGACCTCAGATTCTGGAGTCCAGCGCGAGCTTCCAGCCTGAGCTTCCCCGCAGCGTGCGGTCCGGGGCCCTCCCCCTCCATGGGGGCTCTGGAGAGCTGCGCCCCGCCCCGCGCCAAAAGCGAGGAGAAGGAAAAAAGGGGATGCCTCCTCTCGGATCGTTTTGTGGAATCTTGCAGAGCCAGGGTCTGAAGGAGCGCCCAGTGTACCCCAGAACGCGGCTCCCTGCGTCAGGTGTTCTGCGCAAACGCCGGCGACTCCCGATGTGTGCTGGCCAGGTATGGGGGCTGGCTTTCCAGAGCTCTTCGTGCAATCTCGGATGTTGCCTCTCCAGCACGTGTGACAGGGGAGGCCGTGCCCAAGACTTGTCGCGCGACCACAAGCCCGAACTGAAGAGTGAGCACAGACGGATCACGAAGGCCGGGGGAAGCGAGGGGAAGCGAGGGTCAAGGTCGAGGGTGGGGGTATGAACATAGTAGTATATACGAATACACGTATACGGCCTTTTTTGTGTATATATATATAGAGAGAGAGAGAGAGAGAAGAACATACATTTATTTGAGCTACCTCAAACTTGCAGAAAAAGGTCCCCTGAAGGGAGCCTTAAAGGGCATGCGCCTCTGAACATCCTGACTTCCTCGGCTTGGTGAGGCCGGTGGTTTCGTCTCCCCCGACGGCCGCGTCGACGGCAACCTCGTGCGCCTCTTGGAACAGCGACCCTCCCCTTGGTTTGACTACCAAAAGCATGGGGAAAACATAACGAAACATATGGAAGCATTATTGCTCCTCATGTTTGTAGCAGCCCTTCAAGCAAAGCACATGTTAGCGGCATGTCCCTTCAGAACCTGTCGCGCTCCCTCGGGGACTTTGCTTACAAGAAGGACGCCTCCCGGAAGGTGCCACGAACTTCGGCAGATGTGAAGGGGGGGGGCATTTTGTTTTTTGGGCGCCTTGGGGGGGAGGCCACCGAGCAGAAGATCTCCGCGGAAGCCGAGGCAAGCGTAGGAGCCATGTCAACTGTGTGGCAAACAGGCGGATCCGAGATGTGCCAAGGTCAAGAGAAGGGGCCTGGGCCCCGCAGACCAGTACCTTGTGATAGGCGAGGGGGGTTGGCCTTGTTGGAGCAACGTGTGGATCCCCCTCCCGGCGGGCCCCCCAGGTCTTCCCAAGCATGTCCATGGGAGGCTGCGATGGGATCTTTGAGAAGTTCTCCAGCCTGGGGCCCCCCACGCCGTCTTGCGCACGCCAATGTTGCACACGGCTTCATTCTCGGAATGTGGCCGGTCGCCCAGTCGACTCAGGTCAAGAGTTGGTCAGCTTCTTGCTTCCCCACCTCAGGCAGCGTCGTAGTCACAGAACTGGCTGTGCTGCTGGATACCTGCATAAACATACCTGGTGAGGGTTGATGGTAGCTTGAGGGTACATGAGGGTGTATAACCCTAATCCTTAAACCTAAACATCCTAAACCCGAAAGCCTATGAGACCCAAGCTGCTACTCTCTGCCACCGGCTTCGTGCAGGCGCCGGCGGCGAAGCCAGGAACCTCTCTCACGCGCGTCGCTGGCCAAGCTGCTTGAGAGCTCTGCGCGAGCTGTGCTAGGGAGTTCGATGGGGAGTCAGAGGGTCTCCATTGTAGTCCTGGGGCGTGTTTTCGTGTATTCCCTGGTGAGAATTGCAGGAAGGGCCAGCAGAATTGAGATCAACTTCCCCCCCCCCGGCCAAGTCGCAAGAATACCCCTCTGACTGCCGAGATGCTCGGCCTTTCTCGATGCGAACATTGCCAAGAGCCCACAGAAGGAGCTCTTTGCGCGTCGTGTGTGCTGCTCCTTTTGCACAGCGGCTTAAGGGTTGTGGCTCTCCCCAGAAGCGCACATCCCCGGGTGCCCCCCCCGGTAAAGCCCTTAAAAAAGCCTGACCTGAAGCAGCCTGAAACCCCAAACCCAAGAACCCAATCTCGCCGTCGCCAGGGCCCCAAAGGGGGTATTCGGCTCGAGCTTGGCTTTTTTTGGAGCTAAAATTCCGAGCCCCCCACCCTGTCTTGGGTATTGAAACCTTGAAACAAATTGAAACATATTCCCTTAAGTATTTCTCTAGGCTCTCGGGTGCCGCCAAGGGCCCGAGGTCATGATTTGGGAGCGCCCATGATGGAACACGTCGGGGAGCTCCTGCGGCTCGGCGCCCCTGCCAGGAAAGGGCAGGTCGCAGCTACCGTGGCCGAGAGCTGCCGTAGCTGGGGCACGGGAAGGTGGACGCTGGTACTGCGAGCCGTCGCCAAGGCCCATCGTCCAGACTTGGCCCTGCAGTTGCTGGAGTTGATCGGGTCTGGGCGAATTGAGGCCGATGTCTTCCACTACTCCGCCGCGATCACTTCTGTCAAGTCAGCTTCAGTTGGTGGCCCTTGGCCTACAGCGCTGTCGATGCTGCAGCAAGCGGAAGACTCGGGAATCAGCCCAAACGAATACACCTTCGGGTCTGTGATGCGTGGCTTGGCCCATTGGCTGCTGGCACTGGATTGCATCCGTAGGATGCAGCAAATTCGTGTTGGTGCAAACGATGTCGTACACACCGCGCTTCTCGACACCCACTCTCATCAGCACCAGTGGGCGAGGGCTCTCTCACAGCACGAGTCCCTGTGCAAAACCACTCGCTTCACCTGCGCTCCAGTGATGTCTGCTTGTGAGAAGGGCTCGGAGTGGCCCTGCTCCATTGCGTTGTTGTCCTCGATGCGAAAGAGTCCAAGGCCTCAATGCTCACCGGACCTTGTGTGTTACGGTTCCGCTGTCAGCGCATGCTCGCAGAGGTGGCAGGCAGCAGTTGCACTCCTGGAGCAAGTAACAGAGGAATCTCTAGAGCGCAATGCTGTGTGCTACAATGCAGCCATCTCATCATGCACAGAACGCTGGGAGGCAGCATTGTGCTTGTTCGAGGGCTTGTGCCAGAAGAAGATTGAGCCAGGAGTCTGCTGTGCCACCACGGCTCACATCTGCCAGTCCTGGGAGGCGACGCTGCGCCTGCTGGAGTGGCAGCTCTCTGAAGACATCATACCCGACGCGGCGATGGCGGGCTCCGTGCTGCAGGCCGTAAAGGAGCACGCGGGCGAAGCCGGCGCTGAGCGTGCCGAGCGCCTGCTTTCGAAGCTGTTGGACTTGTGGGCACGGCATCTGCCCCAGGAAGGCATCCTTGCTACATGTGAAGGGCTGGAAGAAGAGAACATCCTTGTCAACCAGCCGGGCTTAGTTGTAGTGTCCAAGCCGCCAGGAGTGACGACTGAAAGGACTGCCATGGCCATAACTGCCAGTGCACAAGGGGCAGCTTTCCACGTTGTTTCGCGATTGGATGCCCCAACCTCCGGAGTTCTTCCATTTGCGGTAGGTCAGGTTGCCGCGAGGTATCTCCAGGCACAGTTTGCTGGCCGCCTCGTGCGGAAGGAGTACATCTGTTTGTGCCAAGGCGCTCCCCTGGGGGAGGTGGGAACGACTGGAAAGATCTCCCATCCGCTGCTTACGACTGGCGTGGATGGGCTGAATTCTCGCACGGAGGTTTCAGTCACCAGGGGTCGCGATGCCTGCACGGTCTACCTGGTGAAATCGCGGTACGATGCTGGCACCTCTCTACCAGACACAGAGCTGGTCCTCCTTCGGGTGCGGATCCTGACTGGTCGGACCCACCAAATTCGCGTGCACCTCGCAAGCATAGGACGCCCGGTCGTGGGTGACGTCGTCTATGGCACAGGGCTTACGTCGATCTCGCCTCGCCTCTTTCTCCACTGCGAGCGGCTACGCATTCGTGACCTGGAAGGGGGGCTTCGGACTGTCAGAGCTCCGCTTGCCAGAGATCTTGCAGAAAGCCTGAGCAAGTTGGCAAACAGCGGAGCCATTGCCGTTGGTTTTTTTTCGGGTTTTTGGGCGGGGCATGTACACTTCGTATGTGATGACCAAAGCTGTAAGACGGTTCGCCGGACTTGTGGCTCAAGGCAAGAAGGAACTGCCTCCTCTCCACCAGGCGCCTTGTGCAGGCCTTCGGAATTGGGGAGCCCATTCGCCTTACTTGGACGGTTCATGGCTATTTGTAAGTAGGGTTCATAAGCAGTCGAGATAAGGTTACGACCAGTGATATTACAGTTCCCCTACTTATTACTTATAGCCCCACTTACAACTACCCATGCACCTTCAAGCGACCCTAAGGCCTAAACCCTAAGATAACCCATAGTGTTGCCGGGAGACGTCAGGTGGCCGTCATGATCAATTTCATTCCAAAGTCATGCCCCTCAGTCGGGCCTCCCAGCTTTGGAGCGCTGTCTTCAGGGCTTGAAGGTTCATGGGTACTTCGAAGTGGGGTTATGCGTGCCCTAAGTAGAGTGATAGCCATAGCTGCCCTACTTCTAAACCTACTCAGAAGCACCCATGAACCTCCACGTGGCCCTCAACCCTAAGCCCTAAACATCCCTAAACCCTAAACTCTAAACTCTAAACTCCAAACCCTAAACCCTAAACCCATGGCTCTCCCGCATCTTAGGTGGCGCTTCTCTACGGCAAGCGGCCGTTGCAACGGATCGCCGCCGGGGCCTCGAGCCAGAAGCCGACTGAGGGCCCCGAATCCCTCTGAAGTTTCTTAGCAGCCTTGAAAAAGGCCCCTGAGACTATGAAAAGAAGACACGTTTGAAAACGGTCCTTGAAACTATGAAAAAAGATATGATAAATATGAAAAGCCCTCGCCCCCTCACGCCTCCGCGAGGTGGGCGCCAGCAAGCAGCAGCTGGAGATTCCCTTGGACGTGGTGGCGGACATCCCAGGAAAAGTCGACGGCAGCGCTCCTCGTCGGGCAGAAATGGAGGCAGATGCGAAAGGTATCCGGTAGTAGGGGTACCCTCCTAGGGGTCCTTTTTTTGTATTTGGGGTAAAAAGGGGTACCCCGATTATAAGCGGAGAGCCGCCTTACGGCAAGCAAGCGCAGAGAGCAACGCCTTGTACGGCACCTGGAAACCAAGGTGGCATACGTGGGTAACAAGTACAACGCCCTGCCATGGAAGGCCACCCCTCCGCTTGTTCAGGGGGCTCAAAGCCTTGGAGCGCAGCCCTTGGCGCTCTAGAGATGTCTGCTTCGGAGGACTTTGTGGACATCAAGCTCGACGCCCGCAACCTGATCGAAGCCGATGTCAAGTCCGCGTTGACCGACTTGGATTGGTTTGGCAAGGCTGCTGCAATGCGGGCTTACTATAGGATTTATGAGGGATTATCATAGGGTTTTTTAGGGTGTAATTAAGGTCTAATTTTGCTTGGAACTTGCCCTTCTGCCATGCAGGTGAATGCGCTGTATGCGGGAAAGCAGACCGAGACGGAGATGGACGTTGCAGCCCTGACCTCAATAGCCCCCTAAATCCGGTGCTTGCGTGGAGCTGCGTGTCTTCCAATGATACCCCCCAGCCTCAGAGATCCTCAGAGGCGAAGACTATTGGGGCGATGAAGCCAGCCGCGTGGCGAAGATGGGCGAAAGCAGCCCCGCTCCCGCTGAGGGACATTGAGCGAGCCGCTTTTTGGGCATCCAAGGTGAAGTATCCCATTGCCAAGAAGTGATGTGCCTGACGCGGTTGATCCAGCATGATCTGCAGGCTGGTGCAATGATAGGCGAGGGTGGCTGGCCAACCAACTGAGGTGGTAACAGTAGGTTGTTGTGTCTTGATTAAAAGCGACCACGAGATGGAAGGAATCAGCCTGTTTGATTGCTTCCCTGACTTGCTTTTTACGGAGAAAGAAAGAGGTTTTGGAGTCCGAGCAGATGGAGCAAAAACAGCTGCGGGTGTTGGCGTACAATGCCCCTGGGCGTTACATCGATGCAGCAGTTTTGAGGCTTGTCGCCTTTGTTTCCCAGCTACTTTAGTGCAATATTCTTAGTGAGCCATATTACATGACCACGTGATTACATCATTGCATTCTTGCATTCTTGTATTGTTCCATGACAACGTTCATCATTTTCCATGTCTATTTTGCAGTGTCATGGTATTCTAGCATGATTGAATTCTAGCATGATGTAAGCAACCTGGGGTTTCTGCGAGCAAAGAGTGGACCCCGAAGCGCGGTAAGAATCCAGCCTCCAGCTTGCCGGTTGCGGCACCTTGTGGGTGTAAGCGGCCCTAGAGCGCGCCATGCAAGCCGCGTCCTACCGCGCACCTCTGCTGCTCGCTGCGGGCCTGGCTTCCGCTGTGCCGGAGCCTCAGTGTGGGGGACATCGCGGAGACCCAATCCCGCGCACTGGGCCCGAAACTGTCGTCAGAAGGTGGGGAGGGGGGGTTTTCAGGGTTTTCAGGGTTTTGAGGTTTAGAGCTTTGAGTTGCCGCTCTCAGGCTATGGTGGAGCTACAAGGCCCGGCGGAAAGGCGCTGAAGCGTGGCTTGTCCCGCGGGTTCCTGGCGCATAGAGGCTTGTTGTCGAGGATCCATCACCAGATCTTCCAATCCGCCAAGACCCGTTAAAAAGTTGTAGGTGCCTCGGTGAATGGATGCCCAAGATACTCAGGCGTTTGCTGAACCGGTGCAGGTGCACATGAGGGAAGGGTGGCACCCCCTCCCCCCCCCGCCCCCCTTGACCCCAAAGTCTCGGGAGTGTGGAAGCAGAAAGCACGGTCACCAGTGAGAGTGAGGATCCCGATGATCCCGTGAAGTATTGGCACAAGGGATATTCGACTATTTTGCCCCTATGTCGTGTTATGTTGTGTTATGCTGTGTTGTGTTGTGTTATGTTATGTTATATCATGTTGCGTGATGTTGCGTTATGTCCGCAGCAGGAGACCAGGCCGCCCCAGCCGTGTCTTTGCCCGCGGCACCAGACAGCAGGCGACGGCTGGCGCCTGCAAAGATGTTTTCTTTCTGATGAGGGTTTCGGGCTTAGGGTTTAGCTTGGGATGTTCGCCCTTATACTAACAGCCCTTAATGCGGATTCACCGCCTATTGTAATCCCTATAAAGGACTTCTAATAAAGGTTAGAGTTCACAAGAGCTTTGAACAAGCAAGACATGATGGTGGCCACAGGTGCTCTGATCCCAGTCGTGGCCCGATTGCCACCGCGATCCAGGCGAAGGCTCCCGGGAGCACGGGTCTGAATGTCCCCGCCCCAAAACCCTAAACCCTAAACCCTAAGCCCACACACCCTAAACCCTAAACCCCAAATCCACAACGTGCCCCCCCCCCCCCCCCCCCCAGGTGTCGAGAGCCTTGCAGCCGTCGCAGCTGGTGATTCACGACGACTCGGCAGCCCACCGGGGGCACGCAGGATGCACTTCACAGCTTGGCCCCGAAAAAACCCCGAGACATCTAAGAATCCTCAAGCTCCTAGAAATCCTTACAAACCCAAATCCTGAAAACCCCAAAACACTCTAAATCCTAAAGCCCTACAAAGCCCTTAACACGTCCTAAAACAATCCTCACACCCCACCAAAAGCACACTACAAAAGCCCCGGTAAAGCCCCCCAATGAAGTCCCAAGCCAGGAGTCGCAGGAGCCCAGATTCCCGAGACGCACTTCAAGGTCGAGGCTCCCCCACGCCTCCTTTCGGGGGGGGGGGGGGGGGCTTCGGGATGGTTCAGGGTTTTTCGGGGGTTATGGGGTTTAGGGTTTAGGGTTTGGGGTTTAGGGTTTGGGGTTTGGGGTTTAGGGCTGAGGGAACCTCGGGCCTGCTCAGAAGCGCGGGCGTGGCTTTGGGTTTCACAGGGGCTTCGCGACTCAGGTGGTTTCCGCCGCCTTCGAGGGCGTCCGCAAGCTGGAACGCCAGCGTCAAGTGCAGGAGACTGCGGACCAAAGGGTCCCTAGAATTTAGGGCTCAGGGGTAATATACCAAGCCATCAAAAGCCTTAAACGCACTAAATCGGCCCGCGCAGCAGCCGTCGCGTCACGAGAAAAGCTCTTGTTGCTTCCGATGCACAAGAACGCAATGTGCAGTACGTGATGTGCCGAAACCGTGCCGATCTGTTCTCCCTGTGCAAGCGCAGGACCTGCTCAAGGATGAGTTTGCAGCCGGTCTTCATGCGCTGGACTGCGCCCCCCCCCGGCCCCCTTACACAAAGCCAGCATGCGCTTCCAAAAGGTCGGAGTTTCTTGGGGGATGTCAGAGGCTGAGCAGATCCCATGGGTTCAATTCTCTGAACATCTCTGAACTATGACTGAAGTCTTGGGTCCTTGCTTTTATTCGGCTTTATGTTAAAGGTGCAAAGGCAGGGACCCCGGTAGAGAACTGGCCTCTGGCTTCGTGTTGGCCCTCATCAGTCCCATGCCTCAGCGGCATTGCAAGCTTGCGACGAGGAGCTGTCGTGCAGAACGCCAGCTGAGCACGCGAAGGCCTCCCGGACTTGAAGGCGCGAGTCAGCGAGATTGGCGGGAAAAAGCTGCGCGCGGGTTGCCTGGGAGGTTGCCTGCGGCTGTTTCCAGCACGTCAGAAGGACGCTTGCGGCCAGCCATGGCCAGCCGGTGCATGTGCAGCCCTTTGTGCTTGAGCTGCGTGTCCACTTTTGGGGTCGCAATGGCCCCACACGTCGGCGTGGCATGGTGACAGCCGCCAGCGACGAGTTGAGGCGGCAGCTTGCCCCAACTGGCGTTCTACGAGCCGGAGGCCTCAGACGGAATCAAATGGTGTCCCCATAGCCAGCCGTCGCTGGAGTCCAGGCTGGAGTCAACTTGGCCAACTTCCTGCTGGTGACGGGCCACAGTGCCTGCGGTGCACCCGAAGGCAGGCGGCACGGATCACTACTTGGAGGTTCATGGCACCTATTATCCAACTATGACTGTCCTTTGAACTCACTTATCGGCCCCTTAAGTGCCCTAATATGGTCCCCACAATCTTCCCTCCATGCGCTAGGAATATCACCCGACCTGGCTGCGGAAATTGCTCGGAGACTGGGCACCGGGCTTCGCCTTGTGCCGTTCCCCAACCCCAAGGCAGGTGCGCAATGCCGTATGATCCTTGCGGTAAGGGTAGTACCAGCAGCAGGGTCTTGGGGTTCATTTCTTAGGGTTTTTGCAGTGTGCATTCCTTACTGGAAGGGCAGTCGTAGTACCTCTGCAAAAAATCACCACGAGCAGCTCTTCGTGCTTTGCCTTTCGCTCTGCAGGATCTGGGGGATGCCGTGGATGAAGGCACGAAGTGTGAATAATTGAGTAACACAATCATAAAGAAAGATAGTAAGCTACTATACTATAATGGAATAGAATAGAATGTAGTGTAATATAATACAATACAGTATAAAGCCCACGCTTTCATGGGCCAGGTTCTTGGGACATCGCCCTCATTGGAGCAGAGCCCCAGCGGGAAGAAAAGTGGCGTGGCTGTAGGGCTCGGCTGGTGTTCCTTGTTTGCGCCAGTAAAGCTGCAAGACCTTGTGTACCTTTGCTGGCCCAGGATTGCGTTCAGCAAGCCGTACGTCGAGATCCCCGCGACGTACTTGGTACCGGGTGGCTCCCAGCTGTCCCTGGGCCTGACATGTTGCTGATGGGTGCTTTGCAGACACGCCCGGAACATCCCGGAACAAGGCAAGGCATAGATGAAGTGGACTTCCCGGCAGCCGCTTGATTTTGCTTAGGGATGTCCTGCCTCATCTGTGTTTGAGCGTGGGCTTGGCTTTAAACCCCAACACCTAAACCGACGAAACCCTATACAAGCCTTAAGCCGCTGCGGCCACTGAGGTTAGAATCGCCTGCGTGGGGGGCAGTGCATTTGGGCTTTGGTTGGACAAGAACATCAAACGGGCTAGCGTCATCAAGGCGGGCGCAGGGGCTCATGAGCCCACCCCAAGAAGCATGCCAGCGGATGCCGTTAGCCAGGCTGATTCGATGGACGGAGCACTGAAGCTGCTGCTGGATGGACAGGCTGACGCTTCGGGATTGTGTGTCAGCAATGCGTGGCCTCCCCTGGTGAGCTTCGGCCCCGCTAGGCCGATGTCCTTGCGAGCCTGCGCCAGCGGCTCCTCTCCGACATCCTCGAAGTTCCGGGGGAGGGGTCCTCAGACATCTCCGAAGGGCCGATCCTTGCAAAGTTGCAGCATCCGAAGAACGAGAGGGGTTCTTTGAACAAGCTCGTACGCCCAGGGCCGAATACTGGAGGGCCACTTTATGACGGCAGCTTTGCTGCAAGTGAGATGCCATTGATGGAGTGGAACCCAGTCTGGTACTTTGACTTGCAGAGACTGAGGTGAAGCAGGTCCGTGACCACGGTTGTGCTGGGGCTGTGAATGGCCAGTGGAAGCGCTTGGCAATACATGGGGGTTAATCTGACCTATGCTTGCTTCTCTACTAGCACCACAAAAGGGCCCGCAAGAACAGTCCAAAGTGCTTACTACCATGTGGCAAATTATGGGCCCTTTTCACGTGGGCCCTTATATATATATATTTAATGCAAATAATGTATATATATATATATATAAATATTGTAGCAAAAATCAGGCTCCGCATGGTCATAGGGGGCCCCAAAGAGAAAGGACCAGAAGCTCGGGAGCCTCCCCCACGGTGGCAGCCAGGCCGTGGGCGCCTCACGCAGCCGCGGCGCCCGTGTGGCAGAATTCCTCACCGAGACCGTGGAGGAGCTCAAGGCGAGCGGCTTCGCCGCGCGCTTGGACTTTGGGGGTCCTCATACAAAAGGTGGGGAGGGGGGGCCGGGTTTTCAAGTCATGCTTCCCTTTTTTTGAGGTCGGGAGCCTCATCGAGAAGTCTGGCCCTGAGCTGGGAAGGGGTGCGTGCATGCTTGGAGAAGCTGCACAGGAACGAAACCAGCCCGACCCTTCTTGCTTTTATCTTGTTCGTCAGCATCGGCCACGAAACCCTTACAAGTAACAATACATGTTATCAATACATGTTCGGCACCTTGAGACCATGTTGCTGCTCATGAAATGGCTTGCAGCGGAAGCAAGCTGAAGCACTCGAGACTTCATCAGCTGAGGCACGGGGTGGTCGGGAAGCTGGTCGTGCCCATCGAGGGCCCTGCAACCAAGCGCCAGAGGACGAACGCGGCTGAAGGCTGGGTTGGGGGTGGGGGGGTGGGGGGCTTCGTGGTGAAGCTTTTTCCTGTGTTTTATCTTACTTCAACTTGCATGCCATTGCATCTTTTGCAGTGCACAGGCGTGCAAACAGACTCCATGGCTGGTGCTCGGCCAGTCCTGAACGGAGAATCGCTTGATGTCTCGCCGTGCTGAGACAAAAAGCAAAGAGCTTGTGCTGGTTCCTGGAGGTCAAAGGTTCGCGTAGAAGCCAGGGTTAAGGTTTACACAGTCCCACCGAAGAATTCCGCTTAGTTCTTGAATGCGCTGGCGAGCCATGTGGCCACAACGTGCTCACCAGGAGCAGGGCTTGGGCTGCGACAACATGACGCTGCTTGCCGGGGCCTTCGTCATCCGCCATCTGCAGCGGGAAGCTGTGCGACGCGACAGAGAGTCAAAGAGCGCTTGAGGTGGTAGAGTTGCAACCCAGCCTAAGGGCACAGGCACGCTGCCAGCTTGGACACGTTTCGTGATTGAGCATATGTGGGAACTCATGTGAAGCCCATGCCAGAATCGGCAGCTGTGGACATTCCCACACGCAGCTTATCGAGCCGGCGGCAAGGCACGTTGGGGCGGGGGGGGGGGGGGGGCAGGAGGATGCATCTGCATCGTGCCGTGACGGATTCCGAAGCCCCAAACCCCAAACCCTAATTAAACCCTAAACCCTAAACCCACAGGGTTGTTATAACAAAAAACCCTAAGCCCTGCACCCTCAGTCCAGGCTGCCTCGCCGCCTTCCCGGCGGAGGGTTGTTATGCAGCAGATGAAGCGATCGGGCCGCGCCAAAGTCAAGCGTGGGCGGTCGAAGAGGCCGAACGAGGGAGTCAGGTACCTCTATATCCCCCCATACAACCCTTTTGAGGGGCTATCATGAAGAACCTCGATCCGAATTCCCAAGTTCCCTAGAGGTCCTTCGATATCCCCCCCTACAACCCTTCAAGGGGCTATAATGAAGAACCTAGATCCCAAGTTCCCTACCACTCGAAGGTTCATGGCTTATAAGTTGGGTTATAAGGTACCCTAAATAAGGTTATAACCACAGTTACCCTACTTCTCACCCTACTTTTAAGTACCCAGAACCAGTATAAGGAAGTGCCCTTTGCTGGTGGCAGGACCTGACCCATGGGCAGATGCAAGATGCATCTTGGGTCTTGAGCCCGGCGGAACACGCGTCTCAAAAAGGGAAGGGGGGGCAGCTTTGGAGCTTCTGGGGCTGTGGGTTTGGGTTTAGGGTTTCGGGTTTAGGGTTTCGGGTGTAGGGCTCGGGTTTAGGGTTGAGGGTTGAGGGTTGAGGGTTGAGGGTTGAGGGTTGAGGGTTTAGGGTTTAGGGTGGAGCCGGCTTCTTGCAGCCTTGGGGGAGCTCTGCCCAACAAAGAGCAGCCTTTGGCCTCCTGCAGCGTTAGCTTCACGCTGCGTCTGCCTCATAGCCCTAAACCCTAAACCCTAAACCCTAAACCCTAAACCCTAAATCCCAAACCCCAAACCCTAACCGTAAACCCTGACCCTAAAAGTCTTAAGCTCAATAGGTCCTTGGAAGAACAACCCAGCATAGCTTAGCCTATGTTGAATCCTTCATAGGTCATAGGTTTCAGTAGCAGATGATGTAAGACAGGATATGGGTAACTCCCAGAATACGGGGTTACCTTTAACCCTCATCCTAGGAAATCCTTAAATGGCACCTGCCATATCAGGATGTTCTGTCTTTGAGAAAGAAATTGCATGGTCCTCCGCGAAGCCAAGCCATGAACTCGCTCAGAGCGGAGCTGGACCAGATCCTCGCGGACCGAGTCACCCTCACCCTAAACCCTAAACCCTAAACCCTGAACCCTGAACCCTGAACCCTAAACCCTAAACCCTAAACCCCGAATGTTCATCCTTCGGGTGTTCATGGCGGGGTCGAGCCGGAGCTTGCTACCCTGGGGCTCTCTACTGGGGGTTCTTATAGATTACCCTCCCCCTACCCCCTAATACTTCACACCCCCCATATACTGCACAATTCCTATAATGGGGCGAACGTAATATTCGGGGGTAGGGGGGGGTTTACTATGACGGGGAGGGAGGGGATGAGGGTAGCACAATGTGTCACGCAGCATGATGTAGGTCGAGCCCCGACGTCATGCGCCTTGCATGTCCAGGAGACTCGCAAGGAGGCAATTGCATCAACCCTGCAGGCCAGGGCTGTGCACCGACATCGGGGAGGGTTTACGAAAAATAGGGGACCCCCCAAAAATAGTAGGATTCCCTTGGAATAAGGACCCCCAATAAGGTACCCTTTTCAAATTCAGAAGCCCTCACAGATGCGGGTTTCCGAGAACCCATTTGTGGCCTTTAGCTGTATGTTGGGGGTTTATCAAGGGGCCCTCTATTTGCGGATTTGCGGTAATCGCTCACCCTTGGGTGCCTGCTCCAGCACGGTGTCGCAGGCTTGGCGAGGGGATGCAACCAAGCCGAGAGAAGGCCGGGAGGGATCAGCCCCACATACGGATACCCCGAATATAAGCTGCAGAGCATCCGGTCTTTATGTTCTGAAAGCACCCCTCTAGAAGGGCACACGCCCCACCCCCCAATGTTCCGAAGCAATTCGGGGCGTCTTCTCGGGGCCAAAGCCCCGATCACCGTAGGAGTGCAGCTTTTGGAGCGCATGGCGTCAGGCGCCCGCAGTAGAGGGGAGGTTTGGGGTTTAAGGTTTAGGGTTCAGGGTTCAGGGTTCAGGGTTTACCCGAAACCCTAAACCCCAAACCCCAAACCCCAAACCCCAAACCCTAAACCCTAAACCCTAAGCCCGAATTAAACCCTAAACCCTAAACCCTAAACCCCAAACCCAGGGGTGGCTGTTGTGCGGGGCAGGTCCCGAAGCGGAGCCCTTCGATTGGCCAAGCCTTGGCGTGGATGCTGCCAAGCTTCCGTCATTCCAGTCCCCCATGTCCCATGCCCAGTTTGGGGGGGCGGATGCAGACACTGGGTACTAGAATAAGATAAAAATGATATAATCCAAATATATATATATATATATATATATATATATTAAGAATATATATGTAGATACATGCATTTATATACATATACGAAGTTAGATACAGGCAACACCTAGGTTGGTGATGAGCCAAGGTCTGCGGTCCTCAAAGCTGTCGATCATATGGATCCACAGCGCAGGCACTCGATCACATGCGGTGCTATCTTTCGCTCAGGGCCCCAAAACCCTAAACCCTAAGCACCCTAAACCCTGAACCCTGAACCCTCATGACCTACAGATTTTCCACTGTGCAGGTCCCGATTGCTGGAGCTGTCGCGCGCGAGCGGTGCGATGAAGAAAAGCGGCCACGGAGGAGGAAGTTAAACCCCTTGCCCCTGCGGACATGTGTGGGAAGACGTTTGCCGAAACAGTAGATAGTGCAGGCACGTCGCGGTCATACCACTTATGGTATCATTCTCTCTCCCACCCTAAACCCAAAACCCTAAACCCTAGACCCTAAACCCTAAACCCTAAACCCTAAAACCTAAACCCTAAACCCTAAACCCTAAACCCTAAACCCTAAAAGGCGTTGGCTTACAGCACGTAGTTTCTCCTTGGAGTCCGTGTTGTGTAGCCTGACCCTAAGCGAGGCTGATTGCCCGCGTGTGCTGCTGGGGTCCGCACGTGCGTCCAGCAGGCCACCGAGCCAGCACTCTAACCTGCCCTATTCCCGAACCCTGCGTGCCATTGGTCGCATCACAGCCCCCTTGCTGATTGACACCGCTTGCTGTCGCTGCCTTGTGCCGACAGGACCTACACCCTTTTTGGTGTGTGGTTGCAAGCCTGGTCATTTTTGGCAAGGGCCGTCTATGGTTACAGGGACCTACTTGACACAGCTGCTCCTCTTCGTCCTCTTTGTCTACAGCCACGGTCCGCTTTCAGCGGGAAAGTGCGGCGCACCGACGAGAGAGGAGGTTGAGAACGCAATCCAGGACACATCTGCGGACCGTCTTGGCGGGCCTGGCCCCGTTGCACAGTGCCCGGACTTCAAAGGCTGTTGCGGTGGTCAGAAACCACCATTCAAATTCCTCTTTACCAAGCCAGATCGCTGCACTGATGGCGACTACAAGGAGGAACAATGGGCAGGCATGGAGATGTACATGCGGTCTGACAAATCGGGCTACGGCCTGGTTTTGCCCGGGCTGCGGAGCGGCTTGGCAGGAGAACACCTACACCGGCCGCGCTTCAGAGACGTGGCAAAGTACACAGACACCGTGGCGTGGCGAGCCATGGCGACAGAAATCTCCGAGGAGAAAATCCCCTCGGCAAAGACGTCCTCCCGTGGATCCTGCTCAGCCCAAAGCTCCGGACAAAGGCAAAGGCAAGGGCAAACAGAACAAGGGACAACCGCAAGCGCCTTTTGTGCAGCAGTTGCCCCAGCCCCCGAAGCCCAAGGAGATTGTGGGACCCAAGGAACCCGTTCCCTCGCCGGCTACGACGACAAGTCTATCGGAAGATGCCAAAATCTTGCAAGCACTGCTCCCGCACTTGGACAAGGACTCTCTGCCAGACTCAGTTCGCCACCTTGTTCTGCAGAAGGAACAGCACGCAGTACAGCAAGATGCCCGCCACCTCCACAAGTTGGTGCGTCGCCGTGGGGAGGCCCGGAAGCAGTTGGCCGCTCTACAAGAAGATCGCGTTGCCTTCGAGACGGCGTGGTACAAATATGCAGAAGAGCTACAGCAGACCTTGCAGGCTCAGTTTACAGCAAGAGAACAGTCCCTTGCAGAGTTCGACCAGCGCCATCGGGAGTGGAGCGGGCAACTTTTCGAAAGCTCCAAGGAGCTAAAAGAAGCTGCGCGTCACGGTCACAAGGACACGGAGAACTCATCATCCGAAGATGCTCTCTCCGACCAGGACATGGAGGCGGAGGTCAACAAAGCGGCCGAGGTCGACGCCAAGGCAGCGGCCCGCAGAGAGGAGATGGTGCAGAGTCACCAGAAGCTACAGGAAGCACTGCAGCAGGTCAAGCAGAATGCAGCTGCGGGTGCTACAGTGAGAGAGCGCACCCCACGTCGGGGACCAAAGCGTTCGGCGGAGTCATTAGTGGACCTCACGAACACAGACACAGAAGAGACACCAGCAAAGGCCGCTGCAGGAATGGTTGGTACAGAGCCTGCCAAGCCGCCTTTTTAAGCTGCCT